GTAGTAGAAAAATAAATTTACAATAACAACTAGGTACACTATTCAATAACAAATCAAAATTGGAATATATTATTAATGTAGGAACGGCAAACAGAAATTTTACACGCGTTCAAAAATGTATTAAGTGCCGGCATTTTCACTTTAATATAGAAAACGAAATTGAAATTCTCCCTCTAAAACATTAACCGGGGTCATGACATTTCGTTATAAGCTTGCACACTATGGTATACTATTGCTTTTTTATCCTTCTTTCGCCTATTCTACGTATCCAAAATGTGATCCAATATTAAATATTAAAATACCGAATAAATGTAGACGAAGCAATTTAAAAGAAATATTGTGGTTTTATATTAGAGTATATAGCAATGCAGATGCCAAATTTAAAAATAAAAAAATTCTAGGTAATAGTGCAATTGAATGAGGGCAATAAAGCGGCAGCCAATACCGAGAGCTCTCGCCTAGAACATTGTTGTCTTAAAACTTTTAAAAATATTTTGGTCGACTGTGTTTACTAACCTTTCAAAAAAGAAGGTCATACTTCAAGACGCCAAATTTTTTAAAGTAAAAATTAAACAACTAGTTCTGTACCCCAGAGCCAAAATCTCTAGCAACCACTCTATCGGGATTATCTTCCTGCTGCAGGTGCCGAACTCTTATTCTGTCAAGTTATCCATGAAAAAAACATTGAAATAAAATTAAACTTATATTAATAGTACCAATTTTATTTCAATGTTTTTTTCATGGATAACTTGACAGAATAAATTTTTGTTGTTATGTGCATTTTTCTACTTAAAATTTTTCAATAAAATTTAGTATAGGGTCGTTTTGAGGGTTGGTAAATTCAGTGCCGTGCTTAGATTTTGTTTAAAAAAATCGCTAATATGAATTCTTAAAAATTTACTCTTAAAAACTGACATAGTAGGCCTTGTATTTTGTAAAAATATGGCGTTTTTTGCTCTAATAAAATTCGAAAATTTAAATTTAATTTTCGAGTTCATCCCTGCTTGATAAAAGATTAATTTTGAAATAATATCAATTTTGAAAAATCAAGTATGCCTTAGTATATTAAAAGAACTGTTTTTGTGTAGGTAGAGTGCCTTTCATATGGGATATACGACAAAATATTATAAAAAAAAGTTGTTTAGAATTACACGGAAAAAAATAATCGGTAGAGGCTACCGATTGCCAATCGGTAGACTCTACCGAAAAAATCGGTAGACTCTACCGAAAAAATCGGTAGTCTCTACCGAAAAAAAATCGGTTCCCTCAACCGATTTTTATCGGTAGTAGCTACCGATTATTTTTCGGTAGAGTCTACCGATTTTTTCGGTAGAGTCTACCGATTTTTTCGTTAGGCGTAACCGAGAAAATCCGCATCGATGCGCTGTTAAAAAATTAAAAAAAATATATTAAATATCAGAAAGGTTTGGTTGTTTTAGTTGAGATTGATAATAATAACGATCCAGTGTTCGGAAAAATTAATGAAATAGTCAGTGTAAATAATTGTATATATTTTCTCATGTTCTCGATTAAAACATTGTATTTTGATCAACACTATCATGCTTATTGCGTTGAAAAAAAATATATACTATTTTCTATTTAATAAAAAGCGAGTATTTAATTTCTCGCTAAAAAAATACAAAAATTTTCAAAAATTGGTAATTGATTTTTTCGGTAGCCTGCACCGAAAAAATCGGTAGACTCTACCGAAAATAATCGGTAGCTGCTACCGATAAAAATCGGTTGAGGGAACCGATTTTTTTTCGGTAGAGACTACCGATTTTATCGGTAGAGTCTACCGATTTTTTCGGTAGAGTCTACCGATTGGCAATCGGTAGCCTCTACCGATTATTTTTTTCCGTGTAACATTTAGCCCCCTATACCAAATTTTAAAATTCTTGGCCAACTTTGATTTTTATTTTTTGTACTATTTTTTGTATTTTGTACTATACGACAAAATATTATTGAGAAAAGTTGTTTAGAATCATATGCCTTGGAAATATTAAAAGAACTGTTTTTGTCTAGTTAGAGTGCTTTTCATATGGAATATATGACAAAATATTATAAAAAAAAATTGTTTAGAATTAACATTTAGCCCCCTATACCAAATTTTAAAATTCTTGGCCAACTTTGATTTTTATTTTTTGTACTATTTTTTGTATTTTGTACTATACGACAAAATATTATTGAGAAAAACTGGTTAGAATCATATTTTAGGTCCATATACCAAATTTCAAATTTCTTGGCCACTTTGATTTTGTAAAAATCTAGGTAGTAAAAGAAATAAAAATCAAAGTTAAATTTGAAATTTGGTATATGTACAGGGTGGTCCACGTAAGGTGACTCATATACTTATCTCAGAAACTACTGGAGTCACAAAAAATTTGTAAGAAACAAATATTCACGAAGTAAAAAATATTTTTAAAATATTATATTTTCATTTATACAGGGTGTTCGGTTTTCCTTGGGACGATACCAACTTTCTTATTTTCAATGGAACACCCTGTATTTTTTTGCATTTTTGGATTCTACCCACTCTTTTAGGTATACTTTGTAAATATATTAATTAAGAAAATGTTAATACTTTTTGAGTAAAATTAAGATTTATTAAAATTTCTCTAAATGTAGACACTCGCTAAAAGTTAAAAATAATCAACTAAAAGTTATTATTTTTTATATTATGTAGTATCCATTTCTTTAATAATAAGTAAGCTATAAGTTAATTATTATATTTTTTGGAAAATATCATACAGGGTGTTTTCTATGTCCCGTTGAAAATAGCGATTTTAAAAGTTTAAAATCTTGTTTTTCTTCAATGGAACACCCTATATATTTTTGCATAATTGGATAGAATAAGTAATTACCTTTGATTTTATATATATATGTCCTATACCTAAACCTAACAGAAAAAAAAATATTCGCATTTTTCACAATTAGTAGCTTTTTTTCCAATTACCTTAGTTAAATTTTCATTATTCAAATAAATAAATTTCAATAACAACAAATAAAAATGCTTTTATATATAAATATATATTACTATAATAATTACCATACGCGCAAAGCTACTAATTTTGTAAAATGCGAATATTTTTTTTAGGTGATCCACGTAAGGTGACCCATATACTTATCTCAGAAACTACTGGAGTCACAAAAAATTTGTAAGAAACAAATATTCACGAAGTAAAAAATATTTTTAAAATATTATATTCTCATTTATACAGGGTGTTCAGTTTTCCTTGGGACGATACCAACTTTCTTATTTTCAATGGAACACCCTATATTTTTTTGCATTTTTGGATTCTACACACTCTTCTAGGTATACTTTGTAAATATATTAATTAAGAAAATGTTAATACTTTTTGAGTAAAATGAGGATTTATTAAAATTTCTCTAAATGTAGACATTCGCTAAAAGTTAAAAATAACCAACTAAAAGTTATTATTTTTTATATTATGTAGCAATCATCTCTTTAATAATAAGTAAGATATAAGTTAATTAATTTTTTTTGGAAAATATTATACAGGGTGTTTTCTTTGAATAATGAAAATTTAACTAAGGTAATTGGAAAAAAGCTACTAATTGTGAAAAATGCGAATATTTTTTTTTCTGTTAGGTTTAGGTATAGGACATATATATATAAAATGAAAGGTAATTACTTATTCTATCCAATTATGCAAAAATATATAGGGTGTTCCATTGAATAAAAACAAGATTTTAAACTTTTAAAATCGCTATTTTCAACGGGACATAGAAAACACCCTGTATGATATTTTCCAAAAAATATAATAATTAACTTATAGCTTACTTATTATTAAAGAGATGTATACTACATAATATAAAAAATAATAACTTTTAGTTGGATATTTTTAACTTTTAGCGAGTGTCTACATTTAGAGAAATTTTAATAAATCTTAATTTTACTCAAAAAGTATTAACATTTTCTTATTTAATATATTTACAAAGTATACCTAAAAGAGTGGGAAGAATCCAAAAATGCAAAAATATACAGGGTGTTCCATTGAAAATAAGAAAGTTGGTATCGTCCCAAGGAAAACCGAACACCCTGTATAAATGAAAATATAATATTTTAAAAATATTTTTTACTTCGTGAATATTTGTTCCTTACAAATTTTTTGTGACTCCAGTAGTTTCTGAGATAAGTATATGGGTCACCTTACGTGGACCACCCTGTACCTAAAAACAACTTTTCTGTATAATATTTTGTCGTATATCACATATGAAAGGCACGTTATCCACACAAAAAATAGTACAAAAAATAAAAATCAAAGTTGGCCAAGAATTTTGAAATTTGGTATCTATAGGGGCTTAAATGTTTTTAAACAACTTTTTTTATATTATAGGCACTTTACCTACACACTTTTTTTATTTTCAAGGCATACTTGATTTTTTTTTAATCTAAATTATGTTTAAAATAATTATTTTATCAAGCAGGGCTGAACCTCCAAAAATGAAAATTGAATTCAATTTTTTTTGGATTTTACAACAGTCGTTTCACCTATCCGGGGACACACTGTATATATTTAATTTTATTTATTTAGAAGGGTAAAAGTACTACAAACGTTTGAGGGTTTGTGACAATGTGCGCCTTCAATCTTTAAAAAAATAGTACTTTATGAACGTACGGAGGACTGAAATTTAAAAGTAGGGTTGTGCCTGGTCAATTGACCGCGGTCAATTGACCGAGATTTTTACCTATTTTGACAGGAGAGATTTTGACCATGTCAAAATCGGTCAAAAACTTTTAATTCGGCGGCGGCGCTACCTAGCGGAAAATATCAAAAGTATTTAAAAAATGTTCGGTAGTGGACCATGGCGCAATCATAATAATGCTTTTTAAATAGTGTTCTGGGTCATTTTTGACTAATTAATTTTAAGAGAGTAAAGACAATGGCGAGGGTGGGTTCAGTGACGAGGATGATGTGCCGTTATCTACACATGCTAGCACCGTGATGTCGGTTTTTGGTTCTTAAAAGAACCGTATGTCTGACAACGACAATGTACAATCTCATGTACCATGTTCAAGTCTTATCTGCTGGGCTGCTATTGCTGCTCTGCTGCGAGCTAGACGTGAATGTTCTTAAAAACAATGATATGAATGTTTTTTTGTACCTCGAATGGTTTCTTTATTTTTTGTTGGAATTTTTTCAATAAATATACGTTTCTTTTTAAAATTAAGTAATTTTACTCATGCCTTCATTTCTTTAGAAAAAACTAAAGAATTTGACTGGTTTTTAGTCAATTGGCCAGTCAATGGACTAGTCAATTGACCACAAAAGATTTTTACCGGTCAAAATCCCAACCCTATTTAAAAGTAAAAAAATGCCCTTATTTATACAAACTGTATAGAAACAAGTAAGTAAGGCTGGAGACAAGGATGATAAATTATATTCTGATCAGAGAAAAAGAAACAAACTTTAATTGGGCGTGGTTTAAACCAAGCCATTCGTAATTACGAACCATAGTTGCCAGGTTGTTTTAAATCAGAAGAGAACGATTAATAAATACATAAATACTATGAATAAATAGTTCAATTTTATTTGTTTGAAACTTTAAAAATAACAAAAAAATTAATAATATGTCAAAAATAATTTGATTTAGTTCATTTTCTTACTTTTAATATTAAAAAATAAGAAAAACAACCCTTTTAGGAAACAATAATAGCATATGGCAACAGCGCGGCATGCAGCCAGATACAAGGGCATGCAGCACTGTGTTTGTTCAGTAGCTCCGACGCTGTCGTAGGGAAGTAAGTATAGTTTTTAAGAAATATATTTTCGCCATTAACTGGAATTTAATGGATTTTAAACAATAAGTAAGTTTTTATTTGCAGAAATGCATTAAAACAAAACAAACGAATTCGATAAAAATAAAACCTATATAAAATAACTTTTTTTCTGAATTAAATGTTAAACAATACCCTAGCCTATCATAAAAATTCCTGCGTACGTTAAACAGCATTTCAGGACTGATATCTCCCAATGTATTAAAGATTTGCACCCTTAATTCATCGAGATTATTAGCCCTGAGCTCTTGAAATCCATAAATTTTCGACTTGACGTATCCCCACAAGAAAAACAAATTCGATCCCTACCACAGTGGGCGGGGTTTGGCACTTGTTTCATTTAAGCGCATCTATTCGTTTTAATACACACTGTATACAATTTTTCTTTGTTTTAGATGAAGCAAGATCAAGACAAAAAGGCGTACTAGTCCACTGTCTCGCCGGCGTGTCGCGCTCGGTGACCATAACAGTCGCCTACCTGATGCGAAAATGCTGCCTGAACCTGAACGACGCGTTCAACGTGGTGCGCGCCCGCAAGTCCAACATCGCGCCCAACTTCCACTTCATGGAGCAGCTGCACAACTTCGAGAAGGAACTCAACCTCGACGTGTCTTCCAAATCGCCCGCGCCGCTGCTCGAGCAGATCAAGGCCGAGCAGAGGAGCCGCTCCGGCAGCAAGGCGTTCCAGAAGAAGAACGGCATCTGCCAGAACTGCGGCCTCACCAGCGACTGCAAGTGTCGGCAGCACTCGGACTTCCTCTCGCCGCTCGCCTCGATCGGCGTCAGCCCCGACTCGGGCATCGAGTTCGACCGATGGGGCACGAGCACGCCGGGCGAATGAGACAATCGGGGGGGATCTCAGTGGCACTTTTAGGGCTTTTCAAACGAGTCCCGTGTGTGTCGCTGAACTCCCTCCTTTATTACCGTTTCATTTTTCGCGTCTTCGTGTCTTACACATTAGGTATGTACATAAATAAATAAAAATGTTTTTTACTTTCGCGCGGTCCAATTCAGCGTTATATCACTGGACTGCACAGGGTGTTGAATTATAACGCAATTTATTATATTTGTATTATAATAAACAGGGTTTCCACTTTCTGGAAAATCAAAGAACGTTGGTATAATTAAAGCCTCATTCATAACCTCGTAATTAGTTTAATAAATTAGTGATTTCAATTAACTTAAAAGCTTGTTCACAACCAAAAAATTATTGGTAGTACTTTTCAATTAGTGAAAAAAGTTTGCAAACTCCAAACTTTTCCAACTAATTATAATTGGAAAGCGTCTTAGCGCATGTGCGCGGACATTTTAGGTCAAATGTAGTGTTGCAAACAAGGAAAAGTTCGGTCGAAAAGTTGGAAAAGTTCGGCACCCCCTATGAAAAGTTGGAAAAGTTATTAGGTGTGAGCCAATGAACAATGAGTTGACTTCTAACCAGTGTTTCCACTACCATAAATTTTTTTTTGGTAGATAATTTGGTCAAAATTCGATATAAATCGCTAGATTTGAAGTGTTTTTAGTAAAACATGCTAAAAGCATTGTTTTTTGGAATAACATTTTGTCAAACTTTATCAAAAATGGTGTCTTTTTTATTATAACGTATTTGAAATTTATACACAGTATGAAAAAAATATTATTTTTTTTTAATTATGGAAATTTGCAAGTGAAAATATAAAAGTGGAAAAGAAGAAAGTTTTCTTTTCTTTTTCTTTTTAAATTTTTACTTGTAAATTTCCATAATTTTTAACAACAATAAATTTAATAATTTTTGCTTCATATTTTTTTGTAATTATTTTTTATTTCGTATGTGTTTTTTTATGGTGTGGATAAATTTCTATTCTTTTTTACTTAAAAAATATGATTTTTTTAATTCAAACCTAGTTTATTTTTGTTGTTATTATGTTGTCTGTTCAAAATGAACAGACAACATAATAACAACAAAAATAAAATATTTTGTTTGATATATTGTTTTGATATTTTGTTACCTATGAATAAATACATAATATATAAATTATTTTAATACATTTACAAGCATTATTTATGTTTTATACGTTTACACACCCAGTTGCAACCCTAGTCAAATGTAATAGTTATTTGTTTTACAAGTGTTGAAAAGCGACTTTTTCATGTTAATGTTTAAGTTGCTTACGAGGCCGTTAGGCCGAGTGTGCACTAACACGAGATTGAAGTAAAACACAATGTTTTTTATACCACCCTTTTATATTTATTATTTCCATGTACAAAACAAAATAACCTAAAAACGTGTTGAATGTCAAATGATACTGTCAATTTCTTTATCTACTCGTATTGCATAATTTTGGTTTTTTTTTCGTGAAAATTGATAAACATTATAAATTCCCTGCCTAACGACGTGAATAATAAACTCATTATTCACGTTGTTAGGCATCAATGATTGGCCGATTTCAATATTCACTGTGATTTGAACCAATCGGGTTTTAAATTGAAAGAAGGCGACTATGATAACATTTGACAGATGTCAGATTTTATTTATTTAATTTTTAAAAACATTTAATTATCCACTTATGCGCATTATTCTCTCGCATGATTTGAGTCTCTCGTCTGACGCAAACCTCATCCTCCTAAATAATAGCCTGCATTATCTCTCGTATAATAATATAATATTTCACACAGACCTGTCACTTTTCACGCAGAAATGTCATTTTGCCTTGCCAATGAAAAGATTCATTTTCTAAGCAACAATACCATTACGAAATTTGACTTTTACATAGTGGTCGTAAAAAAAAGTTTGAAGATTTGTCAGTAAAGGTAAAATTATATAAATATTATTATAATTGTTGTACAAAATTATTATTCTAATATAATTAATTTTGTTTATGTCAGGTTAAGAAGAATGGACAATCTTTTAGCAAATTCCTTAATTTTATATGTTAATTTTGCGCATTTGAATGATCGTTTTGTGTTAATTAAAAGTATAATTGAAACCACTAATTTATTCCACTAATTTCGACTTTCTGAATGAGGCTTAAGGAGGTAACCTAGAAATTCAGGAAAAAATGAAATTTTACACTGTGCTCTGCACACTTTTCCAGTAATTAAAAAAAAAGATGTTTTATGCCCTAATCTTCATTGCAAAAAATATGAAGGTTATGAAATAATTACATATTTTTTGTTTTTAATTTAAAAAAACTTGCTTTGATTAAATATAAAAAATACCTAATGATCAGCAGGTTTATTGATACCTGCTTTCCAACCCTTTCAATTAAAATCACTTTTTCATTCTAAAAGGATTTTCTCATTACACATCTCATATACAGAGTGCACCAAGTATTCTTTTAAGTGTATACTTCTATGAGTATCTAGAGCTACAATGTCAGTTAAATTAGAGAAAAGTTGCGTAATTATAAGCCTATTAAAATGAAATTTATGAATTGGAAAAAAAGCCAGCGGTTATTAAATTATTTGTTATTACCGGAAATTTTGAAAAAAAGTAAGTTTTACATGTAAACACATGCATCTACATTTTCATCAAATTTCTTTGCTACCATTTTTTGAGTTATCATCACGATCTTTTGATTTTATAATGGTCAAGGCGGCCTTAACTTATGTGGCCATGTAAAATTTCAATATGGCGGCCATAGGAAAAAAAAAGATGGTGGTGATAACCTAAAATCTAGTAGGCGAAAAAAATTACAAATTTGATAAAAATGTAAATAAATGTGTATGTTTACATGTGAAACTTACTTTTTTAAAAATTCCCAGGAATAACGGTGTCATAACGACTTTTGCTTTGAAGGTTTTTAATTTTTTATTATTTTGTAAACCACTGATTTTTTTTTCAATTTTTAAATGCCATTTTAATATTCTCGTAATTACGCAACTTTTAATTTAAATTTAAATAAACGCACGATGTAGAATCCTTGTAATGGTAAACATTCAACACCCTGTAGGTAACATAAACTTATTATTAATTTATAAGTCACTAGGATGCATTTTATTTCTATTTTATTACTTACATTTTTAGAGATCACCATATACAAAGGATGGGATCCCCCTAACACAAGACTGCAGTGATGCAAACATTTTAAAGTAAAATATAATGTGAAAAACGTCTTCCCTAAATCATATCGTTATTGTATTATACAGGGTGGTTCCTAATAATTATTTTGTTCTCATATCGGATTTGAACGGGAGTTTCCTGATTTTTGTTTGCATCTCTGTAAGTTTTTTTAGTATTATTTGCATTTCAATATCTATTAATTCTACTAGAATCTATTTTTATACAACTTTGATTTAATTAAATGGTTTTAATTGATAAAAAAAATAATTCTATTGAACGAATAGTGCAATACTACATACAAAGTTATAAAATTAGGTATCAACATTTTGTATTTCCCTACCTTTGATATGTACTTAGGCAACTAAAATGTATGTGTGTATCGTATTAATAATGAAGCACCTAATTTATTAATTAAGAGAACAGACATAAAAATCCTTTGGTATTTTATGTCTAACTGTACTAAAACGTATACAATGCACATTAAACAAATCTCTGCCCCATATTTACATATTATGTAGATTGCTTCTCAAATCGAAGTGATTTTTATTGAAATAGTAATAGTATTATTTAAAATGTCCTCCAAAGATTTGCAGTATAGGTAATAATTCCCATGAAGCATAAATGTTATTTCCACTTGTATATCTTGTTGATTTATGAAATTATTAAAATTGTTAGAACAAAATCGTTTTTTAATAGTGTAAAAACGATTGCTTCAAAGTTTATAAAAATGAAAGTAGTAACAACTTATAAACAAAAATAATGTTGTAAATATACAAGTGCCATATTTTATTTATTTACATATTTTTATAAAACTATCTTGCCATGATTTTCCAATGTAGATTTATATATTAAAATCAAAAATATTCCAAAAATCTATATTTTTCTTAATAAAACTGATCCACAAAGGTATTTTATATTATTTTCAATATTTATTAGCTATTAGGCTGTATTTGTACCTGTGTATATCTATATAAATATAAAATTAATGTATGTCACATTAAAATGCAATATTATTTTAGAATTAAGAAATCAATGTGATATTTTATTAACAAACCATTTATAATACCTACAAATTGTACGAAATTTATACGAAGTTGTCATACATGATTTTATATTTTGTATATTTAAATACATAGCTAGAATTATGTTGTAGTATAATGGGGTAGTTAAATTTTTTCTGACCTATACTTTTTATGGTTTTATTTAAGGCGTTTTGTAATTTTAAACATTTCTGTGAAATCGGAATTTTAATTGAGTTTACCGTTTTTGAGATATTTACAAAACAAAATCTTCTAATTACGTCACTAGGCTATTGACAACGTTGCCAGCTTTTTCTATAGTTGCCAGTGTGTTTAGTTTAAGATTCTTGCGATAGATGGCGCCACGTTATAATATTTAAGTTGAGAAGAAGAAGAAGAATTGATTTTTTGACGTTTCTTTTTTTCGGGTTGTTGTTTTAAATTTAGATTATTGAAAATCAATGTTATTGCTATGTTATTTGTAATTGATATTAGATAAGTGATTTATTAATAACGGACTCCAAAGCAGAGGAATCTTGTGGAATGGTTGGTTACATTGAACATTGGAGCTTTTAAACAAATAAAGTAAGTACCTACCTATAATTATAATCATATTTTGTCGTAAATGCATTTCATTAGTATAATGCCTAGTTCTTTATATTCTTTTAGATATATTATTATTTTTTGTAAATTTATTTCATTCATTTTCAGCTTTATTTTGCCACTTTTTTCTATGAAATATATTAAACTCTGCTTTAGACAGTTATTAGGTACCTTTTTATTACATTTTATTAGGTTTCACACGGTGTTTCAATGTGTAAACCTATCAATAAAACTTTTAATTTCAGAATTTTCTTTAACCTCCTCTTCTTCTTCTTTCACTCAACTGACAGTGACAGTATTTGTACATAACCTCTTCGGGTATTTTCTGACATAACCGAATGAAATCATTAACAAGACAACTTGACAACAGGGTAATTTTCAACCAATAGAAATCTTAGAATGTTGGTCACATGGCGGGGTTTGTGACGTCATAAAAATTTATATTTTTTGTAAATATCTCGAAAACGGTAAACTCAATTGAAATTCTGATTTCACAGAAATGTTTAATATTACAAAACGCCTTGAATAAAACCATAAAAAGTATAGGTCAGAAAAAATTTAACTACCCCATTATAAAGTGGACTACACTAGACCGGATAAAACAATAAGGACAAAACGAATAAAAGTAAAGCTTTAGACTTTAGTAATTTAGTTTTTATTTTACTTTTAAAAATTATTATCACACTACAGGATGTTTCAGAGAGAATCCCCTTATACTATATTAGGCAACTAGTCTTATAAGCGTCATTTAATTCGTGTAGAGTTTTAATTATGCGCGAGCGAGGTTTGCGGAGCGAGTTTTCAATAAATGAATGAAGTTTATTAAACAAATTGCATACTTTATCTACGACGAACACAGAGTAATGTTTTTTTAGAATTTAAAGTTAAATATTTGACCTTTTATCTGACATCTGTCAGACGCGTTTAACCTCAGTTTTTCCCAACTTAGGGCTTTAAGTAACTTAGTATATAAAATGTATGAGTAGAAAAAGTATTTCATATTCAATTTTTCCGTTAATTTTGCAATTAAAAAACTCAAAAACAAGAGTCTGAAGCTGTACAATTTTAGATCAAACATTGTTAATGTATATGGGCAATTTTTAATTCTAAAAAGGCTTTTTCATGTAATGATTGGCAAAACTCAAAATGTCTGTCCCTTTTCTCAGTAACATTTCCTGTAATAGTAGTTTATGCTAAAATAAAATCATTGTCACCAAAGATGCCTTTGTTAAAGTAAGAACCTGGTTTTTAAAAGTAGCTGGAAAATTTCAAATAATTTGTTTTTTATGATTGACAAATTTGTTTTTTACTAGGTATTGAAAAGTTTCGCCGCATATGTAATCAGTAAAATTTGCAAAAATTTGCCTAACAAGGCTAAAATTAAAAAAGGCCCATATACAAGCCAGTGGTTCTCAATGTTGATAAAAGAGGGCACTACACTGTACACAATTATTGTGAGCCAAAGAGCATTTGTGAGATTTTTCGTTTGTCCTCCCATTTTTGCAAGCCATTGTATATACAATGTATATTATACATATATATTTTCAAATATATACCTAACTATAACATGTTTTATGTAAATGTTTTTAAGTTCACAATTTTTTTAATATAAGAGACATTCCTATTGAATTAAACACTTGTTATATTATACTTCATATTTTTATTCTTCCATTTGTCATTAATGAAAATTTGTATGTTATTTTATATGTCAATATTTATAAATTAATTAATGTTTCTTCACAATATTTGAATAATAAATTTTTAATGTGAAATTATTGTGTTTTATTTATTTATAATTTAGTTAGAATTTACCTTTTTAATTTTAGTGTTTAAAACATTTCCAACAGTTACCTATGATTAAAGTTATAATTTAATTGTTATAAAATAAGTACATTTGACAACCTTGTCAAGCTTATCTCTTTTATTTAGTTTGTTTTTAAAACCATTGCCATTAATGTTTTCCACCATGCATGTTAATACATTAATGTATTTAATTAATAAATAAATAATAAATAAATAAAGTTTTTATTGCATATTCAGTACAATACAGAACATGTATAATACTAAATATACAAAAGGCCATCGACCGGGGTCCTTCAGCCTTTTAATTAATAATTATTCTATTTTTTGCATCTATTATAGTTTGTTATATAAATTAAAGAGAATGGAAGCGTGCACCGAAAGTGAACCAAAAAATGGCGTCGCTTTGAGGTGTTGCCAAAATTGTTACGTGTTTTTGCGTGAAAAAGAATTAAAGAATTGCGCCGATTGATAAAACATAACGCTACCTACCCTTTAATACGTTGTTTTGAACCTTATGGTCTTAGCATAGACTTATTAATATGTCTATAAGTTTTGACGTTTTCCCTCCGACATAACCTAAAAATGTATTCTGTAAGTCGAGGGAATTTTTTGTTTACATTTGGCCATATTAACAGTGGACGCGTATGCCTAGAGTATAGAGTATTGAAGTGAAGGGTTGAAAAACTGAACCAAAATGTCATTTTCATAACCTTAAAAGTTTGTTTTGTATGTTTTTTGATAAAATACGATGGTAGTTTGTTCTGCGTTGGGTTGTAAAAGTTGTATGTTATAATGACGACAATAAAGAGACTGGATGTTATCTATGGACTGGAATAAAATTTCACAGGTAAGTTACCTGAGGTAACATAACCTTAATGATGATAACTTAAAATTTGCTTTTTAAGGTATATAATACCTAAAAAAGCGAATTTATAATAAATCTATTCATTTAAATATTAAGTATTTGTATTATTCAGTGTTATATTTCATTTATAAACAAATACGGCCTTTTTTGGTTGTTTTGTCCACATTTTAGGTTCTGACCTCTACTCTAATATGTCTATGCATTTGGCACATTTCCCCTCTTTTCCTTACTCAAAGGTTTATATAATAATATGCGACTTTGGTGCCAATGACCGCAGCAGTCGACGCACTTTAATTAAAAAAAAAAAATATGCGACTTTTTTTTCTACACATTTTTTAACATAAATTATTATAAAAATTAAAATAAAATAAAAAAAATTTCAGATCTACTTTCCAATTTTAAGAGATAAGTAAAATAAATTTTCATTATTTTAAATAAAATCACATGCAATGTAGGTATTAAGATTCCCACAAATTATTTTTAAAATTGTTAAAAAAGTTTATCGCCTCTTCTTTTTCTCCTGTTTTCTAATCCTGTGATGAATTGGACGTCTTGGAGAAGTCTGAGGAGTGCTGTGCTCTGAACTATGTTCCCCATCGTCTTCGGCCTCACTATCATGCTAAAATATTATTTTTTAATTAAACAATTTAATAATTGTAAGTGAAACTATTTCATACATAAAAATTCTCCTGAGATTCATCCTGAACAAAAACCACTGCTGCCAGACAAACTATCTGAAATAATGCTGTCAAATACAGTCCATACTGCACGATGGTGGAAGTCATATCTTCCACCCCCAAGTTTATTGCTGAATTCATCCTAAAATGGTATATTTTACATAAAATGAATTATATTCTGTATTAATGCACATACTTTGTAGCTTTTAAGTTTTCTGTATGGTTAAAATTAAATCTTCCCAAAATAGAATTTTAAAAATTAAATTGCACCCCAAAATAATCAGGTTACAACAGAACCAATGAAAGTACACGATACACTGAAATTTTATTTTTGTGGACGTCTACTTATTTACCTTTGACAGAAATCGATAACAATTTGAGGTTATGTTTACGTTTTGTAGGTTAGCCAAACGTCAAAGACATTTGTGTATACAAGCATTTACTCTATTACTCTTTACTCAATGATACAAGTTTGATCCTTTTTCTATGGTTTGAAACTATACTTTTTCTATGGTTTGAAATGTGTGTGCAATGCACATACTTCCACACGTGGTGCAATGTAAAGGTATTTATGCAGGATTTTAAATTAGTTTTTAATAATCCAACAAATTCATACTTTTTATCATAGAAAAATAACTCATAGGTATAAATGTAATCTTTATTTATTAAAAAAATAATTAAACGGTATAAAAACACTCAGTTCTCTTCTTCATTTCCAACACTAACAGATTTACAAACACTTTTTCTGGGATTGTCAGGGTCCACAGGTGGACCAATATTGTTTGGAAGTTTAAAATCTTTTAATTTCTCCATAACTTTGGTTTTCTTTATGCCTTCCATTAATTTTTCCAAGGCGAGAGGTTTGTAAAGAAGCTGATGTTTTAATGTTGTCACCAGCAAATTTTCAGGGAAAAAGGGAGGAAACGGAATGTCCATAAGGGAGTAAATATGGACATGGCCTGTAGCATCGCCTAAAAAGGAGTTAACAGTATAAATATACCTATATATACTTATTCCATTGAGTATACTCTCATCTTATAAGATGTTGGGTTACTCAATTCTTATTCTAAACATAATCTTACCAACTATTAGACATTTGCCATTGTCTGTATATTGTAGAGTTGTAGCTACAGAGCCATTGGGTAAAGGGGTAACACTTTGAGGTTTTAGGGCTTTCCTTTGAGTGTCCCAAAAGAAAATGCTACTTCCTCTTATCGCTGCATTTATAGTTGGATGTGTTGGTGAAAAAACACAGTCCATTACCGTGCTAAGTGACCAGCAAACTTGCGCCAAAGGCTCGTTAATACCTTAAAATATAGTTGTTATTCTTTATTATTACTTTTAATTTAATTATTTGTTCCCAGCAAACACATAAGTCTGATTATGTAATGGCCCATTACCTAGTTTCATGGCTTAATAATGGCATTTTTAGCCAAAGCTTTCCTTGTACTGGGCCTTTACAGGAATATTTTATTAATAATATTAATTTTGTCGTGATAAGGTCTTGCAATGGCAATTTTCAGGCTAATATTTGTAGACTCATATGGGTCAATTTTTAGTATCAAGTTAAGTAGGACTTTAAAAACCATTGAAGTGCCAAACTTATATAAAAGGGTATTTTCACGAAAACTTACCCCACATTGACAAAAAATTAGATGTGCTATTTAATAAAATAACAACTATATCTGAAGTCAAATAGTTTAATTGCGACGTAATTTATACCTTTAAAATATTCGTACATTGTGATGCAATGAAATTTTAGAAAATAAAGTATACAATATTTGTGCATTTTAAATACGTGCTTGTGTAGGGTTACTATTGAAGTTTTACAAAAAAATTATTACTATATGCTTTCATCCAAAATTTTACAGTATCAACTTTAGAAGCCAACTTGGTCGCATTTGCCGATTTTCTAAGGTTGCGCCCGTTACGCTATTCATGCCGTTATAAAGAGGTTTTCTTGACATTTTGTTTGAGTTAATAGTTAGGTATTTACGATATAAGTGGGATAAGAGCTTTATTAACGTACGCATGCGAAATTCGCAAAAGTACGTTAATAACGCGTTATCACACGTATATTGTACAAATTTTTATCTACGCCTCTAAATGAAAAAATAAACGGTAATTATTTTTGTCTAAGACTTAATTTAGGGTTATTTTGACATTTTGACTTTTTTATTTGATTGGTTAAAAGCAGAGAAAAACGCGTGCGTTAATGAAATGAGTGGGATAAGAAGTTCTTATCTCACTGGCGTAGATAAATAAAATTTTATTTACTATTTTTTTATTTTAACTTATGTTGATATATATGAAAAAACACAGTTTTAGTGTCGCACCCGTTACAATGGAAATACCCAAAACAAACATGAAAATGTAAAATCAAGTGAACTTATTTGTAAATTTATATTTTAATTTATATTTATTTATATTTTAATTTTAAATATTTTCTATTTAGTGTAAGGATTTTTTTATTTATTTAAATATTATTGATTTTATTTATAACCTAATAAACATTTTTTTTGTTAATTTATTAATGTTTTAGAATTAAATTTCACGATAAAAGAAGTATTAATTAATGTAATGGATAAGTAAATTTACTTAATACTTAAGTATACTAAGTATTTATTATGGTGGATAATCCACTGTAATATTTGGATTTTTTTAATAAAATAAAGGCCCTAATTTAGTTCATTAAAGGCAAGTTTAAAAGGGGCCATTATAGAACCTTTACGGTTGTGATTGCTGGGTCAGTTACTTTAGGATTTATTTTGCGGCACGAGGGTCGGAAAATTATCGGCCTTCAGTTAAAACGAATAAAAAATCCGTATTTTGTCTGTTTGAAATGCCCAAAGTAACCGAAGTAGCAATAACAGTATATTATTAACCCATTGCCCAAAGTCTCGTGTACATATCCAATCCGCATGTAATCATAACTTTATGATTGAATGGATGGAAATGTATCGAATTCACTGGTCCCTCGTGCGCCAAAAACATGTCCAAATGTTGGTTTAGATAGTTCCTCGAGCAAATATGTATGACACCGTCGTTGGTTCCGATGTAATACAGAGTTGGATCCACTGGATCCTGGCAAAGTTGCAATGCGCATGCGTATCTCGATACTGGTATGCGGAATCCAGAGCACCTGCGCAGAGTTTCCAGGCCTTTTAGTTTTGCGTCGCCTTTAGGCGTGCGCATTATTTGTTGATACTAAAAAGTTATGTGTTATGGTTGCGATTTTCAAGGTTAAATTATTTAGTTTAGTAAATTTTTAGTATGTGTACACAAACTTAGAGGCTTTTTACCTTTAAGTACTTGGTGCTAGTAGTTCTAAAAAGTAGAACCCTTCCACTTTCATAAATGGCCAAAAATTCATCCTCATTATCCATGTTTGTTATAGAGGTAAGAGGTACGAATTGAATTTGTGTTAATACATCCATTAGGCCTTTATCTAATGGTAGCGTTTCAGCAACTACTTGTAAAGCTCTGCTGGCTAAAAAAAGTCTAATAAATTATATTTCTTTAACTTAGATACACATAATATGTGATGTGAAATAGGGTTTTAAAACTTTCAAAAAAATTGAGCCGTTTTATTTAAAAGGTAATGCAAAAGTTTTCTGAAAATTCCGTCGCATGGTAGTTCAAAATTAAAAAAATAGAGGAAAAAATAAATAAAAATTAAAAAAAAAATTGTAAATAAAATTTATTTTTTCACCAATGTTAAGAAGCTTAATTTGTCCATTGTAAAGTCCCACACCAAGAAGATTTGGATTTAAATTTGAAAAGCTTAAAGTCGTCACTGGCAAGCCCATCTTGTAGTGCCGTTCGGGTTGTACAGGGTTTTTTATGTTCCAAATATTAACAATGCCTTCAACTAAATCAGTAATATACAATTTTCCATGGGCCACTGCTAGCAGATCTTTATTTGCAGGGTTCCATTCCATGGCTGTTACAGGTTTGTCTACAATAAAATTTATTCGCACAGTAGTACAAAATTAAAAAATAGTGTTAAAAATCGGCACACTAGCATACATTACAAAAATGGCAGGACAAATTCGCACAGTTTGATAAATTAAAAAAATGCCATTTTTAAAAATATTAAAATTTCCAAAAATTAACATAATTTGAAAAATAGGTTAATCAAACACGCGGAATAAATTTTTGTTCATACTTAACGTATCCTCATTACAAAAACTCCATAAGAGTTCCAGTCTATACTTATAATCAACTTCATTTTCAGTGAAAGGGCTTCTCTCTGATATATCCCTAAATATTTTTTGTTGCTCGTTAAAATTATTATTCGCCAATAATCTCTCTATAATGCATAGAGCATCTTGAAATTTTTCGCTTTTCACAATTTTCAACAGTTGCCTTTCATCCAAAGCTATCCTGTAAACAATGTTATAAAAAACATTTCCAAAAACCATTACCAAAGTGGTGATAACTTTAAATTAGTTAAGTATACTTTAATTTTTACTTAAAACTAATTATAACTTTTAAATAGCAATATTTTGTAACAGAAACTTTTTTCTTTCCTTAAATGGTTACTATAAAGTAATAAACATTTAAGTAAAACTTGGTTGCCCCCAAGAAGACTTTGCAAAAAAGGTGTTAAAAGTAAAAAACTTTCATGTAAATTTACTTTGTAGCAGTTACTTTCGGTTGCTACCTAAAGATTACATTATTATTATTTTTACTTTGTATTCCCTTTGCAAGTTAAAATCTCGAAACTGGAACATGAGTTAAAAACTACAAAGTTAATAACTTAAAAGTTATTATTTTAGTATTTGGAACGTTTATGGTACTAACCAAAACTACCGTAAAGTAAATTAAGGTGGAAAAAAACTTTAAAGTAGCGAAATCTACTTCAAAGGAAAATGCTCATTATCGGCCATTTTTTACTGTACAGGTGGTAATGTAAATAATGAATTATTTTAATTGTTTGTAAATGGTTGTTTACTTTTTAATAAATAGTAATTTTGTTGGTAATAGACGGTATTAATAATTAAATAAAAAATTAATAATAAATATTAAGATTTTTTTATTCATAAACATTATTAAATAAATAATTTGTTTATACTTAAATATTGATGAAGCGCATTTATTTTACAAAAACTAAATTAAAAAGTTCAACAGTAAAATTTAAAGGGTTTATAAATGTACCTGCCTAATTAAACAATATATTGTTATTCTGGAAGTTATAAACTACCAGTACATATTTAATAAACGACGACATTGAAAAGCCAAGTCCGTAGTGGTTCCATTTAAAAAAAGGAGGAATAGTATAATCTAATATAAGTTTAACAAAGACAGTTAATATAGAAGTAAAAACAAATAAATTAAAGTAATTATAACGCTCTACCAACGATATTGAAACCTTCTACACTGAGAAAATTCCAATCTTAAATTATCTTAATGAAATTATCTACATAGTGTTCAAAATATATCTAATAACCAGTACAAATTATCTATCTGTGACATGAAGACGAATTAAGGTGACTAATAGATACGTTTTAATAAAGTGTCCAAACAAAAAATATAGATCATCTATATTTATATTTTAACAATCATAAAATATCTAAATACCACCATAAACTCAGATTAATATGTCGCTGTTCTTTAAATTATTTTAATGCCAGTGATAAATAACTAAATATGGTTAATAGACGACCTTATTAAAACTTGTCTTAATAACCATTACTAGTCAATTGTGAACACATAACATAGGATTGTGAACCACCTTAAATTATCTAAAGACCTTAAGAAGTTGTATAATGGCCTTAACAAACTCATCTACCTAACTAACAGATTCGGCTTTCCGACTATACTCGAATCGACCAATCGTTTAACCACAGCACAGAACAGCGTCCTCTGTGGTAGCGTCATTTATTATTTCTCACTTGTTTACGGGAAATTGAGGATAATATTGAATCGTTATAGAAGAAAAAGGGCGTTTCTTCACAATTGTTTTGCGGTAATTTTACAGAACATGGTAATGGCTTTCAAAGTTACTCTGCTTGAATGGGGGCTCAGTGATTTTGTTAAAGGATTTGAAGGTAGGTTCAATTTCTTTCTATATAGTTCTAGTTTCCGGGGTCCCTGCATTAAGCATTTAATGTATTTATTATGTTGATGATACTTTTATAAATGTATGCTTTGAAGTTTATTTTATAGGATATTTGTAAAATCTGAAATATATTTTTGGTAAAATGTTAACAATTTATTATTATTAGGTACCATAATATATATTTATAAATAAAACAGCTTGAGAAAAATTACCAAGATTTTTAATAGGTCAGAATATTGGCTTTGATTCCTTAATTTATTATTTAATTATACATGTATAAACTTATAATTTTAAGATGGCCTATCTGCTAAAATAGTTTAATTTTTTTAAAGCTCAATTGTTATCTTTCTTTTAGGGTAGACTGGCTAAAAATGTTCAGAAAATTATGGAGTTAACTAAATGGAAATAATCCTTAAAAGTATTATTAATTAATATTTCTACTAAAAGTATACCCAGGTAGCACACTGACGTATGCTGACGTTTATATGACTTCTTCTGACGTTAAAATGACGTTAGCAAAGTCATTTCAACGTCATATAAACGTCAGTGTGCTACCTGGGTAAAGTCTTGAAAATTAAAATAAAGTCCCAACGCAGAAAATGCACTAATAAGGTCGTCTAGTAAAAATAATTTCGGTATTTATCTCTATTTTATTTCCTAAAAAAATAAGGAAAGCATTAATTTATGCTAATTGCGATATGTTTTTCAGATTTTTTTATAAACATTTAGGTTTAGTTTAGGTTGATGAAAATAATGGTGTTAATGATTTTTTTTAATAAAATAAAAATGAATGCCAAAATTATGTTCAAGTACTCGAACACTAAAATGAAAATCCAACCTTTTAATGCATTTTTTCGCGTTGGGGCTTTATTTTATTTTCAAGACTTTACTTTTAGTAGAAATAATGCTTTTAAGATTTATTTTCGTTTATTTATACCATGGTGCAGCTCCATTTATAATAAAATTAAACTATTGCCGTAAATAGGCCATCTTAATATGATAGCTATAGCATATTATTATGGCAAATAAATATATTTAGGATCATATTAAGATAGCATAAGAGGATATTAGGATGGAATTAAGATGATCATAAAATAATATATTTACCATTATAAGATTATTTATTTGCCATATATGTACCAATTTAGGATCATATTAAGATGTCATAAGAAGATATTTAAGTGATATTAAGATGATCCTAAAATAATATATTAACCCTTATAAGATATATATTAATGGCCGATATAAAAACTTTTGATGGTCTTATAATAATTGTATTAAGTTTGCCTATTGATGGTCACAAAGTATAGTTATTAAATTGAATCTATTAATGGTATTTAAACGGTCTTAATGTCCCCTATTTTACTGCGATATCTTAAATAAGGTTATTAAGAATCTTAAAGATGGTCTTAAATTATTTTTCTCGGTGTAGTAACGTAGCAGCTACGTTCCAAATAGTAGCAGGGTTTATAGCTAGTGACATATTTGTTACCTTTTTGGAAATCAATAATTGTTCCCCACTTTAGTCGTTACTTAGTAATTAAAGAGTAATATAAAGAGACCGGCGACTGACGCAAAACACTTTTAAGTTTCTTCAATAGTTCCATAAACGTAACAAGTATACTTAAATTGTTGCTTGGGTTATTACTACATCCAATTTAAAAAAAAGTAAACAGTTTTTAAAACAAGGTCTTGCCTATAGCTGTCCATCGACTGAACATCCGTAGGTTTCAATTCTTCGTCGCTGAAAATCTCGTCCTCGTCATCTTTCTCTACAGTTTCGTTGAAAGTGTCGTACATCTCCCAATTCGACGCGTACGCCCCTGTATCCTGCATTTTAATCATCAAGCAATCCGTGTCCCTGCTCTTCATCAATATGGGCATAGTTTGTATGCCCACCGATATGACCCTTCTGTTTCTTCCCTTTCCAGTTGTAAGGTATTCGTAGTTTTCGTTATCTTCAGCCACCTGAGTAAATTAAACACACGTTTTGCATTTACGAGAAATTTAAAATTAATAGACACAGAATCTAACAAAGTCTATGGAGTGCCGTATTATTTTTTATTTAGGAATTAATTTTTGTGTAAAATAAAAATTAAATTGAATTAAAATTGTCCTGTGATATTTTTAGTACATTTAAAAATTTATCCTATGATATGTTTAATTTAGCGAATTATAAATATGTGTTTAACTAAAAAATACAAATATAATCAACAGATATTTTAAATTCACTAAATTAAAAATATCAGTTCGGCATAAAAATTAAATTAAATTTTTAAATATACATTATGATTTTTAATTCGCAGAATAAAAATTCTTATGATATTTTTTATCTAATTGAAAATATCACTCTAGTGTTAACACATAACAATAATTTTTGAATAAACAATAAAACATAAGTCTGAAACTAGATTTGGACAGAAAAAATTTTAATAATGGTAAATTATAAAAAAATAACCTAAATATACCGTAAACACGGGTGGCTTTAGTATTTTTTTTGTAGTTTTAACAATCATAAACATTAAATATTGTATACCAAAATTTGAGTCTTGAGTTGCTCTTTCATAATAACTATGTTATAATCTTACATAGGGCTGAGTTTCAAAAATTAAAATTAAAAACTGCAGTTTTTAATTTTAATTTTACCCCCTGGTTGCGGGTTACTTTGTCTCACAGTGTATTTTCCGTATAAAATTAACTCAATAATTTATTTTATTTTTATTAGCAGCGACATAATATGTTAACTACAGGTCGATTTTTTATTGTTTTTATCGGTAATCCCTTGCAATTGCTCATCATTCCAAAGAATTGCGCATAATATCGAAATTGAAACGCGTGTTTTGCACTAATGCAATATATTCAACTTTAAAGTGTAATAAATCTCATTTATTTTTTTAAAACACTGATTTTCCTGTAAAATAAACTCAATGGAATCGATCAATTGACAGGTTTAGATCAACAAATTGTAAATGTTAATTTTATCGAGCGCGAAAAATTTTTTCATAAAAAGGCTAGTCACCCGCGGGGTGCAAAGTCACCCGTGTTTACGGTACCTATAATATTCAGGTATACCAAAAGACCCATTTCTTTAACATTTTTTTTGGAATTTGCAAAATTGTAGGAGTTATTTCATTTTTAAAGCCACCAATGAAAGCGCACTATTTATATCGGACAAATTCGAAAAAATGGAAATTTACTCTTGGATTTTCGCAAGGAATCGACCCCTTTAGTTTGTACTTTTGCTATTTTGCTCGCCGAGTTTAAATCTATTACCCATTTCCCGCCACCACAACATATTTTTTAAGATTTCGCGTGGTCCAGACCTATTGGAAGGCATGTAAATATACCTGGTCGCCCTCTGGCGTCTCGCGCAACTCTGTGCTACTCGGAATGTCCAAAATGAAGATGGTGTTAGTCTCGTTCAAGGTTAAACTGATATGCGTCGCGGGTTTCCGTTGCGCAGGCTCCGAAACGATTTCTTCCGGGATTCCCACTAGAATATCCTCGCTCAATCTCGTTATGCTATCTTTTCCTGACGGAAATGTACTGTAATCATCATCAGTAACTACAAAAAATGTTTTTTTTTAATGTATAATAATTTTCAATGAACATATGAAAAGACTTCATATTATTATATTATATACATATATGTTCAACTGAAAGATGGGGTTAATAATATTTTGACATTTAAACTGGTATACCAGTTTAAATGTCAAAATATTATTAACCCCATCATTTCAGTTGAACATAACCTAAAAGCGTAATATTTTCCTTGCACACAATCTACTGAAATGTATGCTCCTCTATAAAATGAGCTTTCTCCGCCTGATAAATAATGTACTATTCCTTCTTTTTTTATAGCATTAATTAAATAGGAAATCGACTGTATGAAGGTTGGAAATACCAAAAAACATTTTTATCTACTCTACCATTGATAAGATGTGACTTTATGGCGTTTTAGTCACGGGCTGAAGTTAGCAACAGTGGCTTTTGGTCATTTTAGTCACGGGCTGAAGTTAGCTTTAATATTAATTGGAAAAAAGTGAGGTTAAATCCGTTGACAGTTGACGGATGTCAAATGTTTAACAAATAAAATTGGCTTTAAAATCTTATATAATTATAATCTTATAAATATTTATGTTCGTCGTAGATAAAGTACTTTATACTATACGTATAGTATGCAACTCGTTTTATAAACTTCTTTAGACACTCGTTTTTATTAAAAACTCGCTCGCAAGCTTCGCTCGTTCTTAATTAAACTCGTAACTTTAATGGCGTTTACAAAACTTGATACATAATATAAATATATTAGTAGGGTGAAGTGCACCCACCCAAGTGCAAAACACAAATTGAATCGTTAATAAAATTCTTTACAACAATGGTAAGAGTCCAGTCTTTGGCATGTATACAACTCCCTTAGTGGTGTATCTCATGGCAGATCTAAACTCTGCGTTAAAGGTAATATTACATATATATGTCACCATAGCTATTTTTTTTGTAAAAATATATACATGTGGGTGCACTTGCCCCATATTTGGGGCAAGTGCACCACCACCGGTTAGTTCCCATATTATAAGTACGAACGTATACACGGGGAAAGTGCAACAAACTCACAGTTTTGTGAATTTTTTGCAATTTACCGCAATTAAATTGTCTTATTTATTGGTTATAAAGTTATTACATTTAACTCGAATATTAGGGAAATTATCTGGCAAAAAAAATCCATGATTACAAACTGATAGTTTTTATTCTCAACTGTTTATGAAATAATCAAACAAAAATACAATACTATTAAAAAACAAAGATAGGTAAACTTCATACAGTAAATCTAATTAATATTGTAATGCGGAAAACTGATGTCAAACTTCATTTCGCCTCTTCTTCCTATGGTACCTATGAAAAAAATGTGCTTAGAAACAAGAACATACGGAACTGCGTAGGCCGAAACTAACTCCGGGGAAAGTGGGCGCACTTCCCCCATGAAGGTAGGTGCACTTGCCCAATAAGAGAAAATTTTGGGGCAAGAGCACAATAAAGGTAATTTTGCATATTAGTTTACTTAAAACATATATAAACTTTCAAAATAAATATCTAGTAGCTTTACACATACCTTAGCTCCAGTAATAAGTGTTTTTTTTTCACAGAACTGCGCATTTAACACGCGAGTAAAAACGACAACACTCAATCAAGTCGCCATTCTTTGTTAACCAATTTGATTTCGGTAAAGAAGGGATGTGTATTTTAGTGGAAAAGAATCATGCTCTCGCACTTACCAGAGGGTGCCACCGCAGGTTGAATAGTTTTTTTTTAAACCCAATTGGTGCACTTACCCCAAAAGCGCACTTACCCCACTTCACCCTATATAGTATATGGGTCAGAATTTCTCAAACGGGCCACCTGAATTAGGTCAAAATTAGTTTTTGATTGTAGATACATTTTTTCGATAGTATTTTACATCACTAACACAAATCCTAAAGGATTTTGTAAAAAAAAAAAATTTCATTTGACATATTCATGATATTAAAAGTAAAAGTTTTTAGTAATTAAAAAATAAAAAAAAATCATTATGGCTAAACTAATTATCCGATTCCAACGATTTAACTAGCGTTGGAATCTTGTTTTGACATAGATTCTTTGTTATTTTTTTCAATTGTACAATTTTCATTTAGGTCGATTTTTGTTTGTTTTTTTTATAACAAATTCGGAAATAATTGGCTTCTGCGCCAGCTATCGACTCGAAAAAAAAAACACATATACTCCAATCATTTTTCGAAATTATGCTGCTGAGAAAAAAAAATGGCCCGCAGGTTCCAGACCACCGTAAGACGTCGCGTCACAAGCGCGTACAGCGTACACGGTTCGGAGCGTGAGCTGACACCGCGCGCGGCCACAAAAGGACGAATAACTTTTTGTCAACCTGCGGGCCATTTTTTTTCTCAGCAGCATAATTTCGAGAAATGATTGGAGTATATGTGTTTTTTTTCTCGAGTCGACAGCTGGCGCAGAAGGCAATTATTTCCGAATTTGGTATAAAAAAAACAAAAAAAAATCGACCTAAATGAAAATAGGACAATTGAAAAAAATAACAAAGAATCTATGTCAAAACAAGATTCCAACGCTAGTTATATCGTTGGAATCGGATAATTAGTTCAGCCATAATGAATTTTTTTATTTTTTAATTATTAAAAACTTTGACTTTTAATATCATGAATATGTCAATTGAAAATTTTTTTTTTTACAAAATCCTTTAGGATTTGTGTTAGTGATGTAAAATACTATCAAAAAAATGTATCTACAAACAAAAACTAATTTTGACCTAATTCAGGTGGCCCGTTTGAGAAATTCTGACCCATATACTATTTCCAATGGTGTGCCATATTGTATTCTTCTCGCGTGCGCAAAATTATACCATTAATTTAAAAAACAATGGTAATACACACGCATTTGCGTGCGCAAAGTTGTACTTTTCCGCACGCTTAGTTTGCGGACGCAAAAGCGATAATACAGAAATAAGATTATTAAATCATGAAGCATTTTTAATTCAAAACAAATAATATTTCAAAAATAATTCAATATAAAAATATAAGTAACACAAAGTAACAATTTCGTGTCTTTTTCTACACGTTTTTGCTAAAACGTGAGTCTAACGTGCTTTAGAAATCGTAACGCATTGAAAATAAAAACGTTGCCAAACCGCGCTAAATTTAGCCATAGATATAGTCACTTGTTCGTCTCGACGAATTAGGTATAAATCTCCACGTTATGGTTACGAATACATCAAGTTTTACACTATAACAGTATCTCGTATTCTTAACGAATACATGACGTATTTTTCACTACCAACTACTTACGCATTCTTGTCGAATACATCACGCATTTATCACGAATACACAATTATCCATCTTGAATATATCACGCATTTTACTCAAATACATCACGCACTCATGAAAACTAGTAACGTTTCCGTTATAAAATCGTATAGATTTCACCAACGCTTTTATACCACGGTTTCATATCTAGTTTTGGCAGGATTTTTTACAGGATATTTACAGGATATTTACTATAGGGTCACCCTATAGTAAATATCCTGTAAATATCCCTATTAGGGTGGCAATATATTTCCACTTTTTTATTTTTAGAGCTCAGACAATAAAAATTAAAGTATTTGAAGAGTTCCCTTTAAGTTTTAACTCAACCTTTTTTTCAAAATGACAAAAACAGTCAATTCTTATTTAGAAAAAAATATATTTTTTTGCTCGCTAAGGTAAATTTTCGTGCATGAAATATGAATAAGTTTCTTAAAGTTTCATAATTTAAATTGAAAGTAAAATAAAAATTAAGTATTAATTAATATTAAAATATTTAAAATTAATATATATGTAAACATTAAATGCAATGAATTAAAAATTTAAAAATTATTAGCGATCTTTAAAAATTTATATTTTGATCTGAAAATTTTAGAAATTTACTCATTTTTCGTTTAGAAAAATTTTCCGAGGTGAGAAAAAAATTAAAACAAAAAGTTTCGAATTTTGACTATTTTTGGAATTTTTAAAATTCTTTAGTGACCTCTAAAATAGTTAAAACTCTTTAATTACAAAAACATTTTTCCAGGGGAGCTCCAAAAAAGAAAAAATATTGCCACCCAAATATTTACCAAAAGTACTTATTCGTTTGTAGTGTAGTGATCATGTAGTGTTAGTAAATTGCAGTGTTGTTTCAGTGTTGTAGTAAAATGAAATGTTAGTAAAGTGTAGTGCAGTTTCAGTTAAGTGCAGTGTTTAGAAAGTAGTTGCTTATATAACTTTTTTAAACACACCAAGTAATTAGTTAATTAACTAAACTTACTACATAATCCACGCACTTTTCTGATTTTTACAATAAAACACTTTAAAAAGTACGATGGTAAATTATTTTTTATTTTTAGAAGAACATAAATATTTTAAATAAACTAAACAAAAACTCAAAACAAAATAAAAAATTCATAACAAAACCTAAAAAGAACATAAATATTTTAAATAAACTAAACAAAAACTCAAAACAAAATCAAAAATGCATAACAAAACCTAAACTGAAGAAAAAAAATCATTATTCCAACTTTATTACATACTTATTTTTTTTCAATCTTTTTCTAAAAAAAAAGAACATTATAATTATCTGACTTCTTTAAGCAACAAATTAAATACAAACCTGTGCTTTTATCCTGTCGTATGTATGTTGAAAAGCATACATGAGGTGCTTTTCAACCTCGTCTTTAGTAACATTTTTCTCATTCGATACTACGTCCACTATGGTTTTTGCGAGCAGAGTATTTTTTCTCAACATTTAGCAATTTCAATAAAATTCCCTGTAATTAACCTAAAAAATACATGTGCTTCGAAGCACATGTATTTTCTAGGTTAAGTAGAGGAATTACAGGGAATTATTAAACAAAAACGAGATAAACAAATAATATGCTGAACAGACACATACCTTTTAAAAGCTTGTTGCTATTATTGCCACAAATAGTATTTTTATAATTATTTTACGGCTTTACTTCGCAAAACAGACGACCACGATGCGACTGACAACAGCAATATGGCGCTTAACTTCCCCGTCTCGAAATGAGGGCCGGTGAGAGATCAGTAACCAATTCGTTATAAACTCGAGACACATTTGTGACGATTTCGTAACTCGAAAGATATAGGTACCCAAAATATTAAGTCACTTTTTCAAGTCGAAAAAACGTGAAGAAATTTAAGCAAAATCTATTTAAAATATTCACGATTACAATATGCCAACGGTTCTGTAAAAAACGACGTGACGGAACCTTGTCTTTACATTGTCACGTTTTTACTATTGCCTTAAAGTGGCGAAATTAATTTTCTTTTTAATAAATTTACGTGTACTTGACGAACTGCTGTCTCGTTTTCGTCACTTGTAATTTTTGGTCGTCACGATGTGTTACTAGGGTTGTATTCTTCTCGCGTGCGCAAAATTATACCATTAATTTAAAAAACAATGGTAATACACACGCATTTGCGTGCGCAAAGTTGTACTTTTCCGCACGCTTAGTTTGCGGACGCAAAAGCGATAATACAGAAATAAGATTATTAAATCATGAAGCATTTTTAATTCAAAACAAATAATATTTCAAAAATAATTCAATATAAAAATATAAGTAACAACTTTTCGCACGCTAAAACCCGTAGACTTATTACAAAAACATCCTTACCTCTGGTATTGGTAAGTATGGTAGTACTCTTGATACTCTTGGTACTCTCTTGATACGATTGGGATGCAAGATCACTTGTAACTTTAGAAACTTTAAAAATAGCAGCAGACGAGGCATCGTCTGCCGCGGTGGTGCTTCTAAGTTGTCTTTCCTTTGCCGGCTCGTATACGTACGGGTCCAAAGCTCTGGGGGTTCTATCGATACCATCTTCGTCAATTATCGCATACGGAGTTTTATCGAGCTTGGATTTTAGCACCAAAATGCCAGTGGTTTTGGGTTTTCCCTGGATTTTTTTAACCTCCTGGGTTTTCGCAGAGTATTCCTTAGTATCGGTCATTTTTTCAATGATTGTCAAAGTTTGATCGATGATTTATTTGTTTGCTTTCGTCCCACCGTGCGGCAGGTGTTGCCAACCATATATATACTGTCTGTCCACTCTAAGTTGGCTGAACTAAGGAATTTTGTAGTTTAGATATTAAAGAATTGTCGTACTGTGTGCTTTTAAAACAGATTTTATATTATAAATAATAGTAGTATATAATATGTACTAGTATTATTTATAATATAAAATCTGTTTTAAAAGCACACAGTACGACAATTCTTTAATATCTAAACTACAAAATTCCTTAGTTCCGCCAACTTAGAGTGGACAGACAGTAGTTAGGTAATCAATTAAAAAATTTAAAAAAAAATTCTACATTTTAAAACTTGAAAAATAAAATCTGCTTTTATTAATTCATAAATCAATAAACAAACAAAACGATAGGTATATTTATTAAAAGCACAACCAGACGAATTTTGGAGTTATGTGATTTAAAGATAAACAAGACAACGAAAACATACTTAAATGACAGGAAGAAGAGAAAAACATACTTAAACAACAAGAAGAAGAGAAAAACCACGCCAAACAGGGGACAGAACTAAAAAAATTACACACAATAGTAATACGTTTTTAAACTACATTTTAAAATTTAAGTAGCGCCGTCTATTCGAAAAAAGCTGAACTAATTATGTTTAGCAATGCTTGAATAGATGGCGCTGCTAACAATATTTTGTAGGTAGGCAATTATTTTAAAAATCTAGTTTATCTTAATTGCCTACATACAAAAATTTATAAGCAGCGTTATCTATGCAAGTAGGGATAAACTAAAGTTTCAGAATTTCTAGTTGCGATATAGTTATACTTACTTAATAGGGTAGTTCAGACATTTTCCCAAAACTTTTGAAGGTATACCCAAATAATAATAATCGACTGTCTACTTATATATTTTTTTTTAATTTAATGGCTGAACTAAAAAAGTAAACATTTTTGTTGGCAAAATTAATTAGTTTAGCAATTATTTTATAGATGGCGCCACCATTTAAATTTGTTATTTAGGCAACCAACAATAACACTTATTATCATATTGTGGTTATTATCCTTTTTCTATGGTCCACATTGTGGTTATGATATGGTTATTATCATAGTCTCTTCTATAGTTATTATCTTTTTCTATGGTTATTATAGTCTACCTTAGAACAAAAAACAACAGGAAGGAGTCTTGTCATTCTTTAGCCGTACTAAAATTGCGACGGAAGTCGGCCATTTGCAAGCTCCAAATTATGACACATTTGTGATGCTATATTTGTCAAAGTTGAATGTTTTATGTGTTTGTCGGTGTTTTATGTTGTTTTTCTGGTTAAATTAACTTTAAATAAGCGTTTCATTGTTTCTAGACAATATTGTATTTGATATATTCTCGTTTAGTTTTTAGTGTAAATATTTAAAGTTTAAGATATAAATATTGGTGTTTAAGGTGTAAAAACAAATTATGGTTAGTTGTGCAGCTTGTGGTTGCTCCTTGAGCACAAAAAATTAAAAATATTCATTTACATTTCATAGGTGAGTATTTTGGTTAACGTTTAATTTATTTACTTATTGTATATTTTAAAATAATTAGTTGTAAATATTAAACATAAATCAATGTCAAATAACGTAACCTTAGAACATAACCATAACCTAAGAACGTAACCATCATAGAAAAAACCATAGGCGTATCATATTTTCTGATACTAACCTAATTATTATAAAAATTAAACTTCAATTGTATTTACTACGCCACTGTCAAACGGAAACAACTATCCGCCATATTGAAGCTCCACTTTGGACCCAAGGTCATATATTAAATGCTCCTTCCTGTTGTTTTTTGTTCTAAGTAGTCTACTTAGACATTTTTATATAAATAAAGGACGGTTGGGAACACTGCACCTTAAACTTCTCAGTGGGTTGGCAGTACGCTTGTCGTATAGTTTAAAATGGCGGAATCCCAACAAAGTATGTTTTTCTTTTGGATTTTGTTAAATTTTAATTGTAAATTATTTTGAAAATTGAAATTTTTGAAAAATTATGTAGGAGAAATACTGATTAATTATTTTTAAGCTACACAATATTAATTTTCAAATTTATTTTCAGATAGTGATGGCTTGAAGTCGGAAAGCCTAAATCCCCCCATTATAATGAAAATTGATGCACCCAAGGAAGACACACATAAAATAGGTAAATATCTAACAAAAACAAATAAATGTATGTTATTATTCGTATTTGTTTGTGCAGAAGACGAAGACAATGATAAAAACGAAATAGAGTCATTCAGAATGTGTACTCCAACATACAAATCCGTAATATCATCACCCAATTTATTTTCTGGAAGACCAAAAAGCCTCATCAAACCGCCTCAGCTAAGTTTTAACAAACCAGCCTCAAAAACCTTTGTTCTAAACCCAAGCAAACTTGCCCCTGTTGTTCCTGAAACCAATAGTGAACAATGTGATAAAAAGGTAAATCAAGCTAATGGAGAAACGCCAAAATTTGTGCCTCTAGTGCAAACAGAAAGTAGAACTACTAATATATCAGCACCAAGCAAATCAAACTCCAAGGATAGTGCTACAGTATCTTCAAGTACCTCATTTGTGTTTGGACAGAACTTATCAGATCGTGTGATAGCAGGTGAAAGAGAAGGGAATGATGAAGCTCCATCAACAAGCCTCCATTCAAATGGCAGTTCAGAAATGTTGTTTAGTAGTGTTATGAATACAGAAGTAAAACCAGACAGCACAAACAAAGAATCAAAATCCCTAAGTGAGTCTGCAAGGGAGTATGAAGAATCCAGAGCCAGTAAACGGAAGTATGATGAGGTTGAGGTTAAAACTGGCGAGGAGGAGGAGACAAATGTTATTAGTATTTCATGTAAACTTTTTGCCTACGACAAAACAGGTGGCAGTTGGCAAGAACGAGGCAGAGGGACTCTAAGACTTAATGATTTGGAAATGGATGACAATCAAACCCAAAGCCGATTGGTTTTTAGAACTTCAGGGAGCCTTAGGGTCATTCTAAATACTAAGGTATGTTTTTTTTATACACCATGCTAAAAAATGCCTTGGTTATTCTAGGAATTCCAAGAACAACTTTTACACTTTAACTTATTAAAAAAATGTCCAACTCTTTTAAAATTAAAAAGAAATGTATCCATTTATCCATAAAAGAACAATTTAATGTCATGATCAGATAACCTCAATTCCAATGAAAGTGACAGATACCTAACCTAGAAATGTAAAAAAACGGTTTTTTTTCAGATGTGAAAAGAAACAGAAAAAAAAACGCTTTTTTTGTTTTTTTTTAAATCCTCAATAAAGTATATTTTGTCAATAAATAACTTCAATCTTAAAAAATGGAGTAATTTCTCAAAATTAAATTTTGAGTAAAATGTATATTAATAATAAAGTGAAATGATATATTCAATATATCATTTTTCATTATTGAAAATTTTGACAGAGACTAAATCTGAGTTCTTATTATTTGGTATTTTCCACATAAGAAACCAATAGCAATGTAAAACTTCTACACTAATAGAAAAAATTAAAGGATAAAAAAAATTCCAAATTTTTTGAGATTTTTCGGATAGCTGTATCTTCGTTAAAAATGGTCGTATTGGAGCCGTAAAACCGAGTAAACAAGCAATTTGAAGCTTGAAGTTTCTAGTTTTGAGATTTTTAGATGAAAAACGTGCAACGCTTAATCCTAACAAATACCGTATAAAAAAATTCGAAATTTTTTTGGCTTTCTTTTTTGGTCCACAGAATGTTCTGACTTAACCACCAATGAATAAACGTCCTACAAGAATTTGCTATTGTTTTTTTGAAAAAAAATTCCATACTCTACATGAATTTGAAAAATCACGAAAAAAGTTAGTAGCTTTCAAAAATCCAGCGCTGAATCAAAAATATTATAGGTAATTACATTTTTAGTACCAAATCAAAACAAGCGCGGCCCTTATTGGCCAATTCGGTGGTGGTGGCGCGTGCCAAGCGCGAGACTGTATTTAGATTTACTAAATGTCATTTAGTGGCTAATTCTAGTACATGAACTGGACTGGAAACATAAAAAATTAGGCAAATGGGACTAATCTTGAAAAAAAACCATTTGCAAAAAAAAACAAAAAACGGACCGTTTTTTTCAAGTCGCATCTCTAACCTATCCTAAATTATACGATTTTTTTTATTCATGTCATTGAATCAACCAGCACTTGATGCAATATGTTGTCGGATTTACATGTTATTTTATGTTGGTAAAATTGGATTAAATTAAAATTACAGAATTAACCAAAATTGATGAAACTGTTTTGTTTCAAATGATTTACTGACTTATATCCTAGAATTGCCATGGGACGCCCCCTCAAAATTTTGTTAAATTAAATAAAAAACACGATTTTTATTTCAAAATCTTCAAATATCATTTAATAAAATGTATGAAAAGGCCTAAAGAAATATATTTTTTCAATTCCAAGAAATAAATATTTGCATTATGTTCCCCTTCCCAAAATCTTCCTCAGGATCCGTCCCTGTCCATAACACCATGTATTATTTTAAATAAAAAAAATAGATAGAAAAAAAATTAAGGAATCCAATGATGTATCAAACTACATAAGTGGCAGTCATTATAAAAACAAAATGTTTTGACAGGTTTTTTTAATTATTTGACAACCACTGATTTTTTTCTTCAATTTTTAAATGCTATTTTAATATACTTGTAATTTCTCTCTTGTCTACTTTAAGCGAGCTTTTTTTTTTAAAAAATACCCATACATAAAAAGATACTTGGTGCACCCTGTATAAATACAATTTTTTTTATTATTTAATTTCTTTTATTATTTTTACTCATTGATTATACTTTTTGCCGCTGTTTCATGAACAATTTTTCACACTTAATTTTATACACTTCCGAGATAAACAAATTAAATTATTTTATTCTATGAAACAAGTGAAAATTTTCAGAAAAAAATACTTTTTATTTCAGTTTATTCAAAGGGTACTACGAAAAAAATAGAAAAGTAAATTTTTCTGAAAATGTCCAAATAAATGTACACTGATATCAAGAAAAAAATGAATTTTCGACTCTGATTATAATCATATGTATAATAATAATAATAGTTTTTTATTGAAAAAAATAAATTTTTCAAAAGGGCATTGACTTTCGTCCTTCAGCCAGAATATACATTTTTGAAATGCTTATTAATAATTATACTAAAATATTTTGATTGTGAAAAAGTATGATATATAATTATAATAAATATTCCTATTACTATTATTATAATTCAGTACGAATCTTCTACCGGATCGCAAAAACAAATTCGGTGATTAACATAACTATCATTTTATTTAACACATCGATTTTTAAAATTATAATTTTGTAATTTAACTTTATAAATCATTCATGCAAAAAGGACCCAACCGACAGTATATTTAATGTTTACGTTTATTTTCTTAAATCAATTCAATTTAGTTTTATTTGTTTTTTAGTTATAAATTTATTATCCTTAAGAATTATTAGTTGATTGCTTTGTATATTTTCAGACATTTTTTTTTTCCCAAAAGACATTTTTTTTCAAGGCCTGTGAAAAAACGGTATTTTTTGTAAGTTTTTTTTTCGACACTTTAAAACCCTCTCTCGAGGCAGTAAGCCCGCCCTAATGCCTGAGGCGCATTCAGAAAAATCAGTTATAAACTCAAATTATAATAATATATAATTTTTATTTTATTTTTTTAGATTTGGGCAGAAATGACGGTTGAAAAGGCAAGTGAAAAAAGTATCAGAATTACAGCACTGGATTCCAATGGAGAAATAAAGGTGTTTCTCATAATGGTAATATAGATATAATATATTTTTAAAATAATTGTACAATATTTGTTTTTTAGGGAACAATTGAAGATTCCAAACAGTTCTTTAATCAATTGCAGTCCCGGGTGCAAAAAGAGGTTCTGGCATCGCAAAAGCGAAGAAAACCCCTTACAAATGCAGACACAGATTCCGGCGGGCAGTGATTTTTTTGTAAATTAAATTTGTAAAATGTTTTAAAATTAAATAACTTTATTATTGCTCATGTTCTAGAGAAAACAAGAAAGGTAGAACATGTTTGGTCTTAATAGTAATCTTTTTATAATATGATGTATTGTTTTTAACAACTGGTGAACATCAAAAGTTGCTTTCAGCATTTTGAATGTAATTTTTATTTTTATTTTGTATGTAATAGGCAATAAAATATTTCCCAAGTACAAATAAATTTTGTTTCATAAAATTGTTTATTATTAATATAAAGTCACTTGTTTCAATATATGTATATTTATTACTCATAAAATGCATACAAAAATAACAGTTGCTATAAATTCTCCTTACAACTTTTGGGGAGTAATTTAAAAACAATTACAATTTCTTCTCATTTAGAAAGTAAAAACGTTTATATAATTAATTTCACATGAAAATATTGCACACACAAAATTATACTGAGCACAATAAAATGTCACCTTTGTAGAAAAAGGTGCCCTTTTGAACCATGCTCATTTTTTAACATAAAATTTTTCATGTCAAATTTAAACCATACCCAGTTTAAACCTTGAAGAATATTGGTAAAAGTTGGTTAATTTATTATTAGGGACTGTTCACAAAATCCGTCACTGTAAAAAAATTTAACCCCTCACCCTATGTAGCATGCGCTATGCTCCACCCTTGACATTTGAGTAACAATAATTGAAATCACCTATCTGTCAGTTTAAGGCTTATTTAGTCTTTTTTAATAATACTATATTAGTATTTTTTATAGATGGCAGATGCTCGAGTGCTTTGCAAAGTCCTCATTAATGCTTATAAGCGCTCCTAAATGCTCGATGAAATTTAAATTTTATAAAAAAAATTATTGAAAATTTTTTTAACAAAATAGGGTTAAGTAAACCATTTTGGAATTGGATAAACCTGCACCACTTTTGTGACCTGCACATGTTTTGATGTAAACAGTAGTTATTTGTTGGTTAATTTATAACCCCGCTTTTTAGTTTTGTCGCCAAATTCAAACATCGAGCACTTTATGAGCGGTTTTGAAAGTGCTCATTCTTCTCTAGTATTTTTTATGAATAAAAAATAAAAATGAGAACAAATTATGCATAAATTGTATTATTTTTATAAAATGGGACGAAATTAGCGTTAAACTGACAGATACAAAACCTCAATTATTTGACTGAAGTGTGACTTTGATGTGGAGCATGGTACGTTTGATTAAATGTAGAGTTTTACAATCAAAAAAATAAAATACACCAACATAATATTAATGGGTAAATTTTGACCCCCTGCCCCTAAAAAACGCGGAATATGTGAACAGGCCCTAAATTGTACACAGCATACCATATTTTTTCTTATTTGGGTCATGAAACACAACACTCAGATTTTCCTCAAATTTTGTGTACATGATATATATATAAGCAAGGCTAACAAAAAATCTTAGGTTTGAAGATTCCACGATACCTAATTAATTACCGATAAATTAATTATTGTAATTTTTAATTTTTTTTTGCAGTATGTGCCATTTCTTCTTAATTAATTAAATAACTCCTTTGCTGTAAAGGTTATTAAACTAATAGTTCGTTTCTGAAGACAAAAATTTAAATATTACAATAATTAATTTATCGGTAATTAGTTAATAAAATTTGTGGTTGTCCTTGCTTATACATAAGTAATCTACACCAAATTTAAATAAAAGCAAACTTTTTATATTATTGTGTTTGATTTAACATGGAATGACCCATTTCTTTTATCATATTGAAATTAAATTGTATTGTTACTGCCATACACATTAAAAAGTGGGACAAACAGGCTTTAGGTTGTAAAAATGTAAAATTAATCAATCTATATAAATCAATTAACCAATCAGGGCACAGTATACTCGGTCGTACTTAATCTAGTGTGCGGTGGAGAATGTGTTGTGATTGTCTATTTTTTTCTATAAAAGGCAATTAACCAATCAGATCACATCATTCACTACCGCACACTAGATTAAGACAGAAACATAATATGACTGTTGGGTGTCCCGCTTTTTAACATGGTTAATATGGTTACTTTAAATTATAGACGCAACAAAAACTCTTTTACAATTTTTATGTTTTTTTTTTAATTTACCATATTAATTATTAGACAAATTTGTCCCTTAATTATCGATTTAATTTTATCCATAAAATTTAGATAAAATTTTATTTTGGTATAGATATAAATACATTTTTTTATTATTTTCTTTCTTTTATAATTTTTACTCACTTATTGAACTTAGCAATCAAATATTTTACAAAGAAAGCAAGTTTTTTTTATCCTCACATCACTTAGTCTATACTTAAGATAAGGTTCTTTTTTATTTTTTATTTTTTTCGAATAAAATGACTTTAAATCTATTGTTATTTTTTTATAAATACTTAACAAATAGATTACTTCACACGACAAGTCATTAATAGTTTTAGATTTTTTTGCAATAACTATAGGTAAATAAAAATAATTCAACAAAACGCCTAAGTAATCTTGAACTTGAAACAATTTGAACACAAAATAAATCTCAACAACATATAAGATATCTTGGTAATTTTATAAATATTACTCTTCTGCAAATAATAAACAAAAAAATAATAAAATACCTCCTAATTTTAATTATAAGTATACCTACTTACTTAAAACCTACATACTTTTTCGTTTCTACTAGGAATCGGGCGTGAAATTGAACGCCTGATTCAACCCTTGTAAATCTCTGTCGTCCACCAGGGGTTTTAAATCTTGCCGGTTCATCAGGGAGACGCACATGCGCATTGTCGACCAAATGGTTTCCGACATTTGCGATTTGGCGCCCGCGTTTTCAACGTCTTTACCCCTCGCTTGTTGATTGAGGGCCGTCAAAAAGTGTTCTGCTGCTTCACTGAACACACAATAAAACAAATCAGTCACTACCCAAAATCTGGGTTTTGTTTATTGATTACCTACAGTCAAAATGGGAATATCAAAATTTCGAGGCAACATTTATTATATTGTCAATTTTTGAATTTTCGTAAAAAAACGAAAAGGTTGACTGATCCATGAACGGACACAGTATACTAAACCGTGGACCGTAACCGCTTCAGTGAACACGTAAAAATTAAATAACAAACTAATTTATACAAACTAGAGTTGTGTACCGGTCCATAATCGCTATTTAAAAAATTATTTCTATTCTTATAGATTTATAAACTTTCATAACTATCTAGCATACTTGGTTTCATAACTTCCTTAATAAGTTTAAGGTTGTCAAATATTTAGGAAGTTGCATTAAATGTCAATGTTTTTAAAAGCCTGTTTGTCCAAAAACTAACAAAGTAACATTTACATGTAAATTTTACTCATGTAACATACACAATAATCTACTTTTTCATCCAATTTCTTTCCTACTATATTTTTAAAAGGAAAAAAATCAAGGAATCCAATGATGTATCAAACTACATAAGTTATGGCGGTCATTACAAAAACAAAAGGTGACCATGTGAAATTTCAATATGGCGGCCATGGTAACTCAAAACCTAGTAGGCGAAAAAAATCACAAATTGGATAAAAAAGTAGAAAATGTATGTTTACATGTGAAACTTACTTTTTGTAAAAATTTCCAGGAATAACGAAGTTATAACGATTTATTGTTTTAGAAGGTTTTTAGTTTTCTTCAAATTTAAAAATTTTCATAATTTCCAAAGTTTAAAAAAATATTAATAAATTAAATTGAAAGTGGTATTCATTAAACAAATTTTAATGTTTTTCGAAAAAGCAAGAAAAAAAAATAGAAGATCCGAATAATTTTTTATACATTTTTTGAAAATTAAATTTTTTTTTAAACCTTCAGGTTGTCTCTACATCCCCTAAAATTTTGAAAAAATGAACAAAATAACATTTTTTTTTTCATTTTCTTTTGTTTAAAAAAATATATAAAAAAATTATTCAGAACTCTTACTTTTCAAAAAACATTGAATTATTTTACAGGAATTTTACGAAAATTTTGATAAAAATGATAAAATTTACTTATACAAAATATTGGAGTTTTGTTTGATATTAGACCTCTGATATATATTTTTTAAACAAACATTTTAACTAATTTTCACAATTTCCAAAGTTTAAAAAAATAATAATGAAATGAAATGAAATTGAAAGTGGTAATCATTGAACAAATTTTAATGTTTTTTGAAAAAGTAAGAAAAAAAATAGAAGATAGTTCTGAAAATTTTTTTAATATATTATTTTGAAAACTATTTTTTTTCTAACTTTGAGGTTCTCTCTACATCCTCAAAAATCCCCAGGGTGATATTATGAGAAATAAGATGAGTTAAAAAAAATAATTCAATTGAAAAAAAAAATAAGAAACGAAAAAACGCCACTGAAAATTTCAACAAATTTGCAGAAAATGTGAATGTTTTGAAAAGCCTGTTTGTCCAAAAATGAGAGAAATAATTTTTTTTCTTATTTTCGGTTTTAAAATGTAGGTACTGCATACTTTTCAAAAAATATATATAAAAAAATTATTCAGTACTATCTTCTATTTTTTCTCACTTTTTCGAAAAACTATTTTTCGATCATTAACCACTTTTTTCAAACTCTACATCCTCAAAAATCTCAAGAGAGGTAAGCTGAGTTAAAAAAAATAAATTAAAAAAAATAGAAAATTTCATAGTTTGCTAGAAAATGTTCTAGATATTTGAAAAATAAAGACTTTTTTTGGTTGTGTAAAAAAATTTGAAAAAATCCTGAAAAATGTTTTTGATAAAAAAGTTTTAGCCAAATCAATAGGTGTCAATTTGGTATGGAAAGCCCCATATATAAGATAACCCACTATGGTATGTTAAAAACTGGAAATGCAAAACATGTCGACTATTTAAGAAGTCAATTTTAGAATGCCAAAATAAAATTTAGTTTAGATTATATGGTAGCTACTTACTTGTAGGAGTTCAAGTTAATACACGTAATTCCGACGTTATATCTAGCTCGAATAAAACCTGGCGCGATTTTCAAAGCACGATAATACGCGTCCACAGCTTCTTCCGGATTGGAACCGTTGGCCAAAGTTGCACCTAGCCTATTCCAAAGTCTGGCGTCCTAGAAAGAGAGCAAATCTACAAGTTGGCTTTGGAATTTGAAGAAAATAAAGCAATACAAAGCCTACTAGAACTTGATTGTAATGCCAAGTAGTGATTGCGCATGAAGACTAGACACTGGTCTTCGTGGATTAAACTTACTGTAGGTTTGACGGTCAGAGCAGCCTTAAAACAATCGGCCGCTTTATCGTAGTCCGAACTAAGGTTAAAAAGCACCCCGAGGCCGCACTGGACGTCGCAGTCCAAGTCCATCGGATTTTTCTGCGCCGCTTTTATAAATAAGCTCTGAATTTCTTCGTTGCGCGCTCTGTAAAAAAAAATGGACGCGTTGTTATGATTATACTTTTTTAATGCCCAATATACAAAGCTTATGTTTTTATTTAGTAAATGCGTTAGTAAAGATTAATTTAAAAGTGAACAATTACCATACTTTTAAAATAATGTATTGAATTGAATAAAAAATATATAAGAAAACTTAACCATTACAAAAAGTATTTTTTTTGCATATTGAGCGAATATCTGAAAAATACACCATGAAAAGAAAATAATTATTACTTATAAAATAAAATACACGCATGCAATTCAGCAAATATAAGCAAAGCAGTGATATTTAATAATTAATACTCACAAGGAAATACACCTGAAATGCCAGTACAAAATAAAACTATATATTTTTGAGACCAAAATAATGCAATATAACTAAATTTATCTCTATACAAAAGTTGATAACCAAGATGGTTGAAAGTTCGTTTTCAATTTTATTAAATACCTTTGGAAAAAACAAACGTTTTTGCAAAAAATTTGTCTAGTTTTTAGTAAAATCAAAAACAAACTTAACTTTGAAACCCTGTATCTTGGTTTTTATCAACATTTGTATAGAAGTAAATTTAGTTTGGTATCATTTTCAGGAACACCTTGTATAGTACAGTGAAATTTATTGAAATGTTTAAAAGAAACAATTAAAACAAAAAAAAAGCAATATACAGGATGTCCCAAAAATGGTGCACCAATGCCAAACCATGCGGAGTTATTTAAACAAATATTCCAACAAGTAGTTTTTGAATTGATTTATTTTTATTTTTTAATTTAACATTATAAACAATTAAATAAAATAACTCAAAAACTACACAACATTTTTTTTGTAATTTATTGTTTTTCTTAAAGTACTCTATCATTGGGAAAAAGTAAACAAAAACAAATTCGGTGCGGTTGTCAAAAGGCAAGGATTTAAAAATTAAATAACTCCTGAAATTTTGTTAATTTGACCAAACGATAAAAGGAAAATTCGTTTTGAAATTTTAAGAGGGATTCACATTTAACCTTTAAAAGTTGATACATTTATACTTCAATAAATATGGTGAAATGTATGTATCAGGGGTCTAATATCAAGCAAACTTCATTTGAGTAACATTATCAGAAATTAAAAAATACGCCATTCAAGTAAAGATAAAAGTTGCGCAATTATTGGTATTGAATGTACCCAATAATCTACATTTTCATGCAATTTCTTTTTTACTATATATTGAGTTGCCATTAGAGTTAAAAAAACGAAAAAATTGGGGGGAAACTGGGTTTTCCGTTTTTTTCCAGTCCTTGGAAAAATTGTCTCTCTTGGTAAAAATTAAATATTTTTAACAATATTTTAATTTACAAAAAAATCCTTTATTACAAAAACAAAAACAAATAAAACGAAACATTAAATTGAATTTAAAATTAAAATTGAAAATAAAAGTAAATAAAAAATATACTGCTGGTTGAGTCCTTCTTGCAAGTCCATTAAAAATATCCAATTAAAAAATAATAAATGATTAATTAAGTTAAATTAATATAGCTCCAAATATGTTGTTCTGCGACTCGGTAGAATATTCCTTCGGAATTAAAATAAAAGGAATAATTATGATTGTGATTAAAATCAGCGTCGAAAATTCACTTTTTTCTCTTCTTCTTTCAGTGAACGGATATTATACCTACGTAAAAATTTCAAAATTTTACAAAAAAATTCTTTTGCATTTTTTATAAAATAAAAAAATACAAAAGTGAATTTTTCTAAAAATTTCCTAATATTGCCGTTTATTTAAAAAAAGAAACAGTTTTTTTTTGCCGACTCAATTTTTCCGGAAATTGTAAAACCCTATAGTATCATAACTATAGTTACCATCACCATCTTTTGTTTTTATAATACTGCCGTGCTTAATGAAAACGCCGTAACCAACAATTTTGAGATTTTTGTTTTACGGCATTTTCTACTAGAACAATTCATCCTGCGTCTATCCCCTGTACTCAAAAAACCGTATCTATATTTCATATATATTTTTGAGTACCGGGGATAGACGCAGGATGAATTTTTCTAGTAGAAAATGCCGTAAAACAAAAATCTCAAAATTGTTGGTTACGGCGTTTTCATTAAGCACGGCAGAATAGCCACCATAACTTATGTAGTTTAAAACATCATTGGATTCCTTGATTTTTTCCTATCTGACCATGTAAAATTTCAATATGGCGGCCATGGTAACACAAAAACTAGTGGGCGAAAAAAAATCACTAATTGGATAAAATGTAGATAAATGTGTATGTTTACATGTAAAACTTACTTTTCAAAAATTCCCAGGAATAACGAAGTTATAACGATTTATGGTTTTGGAAGATTTTTAGTTTTTTCCAAATATTTTGAGAATAGCTGATTTTTTTTTAATTTTTAAATGCCATTTGAATAGACTTTTGGCTAATTTAACATCATTGTATTCATTGATTTTTTTCCTATCTGACCATGTAAAATTTCGAATGGGGGCCATGGTAACTCAAAATCTAGTAGGCGAAAAAATTCACAAATTGGATAAAAATGTAGATAAATGTAAAACTTCTAAAATTTCCAGGAATAACAAAGTTATAAAGATTTATGGTTTTGGAAGGTTTTTAGTTTTTTTCAAATATTTTTGGATGGCAGATTTTTTATGCAATTTTTAAATGCTATTTAAATAGACTTGTAATAACGCAATTTTTGTCTAATTTAACCGACCTTGTAGCTCTTCAAATAAAAAAGATATTTCACAAATTTTTTTATAAAAATGATGAAATTTGCTTATAAAAAAGTTTATTGTGTTTGATTTTAGACCCCTGTTATAATTTTTTTTTAATAAGCACTTTAACAATTTGATTTTTTTTTTTAAATGTCCACTATCTTTATTTAAACAAACATATTAGAACCTTAAAAATTTCCAAAATCATCAAAATTCAAGATTCCGGTTAGTAGTATAGAAAGTACACTCACGGGCAAAATAATCGATCCACACAAATTTTCGATGAATTTCAATCGCAAATAACTTTTTTATTTGATTTCCGATTTAAACAAATATTAAAGAATATTGTAGATACATTAATGGAAAATCGCTCACATTTTAAAAATTACTAAAAAATACACGTACGTTTATAATATACAGGTTTAAACAAAAAGATGTTTTTTACCATAAGTTTAAGACACTCTGTAGAGTGGCAAAACCGTATATTGTTCTAAATTAAGTTTTAATTATCAAGTCACATCTATTCTTAACAGTTTAGTTTTTGGTTCACCTTGATATATTTATTTTTGTGGAAAATATGGATTTTTTTAAAAAAACATTGCAATTTCCAATATTTTTACTGTATGAAAAACTAAGGTTCCTATGGTCCATCCATAGCCTACGGAGGATGACAGTGACAGTTTTGTTGAATCATCCCATACTTGGACATGTCATACAGCTTTCAAAAGCTATCAAATTGTTTTTTGTAAAATAATGTGTTAATTTTTTTTTTCATACTTTTAAAAATGTCTCCGACTGATGTTGCCCTTTGTACTTTACTTCTTGTGACGTTTAAAACACTTGCCACGTAATACTGTGACCGTCCATCCTGGATTAAATTAATGGCTCTGGCAACATCAGTCGGGGACATATCCATTTTTTAAAGTGAGAAGACACCTCAAAATTTAAACATTAATTTGCAAAAAACAATTTCATAGCTTTTGAAAGCCGTGTATGACATGTCCAAGTATGGGATGATTCAACAAAACTGTCACTGTCATTCTCCATAGCATATGGATGGACCATAGCAACCTTAGTTCTTCATACAGAAAAATATTGGAAATCTCAATGTTTTTTTTTAAATTCATATTTTCCACAAAAATAAATATATCGAGGTGAACCAAAAACAAAACTGTTAAGAATAGATGTGACTTGATAAATAAAACTTAATTTAGAACAATATACGGTTTTGCCACTCTACAGAGTGTCTTAAACTTATGGTAAAAACATCTTTTTGTTTAAACTTGTATATTATAAACGTACGTCTATTTTTTAGTAATTTTTTAAAATGTGAGAGATTGTCCATTAATTTATCTACAATATTCTCTAATATTCGTTTAAATCCGACATCAAATAAAAAAGTTATTTGCGATTGAAATTCATCGAAAATTTGAGTTGATCGATTATTTTGCCTGTGAGTGTATTAACAACTCACCAAAAATTAAAAAACAAAAATATCCCAATAAAAATGCGATTCAAACAGCAAACAAAATGAACACGAAGGATAAACGACAAGGGAAGTTAGAAAGACGCTAAAGCATGGAGAGAAGAGCGGCGCACACCCGCAGACCACACACTTACTCATTGAGTACACTTGTAACTTGCCCGGATAATTTAACGTTGGGCGGCACCAGGTCGCCGTACTTCGGGTTCAGCTTCAGCCACTGCAGCAGCATGTTGCACGCCTGGTTGTAGTAGCTTTCGTTCGTGTAGCTCACCGCCATCGCCATCAGCGCTTCTAGGTTCGTCGAGTCGAGCTCAAGGCACTTGTTCAACGCCGGGATTGCGTTCGGGTCCTGCAAACCAATTGAGTGCCTTAGAAGTGTTGCCAGATGGGTAAAAAATAAATCCCTATCCAGTGATGTAAAAATTCCCTATTGCTATTATGAATTTCCCTATTTATTTCAATACGTTTTTTGTCAAAAATATACAAGGTCTATCATGGTCTCTAGAGCTGCAAGCTCTCAGAAAACTTAAATCGTTTCTTTGATTTAAATCGTTTTAATGACTTAAGTCATTTGATTATAAGTCATTTCTCTAAAGTTAAGTACTTACGATTTAAGTCAGATAGAAACGATTTAAGTCATAAAAAGATTTAAGTCTTTATAAAAGGCTGCAGTCGGTAAATTATTTAAGTAATTTAAAAAACTCTTTTTAGAAAATATTTAAGTAAGATTTTTCATAATTTTTTTTATAAATTTTTAACAGCCGCATTTTCTTTTGAACTGTCGGGGATTCACGCGGCAGCAGATCAAAAACCTACCTACAATTGCTACCGCTAGTGAATAGAAAAACCGCCGCGGTTAAGTTAGGTTTTCGGAACCGTTTGACGGCTACATTAAAAAAATGTCCTGTCTAAAATGAATGAAAAAAATTGGGGTTTTATAATTTTGTTATTTTGTTTGCCAACATTCGTCGAGTTATGCGTACGTAGTTAGCCTAACTAAGTTAGGTCTAATTTGTGATTATTAGTGCAAAGTGGAAACAAACGATTAACAAGTAAGGACGAATAAATATTATAAAGACGTGTTTATATCCTACGGGGTGTTTCGGTTTGTTTAAGTAAATAATTACGTGATTGTGCGTGAATAAAATTATTTAAACGTGATTGTGCGTGAACGTGAGTAGTCTTGAATTATTACAGTCGTGAGTGGTCGTAAATCGTGAACAATCGTGAATCGGGAGTAGTCGTGAGGGGTCGTGAGCAGTCGTAAATCGTGAGCGGTCGTGAATCAAGAGTTTGGAACCTTCCATCATTACTCCCTTAAGGGAGGAATATTTTTTTTTAGATGGACGTTGAACAAGCTAAGGAAAATTAAGAAAACAACAAGTTATCAGTTTTTGAAATACAGCAATTTTAAGAAAAAATGCTTCAACTTTTATCTATTTTAACAGAGTTTGAATCTATTACCGTTTAGAAGTTACCCATTTATGTATATAAAAAAGTAGCCTCCATGTATGTCTACTCTGCTAAAAAAAGTGGTTTAAGTTTTTATTTTGTTTGTAAGTGTTCTGAAAATAAATCGTTTTAAATTCTTAACATAGTGGTTTATTATCATTTGTATCTACAATAGATAATAATATCAGTATCATTAATACCATAAAATTATTATTAACATTAAAAAAATCGTTGTATTGACTTAAGGGTAATTATTATCATTTATTGACTTAACTCTTAGATCACGATTTAAATATAAAATATAGACTTAAGTCATAAAAACGACTTACTAAAGGAATTAAGTTATAAGATTACTTAAATCACTTTATATTGATTTGCGAAAATGACTTGACTTGAAAGAAAATGATTTAATTCAAAGACTTAATACTTAAATCATTTTGATTTTAGAATTGACTTAAGACTTAAGATTTAAGCCTTTTTAAAACTGACTTTTTGCAGCTCTGATGCTAGTTAAGAGTTTTAAAGCGCGATTTATAAACTTTCAGTTGGCGCTGGCGCTGGCCTCGTAGAACACCACTTATAAAGTTGTTGGCGTTGTGGATTTAAAATTTAACCTTTCTAACTAATTTAGTTTTTTCTCCGATTTTTAAAAGTATGGTGGTGAAATGGTATATTATTATACGAGAGATAATGCGCATAATCCCGAGTGTAATACTAAACTTTATCTACTTCAATAAGTAGATAATTAAATGATTTTAAAAAGTAAATAAATAAAATCTGACATCTATCAAATGGTGAACGTTACTTTTTACCCATATTAAATGTAATTATAGTCGCCTTCTTCCAATTTAAAACCTGATTGGTTCAAATCACAGTGAATATTGAAATCACTTATCGTCGCCTTCAGGAGAAAATTGCTTAACTCCATGTTGTAAAATTTTACAGGAGGAAAGAAAAACATATTAAAGGTGTATTGGTGTATCTCCACATTACCGCCAAAAAATTGTTTAATGGAAAATTACGTATCTCCAATATGTACTTTATGTTAATAAAAGTAACCTTAAATTATTCATGGTACCTTAACTTTACACACTATACAATCTTTCATACTTACATACAGAAAAAATAACTAGGCAATAACTTATACTTGTCAATGGCACTGATTTGTATATTGGAGTTAGGCATTATTCCCTGGACGCTCCTCCACGATTGGAGATACGTATATTTCTTTTTCTAAATTTAAAATTAACGGTTTATTTTAGGACTTCTGTAACTTGCATATAAATTAGTTACAGTTTTATCTAACAGATGCCACTAAAATACAATTTTAATGAAAATGTGGAGTTACGTGATTTTCTCCTGAAGGCGACGTTATGCCTATAGGCAACAACGTGAATACTAAGTTTATTATTCACGTTGTTAGGTAGGGAATTTATAATGTGTATCAATATTCACTTAAAAAACTCAAAATTATGCAATAGGAGTAAATTTGCTCGCGCCATCTATTGGTAAATCGCGAAATGTAACCGAAAGGCACCCCAACTATTATTAGTAATAATTTATTACACGCTCGCAACAATAGTTGTATAAGAAATCAACCAAAATTGTACAATACTTATTTAGTTTATAACGACTTTTTATTAAAACATTATAGGTACCATGTAAAAGTTTTTGTCTAGGTATAACGAAAATTCCCTATAAATAAATAATAATTCCCTTTTTCCCAATTCTCCAAAAAAATCCCCATAAATAGGGAAATTCCCTAATCTGGCAACACTGCTTATAACCCAGAGAACCAAGGTTTGGAATAGTATATTATGTATCAAGTGCATTTTAGTCACGAATTTAATTTAGGCACGAGCGAGTTTGCGAGCGAGTGCTTAAATAAATGAGTGCCTAGAAAAGTTTATAAACGAGTGGCATACTAAACTTTTTCTACAACAAATCTAAATATTATATAAAAAACTATTAAAATTAAATGTTTGTATAAAGCTACATCTATACAAAAAAATAAAGTAACCATCCCTATAAACATTTTTGACGTAATTTTCACCATTAACATTGCACGTTATTATTTAAATTAAACTTAACAATTATTGATACTTTAAAATATTAAAATATGATAATGTTAAAAAAATATTTTATCCTTTAATTTTTTTATTACTATAATTGCAAAATATTATCACAAAGTATTAAAAATTATTACACGGAAAATGTTAAAGGTACAAAAAGTGCCAGTTGTATTTATTGGAATTCCCGTTAGAATTTCTAACTTGGGAATCTACCAGCGCGCTGCAGCGTTAAAATCTCAAATCTTTAGGTGAAAATCAAATTTTTTTTCTTGAAAATAAACTAAAAATTATTTTATTATTTTAATACAATTCCTAATACAAAAGTATTAAATAGTTTCTTGACGCCAATTCTTGAAAAGATTATAGGTATGAACGTTTGTACTGACCCGTACCCGTGACCAAGCAGCAATTTGTGCCCGAACTTGGGCACGACACTTTTTGTTTCCAAATTGTTTCGACACAAATCGGAAAACTTATGTCTAAATGGAAACTGTGTCCATTCTTCAAATTTGTGGTTGCTTTGGGTCGACACCTTTTAAACCAATTGTGTCCAAAAAAAGTATGGGTCTAAGTAGCATTATTTCAGAAATATGTGCCCAAGTTGCGTCGCTTTTGTGCCCTCTTGGAAACAGTAACACAATTTAGACTCATTAGGGTCGACACTTAGTCTACTCAATGTTTCCATATTGTACCTTATCAATCTGTTTCCATTTTATTACCAAAGTGGACGCAAAAGTTTCCATTTAGCTGCATTTTAGATTCATGGTGTCTGATTTGTTTAAAAAATGTGTGGGGCGGGCGCATTAGGTTCCAAAGGGACACATTGTGTAATTCGCCATATTTTTTTGTTGAAACAGATTCGACGCTTTAATTTTTTTACATAATTTAACTTTCTGGTGAAATTTAAACTTAAAATTTAAAAAATGCAATGTTTTAAGTTACATAGAAGGCACATACGTCTAGTTTTGATAAAAATATAGGAAAAAAAAATATTTGTAATAAAAATAAATTATAAATACTTATTATTTGTGAGGCCCTATCAATTTTTAAAAGTATTTTGCTTATAATCACCAATAAAATTTTGTTCGCAATAAAAATGAAGGTAATATATACCAAAAATGTTAGATTTAAGTTATAATGTATTTCATAATATTATATTATATACATAATTATTAATAAGACATCACGACTTACTTTGCCTCTTTGTATCTAGTTTGTTTCCAATTCGTTTCCAATTAAAAATAGTTAGTGTCTATTTGGGTTTATTTTAGGACACAATACAGTACTTTGGCAACAATTCGGAACAAATGGTGACCATTTGGTAACATACAAATTAGAAACTCTTTGGGCATAAATCAGTCACACTACCGGGCACATTGTGGGCAAATTATAAGAAAAAATCGGGCACATTTTGTGGGCAAACTATGGACACTTTTTGGTACAACTTTCATCACCACTTTGGTCTCATTTTCCACACTTAGTGGTCTTAAAGTGGACTATGTGTCTTTAAAATGTGTCGTGTCCAAAATCATGTTTTGACGCTGTGTCGACACATTGCCCAAAATGTGTCATTCTTTACTGCTTGGGGTAGTAGTGCATTTAACTAGATTTAACTGATAAAGCGTTCAAAATTTTGCGTACTGTGCCCATCAAACATTCTCTTCCCTTTTATTGTAAAAACTGTTTCTATATCGATTGTTAGTCTATTTTCAAGGGATAAATTTTGATATACACAGAAAAATTTGAGATTTTAACGTCGGTAGATTTTAGTTAAAAATTCCAACGGAAATCCAATAAATACAACTATCACTTTTTGTACATTTCCCGTGTAAGAATTTTTAATACTTGGTGATATTTTGCAATTATAGTAAAAAAAATCAAAGGATAAAATATTTTCTAAACATAAACATATATATTTTAAAGTTATTTTAATATTTTAAATATCTATAGTTGTTAAGTTTAATTAAAATAATAACGGGCAATGTTAATGGTGAAAATTACATCAAAAATGTTTATTGGGATGGTTCCTTTATTCTCGTATAGATGTCGCTTTATACAAATATTTAATTTAAATTATTTTTAGATAATTTTTAGATAATATTAAGTATTTGTCGTAGAAAAAGTATAGTATGCAACTCGTTTATAAACTTTTCTATGCATTAATTTAATTAAATTCGTTACCTAATTCGCGTTTATCAAACTAAACTAAAATAAAACAGTTTAGGGTAAATTTTTTTACAATAAACATAATTACAATAATTATAATAAAATATTAAAAACGATAATCGTTAACAATATAACTTTTGCGAATATAAGTTTATACTATAACCATTACCTACTAATAGTAGGCTCCTGTGGTAGTTAAAATTGCTATAAAAAAGTTTAAGGCGAATGCAAAGAATTTAAAACATTAATAAAAGTATTTTTTTTAACTTGCCTGTTCATTTTCAGCCTGCGTTTTTCCCAGCAAAAACCAAGCTTCAGCATTTTCAGGCTCCTTTTTAACAGCTGCCTCAAAACACAAAACAGCACTGGGGAAATCCCCCTCTTCCAAGAGGGCTTTCCCCCTTTCCAACGGATTATTTATATCAAACATGGGATTTTCTTCGCTAAATACATACTCCTAAAAAATGTGATTATTATTAAAAATGTGATTATGTGATTTTGTTTTAATGATAAAAGCATTTGTATCTTCCATTTAAGAACAGGACATCAACTAAAACAAAATTTAACTTACTTTTTGTGGAGTATTGTACATATTGTCAAATTCATCTGCCCATGCGCTGTCTTCCCCTCCCCCTTCTACTACTTTTTTCATGTCTTCTTGCAGTTTATCCCAAAACCGCGAATTGAAGTCATCTAAATAAAAAGAATGGCTTGAAATGTTAAAGAAAATCCCAATATTTTTGTGAAAATGTTGCTCAGTATCTAATTTGAATTTAGACTTGGTATGATATCATGGCTTATGTATGTTAAAATTTATTAGAGTAATATTTTTTTTGATAAATTGGACATTTAAAAATTACAATTTTACCGTTTTCTTGTGTATGTTCATTAGCCCATTTATCAGCTTCCTCTTCTTGAGTTTCTTTATCTTCTGTTGTTAAATATTCGTGGCTCCAATCTTCTGCCTCTTGTTCTGTCAACTTTCCATCTTCCAACACCACCTCACCATCTTCAACATTTTTCATGAACCTCATGAACTAAAAAATAATAATTATTGTATAATCTAAATATTAGCCCAGTCATTAAAGGTTTCATCTGCCAATGAAATAATGAAATTATTTTGTTTAAATTTAAGGACCTTTAAAAAAATACAATAAAAATTACAAATTATTAGGCATATTTAGGGCGAAACTTCTTAGCTGATGGGGTAAAACAAAACTTGGCGTTACGTTACTTGACCGCCCGTGACCTCGCTTCGATGCAGTGTTGCCAGATTGGGCGATTAAAAAAATAATTTGCGCTTAATTTATTTATAAAAATCGCAAACCGCAATTTGGGCATATTTTAAAATAAAATGCCTTTTAAGTTTGGTATGTTTTGCTTCATTATTCTCAAGTTATTCTTCTAACAATTCTTCAAATATAAACTTGAAATCTACCTTTAGATTGCAGCAGTTGTGTTATAAGTAATAATAATAAATATTTAATTTTGTAGATTAAAATCATTCAATAAAATTGTTTGCTATAAAAAAAATGTTTTAATCTATGAAAATATTAAAATTGTATTATGCCTTTAAGTGTTTTTAATACTTTTACGACAAATTAATTTCCGGCATTTTAATTTTGCCATTCTGACGTTGGCGCTGATTGAATTTTTGATGGCCCTTTTGGGCGATGTTTCATTCGCAAGTTGGCACCTTAAATTTCAATTATCTGGCAACACTGCTTTGATGCATGCAGGCAATTGGTTTCTACGGGTTATTGTAGAGACCACGTTGCATTCAGCATTATATTATTTGTGTATAAATAACTCAATATCTTGTTTTCTGTAAGTAATTTTTTTTGTAATTGTTTTTTTAGTAATTGTATAGTATACACCTAAAAAAACAAAAGAACAAAAAAATTTACACTTTATACGCGTACGTCGGCTGTAATATCTTATGGCCAAATAACACTCAACAGAGCCTTTTTATATAGAACAATAGTTATTTATGTAATATGGTTAGTCTTTTTGTGCTAAGCTCAAAGTTTAAAGTAAGTGGAGGCCTACACACAGTAAAAAAAATACAGAATATTAGGTTGGCACATAGTAACCAACGTAATATTCTGTAAAATATTTACCTTTTAAGAGATTATATTCGTAAGTAATATCATAAGGGCATCTAATTTTTCCGAAAAAAATCGAAAAAACACGTTGCTAAGTAATATTTTAACAAGAAGCATGAGTGCTGGTGGCAACAAAAATCCGAGTCGAAGAGGAGGATTTTTGCACCTGCACGAATGCTTTTTGTTAAAAAATATTACTTAGCATTGTGTTTTTTCGATTTTTTTCACAGGAAAAATTAGATGCTCGAATGGTATTTGACAAGACTATTTCATGAGTAACAGTTAACAATTAAAACATAAATTGCAATTTTTGGTGACAACAGCTGTCAAGTTTTGCCGCGGGTAAACTCGAAAAAACTGCTGACAGGTGCTGTCACACAGTTTTTTCACCTAGAAACCATTTGTAATTCAAAATTGCGCGTTTGTGATTGGTGGAAATTAAGACGAGGGAAATAGTCGAAATTAATATCCTAAGGGCATCTAATTTTTCCGAAAAAAAAATCGAAAAAACACGTTGCTAAGCAATATTTTAACAAGAAGCATGAGTGCTGGTGGCAACAAAAATCCGAGTCCAAGACGAGGATTTTTGCACTTGCACAAATGCATTTTGTTAAAAAATATTACTTAGCATTGTGTTTTTTCGATTTTTTTTCACAGGAAAAATTAAATGCCCGAATGGTATTTGACAAGACTATTTTATGAGTAAGTTATTCGGAATTCACATAGCTTACAAAACATACAACCTATTATTCATGCATACATAATAAATATGTAGGTATTAATTTGAAAACTGAAAATAGGCTATTTATTTAATCACAAATTACTTCAAACTTAATTATTTATGGTACAATTAAAATATAATTTGCAATTTTTGGTGACAACAGCTGTCAAGTTTTTCCGCGGGTAAACTCGAAAAAACATATGCACAGTAAGAAAAAATTACAGAATATTACGTTGGCCACAGAATAGCCAACGTTTTATTCTGTAAACTCACTGAATTTCCTTAATAATTTATGCGATTATTTAAAACACCATATTTTTTGTGGAAATATTAAATATTTTTATCCGTAATTTTACCATCATTTCTTACTGTGTACATTTTATATTCAAGGCACAGTTTTATTTATAAAACATAATTGCAATCATTGTTTTTTACATCCTTTAGTAGTAATGAAGACTGCCATTAAAAGTTGACTTTTACATTATATTTATAAGTGACAAAAGAACAGTTTTTTGTGAACAAAACGTAAAGTCTTTTACATTCGTTGCAAAATACTTTTAAATCGATTTGTTTTAACTTTTCTCTTTATATTTTTAGTAATTTATAAACTGTTGGATTCAGTTTTTGAAAAAAAAATTAACCAAAGGGCTATCGACCTAAGTCCTTCTGCCCATTTACAACTTAAATTATATGTATCCATAAAATATTTTTGTACATAGGTACCTATATTAAAAAAGAATACTTTAAGTTTTTTTATATTTATACCTACTCATATATTTGAACAAATTAAAAGGAGGGAGCTATTATTATAATTTAATTACATATTAATTATGTTTGTGTACACTTTTGCTGCAATTTGCTGTAATGGAGTGTAATTGAGAGAAAAAAATTAAAAAAGTATTTTTAGAGTAGACATATGAGATCTATATATGCATGGTGCAATAACAAGTGATAGTGGTTATAACCACTATAGTGATATATCACTTGTTATTGCACCATGCATTTATAGTAAGAGGATCTTGAAAAATAATTAAGTGTCACAATTTATTTTTAATATATTATTATAGCTCTTTTAGTAGTATTACCACCACTTAAAGTATCACTTTTATTAGGTTTTTAGATTTTAACCTTACCAATAAAAAGGTAGATATTTGCAATAAAAATAATGGAAATGATGGAACAAAATTTTTATATAATAATTCTTTGTTTTCGGGGGTAATTACACAAGTGCTTAAAAATTATTGATAATTTTGCTTGAAAGTATATTGCCTAAAAAATGCATGAGAACACCTTCGGTGTTGGGCTGTTTCCTCAAAATAAGAAAATGACTGAATGCATTTTTTAAAAGGCAATATGCTTGAATGCAAAATTATCTGATTATTTTTATGCACGAGTGTAATTTGTTTAGATAATTACATGAATAAACTATAGTTTATTATTTTTATTTAATTATAATTAAATCAAAGAATAACATTTTCAAATATTTTAACACTATTTTTCACATTTTCATTAATTGAATCAAATTATTCTTTACGAAAACGTGACATTTTAAATAACTGTTACATTAAAATAAAAACTGACGTTATTTTTATTAATTGCCATGGATACGTAAATACAATGGAATTATCGATTCCTAGTAGACAATTATCGCGATAATTGTCTTGTAGGCATATATAAGAGGGTAATTATCTTAAAAATTACCTTTGAATAAACAAACTTGGGGTCATCCATAGATTCCCTAAGTTCCTTAGCAGTTTAATAATTAAGTGTCACAATTTATTTTTAATATATTATTAAAGCTCTTTTAGTAGTATTACCACCACTTAAGTATCACTTTTATTAGGTTTTTAGATTTTAACCTTACCAATAAAAAAGTAGATATTTGCAATAAAAATGATAGAAATAATGGAACAAAATTTTTGTATAATAATCCTTTGTTTTCTTAAAAATTACCTTTAAATAAACAAACTTGGGGTCATCCATAGATTCCCTAAGTTCCTTAGCAGTTTAATAATTAAGTGTCACAATTTATTTTTAATATATTATTAAAGCTCTTTTAGTAGTATTACCACCACTTAAAGTATCACTTTTATTAGGTTTTTAGATTTTAACCTTACCAATAAAAAGGTAGATATTTGCAATAAAAATGATAGATATAATGGAACACAATTTTTATATAATATTTCTGTTTTCTTAAATATTACCTTTGAATAAACAAACTTGGGGTCATCCATAGACTCCCTAAGTTCCTTAGCAGTTTGCTGTGTTCTACTTGGACCAGCTTGCTGTTCAGCAAATTCTGTATCCCACAAATTTTCATAATTGGATAAGTTATTTTGTTCCTGTGACAATATTTCCGACCATATTGCATCATGATTGTGCTCCTAAAACATTTTTTTATATAATTAGTGGCTGATATAAACACTAAATTGAACTTTGACCTTAACTATGATATGCATAAATTGTACCTATATGCATTATGTGCATGTTTATACCCTTCCTATACTATGCTAAATACTACCCAAATTACATTTTAAATAACAAATATGTTTGATAAAGTAGAAATTTTCTTATAAAACTTACAGTAAATGTTTTTCCATCCTCAATATATTGTTGTGCCCAGGCATCATCATGTAATGTATCTTTTACAGTAGAAGCTGGCACTGGAGGTAAAGCCGATCTTTGTGATTCAATTTCGTGCATTTCCCTCATAAGATCTAAAATCACCAAAATAAATGACAAAGCAAACAAAATTGTTTATTTATTTGTACCATCCATTCTGAATGTCTGTGGTATTGCTCTGGTTTCTTGAAGAAACTGCTCGACCAATTGATCAGAACTGCTTGGAAAGACTTGCCCATGACTATCAGAAAATGTGTGATCGTGTGTTATGTGAGAAGTTAATCTTGACAGTGGATTTGCCTGTCCACATTCGGCGTCTGTTAACGGTCTAAAAGCCATTTTCGTCGATTATATCAGCTGTTGCAACCAAAATCAGTGTATTCTAAAAACGTGAAACTTTAACAATAACAAGTGCTTTCATGAACTGACTTTTGGAATGAAAGTGACGTATGTGTCCTTGAGATTAGCGTCGAATTTTTGTTGGAGAAATACTATAGAGCTAATAATACGTAGATAGTGTTTGATGTTATGGGAATTTATTAGATAGGCTGTGTTGCCAATTGCGATTTGTTACACCATTTGGGTGTAATTTACTGACTGAGGTTACGTTAATTTGTGTGTTATTTTAGTCGAACCATGTGAATGTTATTTTTTTTCAATAAAAACTGATACGACTAATCGTGCTTATATTATAAAGTGGTGTATTTCTGCACAGGTTGAATTTCTGGAGGGTTGAACCGCAACTGCGGTGTAATTTAGACAACATCTATTGGCAACACTGTATAAGTGGTTGTTGATATCCCATTGAATAAATAATTATAGAATAGACAAAAGGAGTTTGCCGTAGTTTCTATGTTATTTATGTTCTGTGTTATTTATGTTGTTTCTTGAAAATGGGTTGCTGCGATTCGAAGGAAAAGGAGCCGGAGGAAAATGGGGAACGGAAATGCACTGATGTTTTCTGGCTTTGCCTTTATATTTTATTTTGGTGCTTAATGGTAAGTCCATAAAATGTTAGCAGTATTATAATTGTATTAATCATAAATTTGATGTAGGTGATAATTGCGGCGTTTTCTTTCGTGTACGGAAATCCTCTCAGAGTTATAAATGGATATGACTCGTTTGGTAATATTTGTGGAACAAAAAACAAACCCATTGGAAATTTGGAATTGTCAGGCTATGATACAACAGATAGGCCCTATTTGTTGTTTTATAATATCCAGGAGCTCAAAGATAGCTTAAAAATATGCGTAAAACAATGCCCTAAAGAAACTTTGAGAAGTATGAATGATGTGGCTGCATACAACAGAAAAGGCATAGGTTTATGCAAATATAACTTTAATTACAATGATTTAAGCAATAATGCAAGGGATAATAGTGTACTGAGCAGTTCATTTGGGCCTTGTCCTGTTTTACCAATTTATGATAGGTAAGACACTTTTTTTAATTAAATTTTTATTATTATTGAATATAGGCATCTATAGAGATGCGACGTGAAAAAAAACGGTCCGTTTTTTTGTTTTTTTTCATTGTTTTTTTTCAAATGGTTTTTTTCAGGATTAGTCCCATTTGCCTAATTTTTTATGTTTCCATGGACTAAAATTAGCCACTAAATGACAATTAATAAATGTAAATACAGTCTCGCGCTATGCACGCGCCACCACCACCACCGAATTGATAAGGGCCGCGCTTGTTTTGATTTGGTCCTAAAAAAAGTAACTAGTAGTTGTAGTACCTACATATAATATTTTTGATTCAGCGCTTGATTTTTCAAAAAGCTACCAAAAGCACTTTTTTCATGATTTTTCAAATTCATAAAGAGTGAAATTTTTTTTCAAAAACACAATAGCAAATTCTTGTAGAACATTTATTCATTGGTGGTTAAGTCAGTACATTCCGTGGACCAAAAAAGAAAGCAAATAAAATCGATTTTTTTATTACGGTATTCGTTAGGATTGAGCGTTGCACGTTTTTCATCTAAAAATCTTAAAACTAGAAACTTAAGCTTCAAATTTTTTTACGGCTCCAATACGACCATTTTTAACAAAGATACAGCTATCCGAAAAATCGCAAACATTTTTTTTATCCTTTAATATTTTGTTTAATTGTAGAAGCTATTGGTTTCTAATGTGAAAACTACCAAATAATAAGAAATCAGATTTTTTAGTCTTGGTCAATAATGAAAAATGTAATATATTCTACATTTTACTTTATTATTAATATACATTTTACACAAAATTTAATTTTGAAAAAAAACAAAAAAAAACGTTTTTTTTTCTAGGTTTTTTTCATGTTTTTTTCACATCTGAAAAAACCGTTTTTTACATCTCTAGGCATCTACTAGGATATCACATAATTAACAACCATTACAATGCATTGTAAATAAAAGGTAATAAACATTAGTTACCATGACAACCTACCAAAACAACTTAATTATGCCCATCATTGCATGACAATTGCCATTTAATTAATTCTTGTGGTTGGATTAAAAATGTATTATCTCTTAACTTAATTTTATTCTGATAGGATATCCTATAATAATGTTTATTACCTTTTATTTACAATGGTTGGTAATTACCTTAAGGTCTTAAGGTAGGTAATCACCAATCAATTAAGACATAAGCCATTTTTCAAGAATAAAAAAAATTATTTTTTATTATTGAAAAATATTTTAGGTCTTAAGGTAATTACCAAACATGGTAAATAAACGGTAATATTATGTAATTAATTTTATAGTTCTTGTGTTATTATAAGGTTTGTTCCTACTACAGTAATGTTCTGTGTTATGTTCTGGCTATACTGAAAAAGGCGCATTAATGTATATATTTAATATAATATTAATTTTATTTTTATAATTCAAATTTTTATTAAAAGGTTGAAAAGAAAATTTCAAATAAAAAGGATGAGAAGTTGCCGTGAGAATACACGAATAATACTAATATTATCAAAGAAAATAGAGAAATATCTGGACATAGTGCGTTTTTATTAAACTTAATATTGAAGAAAGTGTTATAATATGGATAATAGATGCTTTCAGTCCTTGATACCCACACGGAACAATTACATCCAATGGATATCCAATGGATTTCTTTTATGGATATCCAGGATATACATAGGATATCCGGGATATCCAATGGATAACCATTGGATATATAAATGTCCGACCCTCCTGGACATAGTGTGGATATCCAATGGATACCCAGTGGATATAGTATTGTATGCAATATGGTTGTAATCTGTATTCAATATGAAGATTGTATGGATATCCAATGGATAACCATTGGATATATAAATGTCCGACCCTCCTGGACATAGTGTGGATATCCAATGGATACCCAGTGGATGTAGTATTGTATGCAATATGGTTGTAATCTGTATTCAATATGGAGATTGTATGGATATCCAATGGATAACCATTGGATATATAAATGTCCGACCCTCCTGGACATAGTGTGGATATCCAATGGATACCCAGTGGATATAGTATTGTATGCAATATGGTTGTCATCTGTATTGGATATGGTGAATCAATGGATATTTACTTTTCAATAAATAACATTGGGTTTTAAAATAAAAGTCTTATTCTTTAATTTAAATATTTATTTTTATGAAAACATAAAATAGAACAGAAAACTACATATAACTAAAGAAGTGAAGTCTCTGGCTTGCCATCACTCCTCCAGCTGTCATTTGCCTTTTTATCAGCCTAATCATTTAGGGCCTATTTCACCTGTCTCCTTATGATCCCCAAAATTTGGCCAATCCATCAGCCCATTTGTTACCCTCGAGCCTATGTATAGCTTGCAAATAAAGGTACGGTATATAAATGCATGCATGTATTCACCTTTAATGTTTTACCTTCAATGCTAACCGAAAGTTTATAAATTGCACTTAAATATACCTATTTAATTTAAAATTGTATTAGTTTTAGACCAATACAATTTAAAATGATAACTATGATTAGAAAATTAATAAAATATTCACTTACCACTAAAGACCTCAAACAAATAACCACAAAACACAATAACTTGGCAATAAACTTTATGACAAACATATAACAAATAGCAATGATGGCGAATGAACCTTTACAATCTGTGGAATGAAGCAAATAAACATGAAAACCCTTTGGATGTACCTAACAATCATGGCATCATATTTAACGGACGCTACCATAGAAAAAGGACGCTTCTTTATCTTCTGTGTTGTTCGGCAGCAGTGTTGTCAGACGTTTAAATAATTTCAGAAAGCTCATCAAAATGGCAGTTATATTATTAAATCTTTAATACTTAATTAATTAGTATACCTAGTATACCTATTTGACATAAATGTGGTGAATAATTATTTTAAATTTATTTAATTTATTTATTAAAACTTAATAAAGTACGGAAATATATTTCGTTTAGTTATTTTGCTTATAACCGGCAACACTGAAGATTCTCAAATTCAGCGCGTGCGTAGTACTATGAAATACAATAATAAACAAAAGGGACTTTTTTAAGTAATTTTTTATTGTATTGCAGACTGTCATAGTCATATTATTAACAGAAATAATATTATTAATATATAAATATTATTATCTGGGTAAAGTGAACATTTCAAAATTAAAAATTTCGTAGCTCTTGGCAAAAAATCAATTTACCGTAAAGTTGTTTTTTTACATATGCTAGTTTAAACCATCACAAAATCCCACATGTATACACACAAGTATATATACAAGATATCCATATCAGTTATCCACCGGATATCCAGTGGATATACATTAAATGTACAGTGGATATACTTTGGACATACATTAGTTATCCATTGGATATATATTAGAGATACTTTGTTGAAATTGGGTTAATAACGATTTAAATCATATTTATTAATCATTACATAAATTTATCCTATAAGGGGCTATTTTAACAAAGAAAAAAATATTTTTAATGTTTTTGGTTTTTTTTTTGAACATCCAGTATGGATATCCATTGGATATCCAGTGGATATCCAGTGGATATACATTAGATGTACAGTGGATATACTTTGGACATACATTAGTTATCCATTGGATATATATTAGAGATACTTTGTTGAAATTGGGTTAATAACGATTTAAATCATATTTATTAATCATTACATAAATTTATCATATAAGGGGCTATTTTAAAAAAGAAAAAAATATTTTTAATGTTTTTTTTTTTTTGAACATCCAGTATGGATATCCATTGGATATCCAGTGGATATCCAGTGGATATACATTAGATGTACAGTGGATATACTTTAGACATACATTAGTTATCCATTGGATATATATTAGAGATACTTTGTTGAAATTGGGTTAATAACGATTTAAATCATATTTATTAATCATTACATAAATTTATCCTATAAGGGGCTATTTTAAAAAAGAAAAAAATATTTTTAATGTTTTTGTTTTTTTTTGAACATCTAGTATGGATATCCATTGGATATCCAATGGATATCGTAAAAGGCATGGATGTTATATGGACATTGGGATAGCCATTGGATATCCATTGGATAGCGTGTTCTGTGTGGGTAACATTTAGGGCTGTAGTTTATTAAATTATTAAATTAAGCTGTCCAGAAAATGTTTATAGGAAACAGAAGCAGTCTTAACTTTAATATTGTCTATTCTTTTTCTGGTATTTTAACACTGTTTCCACAAATCAAACTTTTTCGGGAATCGATTAAATTTAATGTTTTTATTTGAAGGGTTTTTCTTGGACTGGTTGTCCGAATTGCATTCAAATATGCCACACCGCATTTTAATAAATGAAAATGGCACGACACAAACTAAAACACAAACAAAACAAGTTAACGCAACACAAAAACAATAATAACCAAACAGAACAGGTTAACACAACGCAATAACAATAATTTGAACACTGAAAAGTAATTCGAACCTTACCGAACACAAAAACAACAAGTTAAACAAAAAATAGAGCAAGTTAACATTCAAAAGCATCGCAAAAACAAGGATTTTATCAGCAGATAATTAAAATTCACGTTTAAGATTTAAAAACACTCATCAAGTGACGTATTTAAGCCCCGCCCAACATGCGTACCATCCTATCTTAAGGTGTATGTATCTTGCTATCAAAGAACACTGTTCTTTGCATACTAAACTGCATACTGAACTGTCAAATGTCATACAATACAAACTAAAGCAAAGCAGTCTGACAGTTGTCAGCATAGATTAATAATTTAAATTAATTAATAATTAATTAATTAATAATTATTTCTGAAATGTTTTTAATTTTTGTGTTACTATTTTTGCTAGAACTTAATTAATAACCTTTAAACACCAAGAACATTTTAAATTCTTATTTTTAGTATTCCAGTATTAAATCGATGTGTTCCAAAACCAGTAAAAGAAGTAGGGGAATCAGTTTTACACAGTTTTTATAGTCTTTTAAACAGTTGGGACGCTCTAGAACAAATTTTAGGAGATTTATACAAAACATGGAAAGAAATAATAGCTTTGACATGCCTTTCTTTGGGTATAATAATAATAAAATGTGATCTAAATAAATTTTATTTCTAATGATTATTTTTCAGTTATTTCGCTCTTAACTATACTGATTTTGCATTGCATGGCACATATTGTTTCCTATATAATTATGATAGGATTTTCCATAGCCAGTATTGGAGGTACTGGATTTCTATGGTACACATATTTTGATTTAAAACATAATTTAGACAAAACCAATGAAAATATGCTCCTGTTAGAATCTGCTAGAAATGAGACTGCATTTTTTTGGTACTCAATTGTAGCTACTGTAATAACGGTAGGACTATTTTAACATATTATTTTTTTTATTATATTTTGTTTTCGTAGGTGATCATACTTTTGATTGTGATTTTTATGAGAAAACAAGTCGATTTTTTGGCTAATTTATTCAAAGAAACAACCAAATGCGTCATGCATTTACCCGGACTTTTTTTCCAGCCACTTATTACTTTTGTTATTTTGGGACTATTTTTCCTTCTTTGGATTTTTGTTGTGGTAAGATACTTATTTTTTTAAAATGCATTTTAATGGTTTTTATTAGAAAAGACAGCTGTTAGTTTGGTGTAAAATGCTATTTTATGCTTTATTAAATACTTTTAGCTATGCTTGGCTACTGCTTATTACCCAGGCCGTACCGGTATTTCCCCAACAGCTAGTGGGGGCCATATGGTGGCAACTCCAGCAACTGCTAATATCCAACCAGTTAACATGACTTACACAGAAAAAATTAGTAAGTCTTAAGTTTTTTTTTTAATAAATCAAATTTCAAAAAATTATATAGATTGTAATGGAGAATAAACTGTATGGGTGTTGTTTTGTTTTGAGTTTGTTTTATTTTGAGGCAATGTTTTTTTGACAAATGGTTTTTGAGTTATAATTAAACCTTGACGGGTTTGAAAATTAAATTTTGTTTTCTTTATTTTAATTTTTTAATAATATTTATATAAATTACCAGTTAGGACCGCGCTGTCCACCTGATAAGGGTCGATCACGCGGTCATCTTGTTTTGTTTTACTTGTTTGTGTATCTATCTTTTCGTGTATTTACTATATCATGAGTCATTCCAAATAAAAACACCAAATGGGATGCGCTGCTTGATTTTTTATTTTGTTAAAAAAAATTGAGGATGATCTTTTAGGTATCAAATATAAAAATCCGATGCCGTTTTTTGGATTCTTTACTTTTAATCGACACCCTTTAGAAATCTGAAATTGTGTCAATTTCTTACTCTCTTATAGTGAGCCAGAACTTTTTTTCTGTGACAAATATTGAAATGATTTTAATATTGTTTTACTGTTCAGTAAGTGTGTTTTCGATATAAATTATTATTATCCAATTAGTTCATCTCATTAAAGAATGGTATACCACTAAAGATTCATGATAATTTGCCAATTTTTGTGATTTTTGTCTGGCTCCTGTGCCTATTCTACTAAATCTAGAAAGTTATTTTTTTTCAGGTATCAAGTACAGTTGTATTCATTAAAAAAGCGTACAAGAATTAGAATGAGAGAAAACTGTCAACATTATTGCGTAAAACCGGCTTTCCACTGACTATAACTGACAGTAGAAAATAAAAATGCCTCGTCAGTTAAAAAGGCTCAAATAGTATCAAGAATCGAATAAGAATGGTCAATTCGTACCGTGGTATAATAGAAATAAAAAATCTATATTAATAATTAATAATTTTTGTAATATTATTTAATTAACCTACGACGTCAATGCTCTTTATAACCTATATTAATTATTTTAATGACTTATGTCAGTGATAAGCCGGTTTTAAGCAATAATATTATTTTGACAGTTTTCTCTCATTCTAATTCTTGTACGCTTTTTTATTGAATACAACTGTACTTATACAATAAAAAACGTAACTATTATTTTAAGTTTCTAGACTATCATTTTCTTTATTAAAACATACTTACTAGGCAGTAAAATAAAATTACAATCATTTCAATAATTGCCACAGAAAAAAGTTTTAGCCTCTTATAAGAGAGTAAGAAAATGACACGATTTCAGGTTTCTAAAGGGTGCCGATTAAAAATAAAGCAACTAAAAATTAAAACGGCAACGGTTTTTCATATATGATACCTAAAAGATCATCCTCAAATTATTTCATTAAAATAAAAAATCATGCAGCGCACTTTTAAATTCATTTTTGGTGTTTTCATTTGGATTGACTCTCATAGTAACTAAATTATTAAATTTAGTTTGATAATATTTTATTTTAGAACTCACTGTAGTCGAATATGTAGAGCCATCGTGGGTCAAAGGTATGTGGTGGATCTATTTTATCGGCCTAATATGGACTTCCGAATTTATAATGGCGTGCCAGCAAATGGTAATTGCTGGCGCAGTCGCACACTGGTACTACAGGCACAAATACAAGGATAACTCGCATTTAAGCTATGCCATTTGTAAACTCATCAAGTATCATTTGGGATCAGTTGCATTGGGATCTCTTATTATTACTGCTGTCAAGATACCCAGATTAATACTTATGTATATCCATGAAAGGTACAAATATTATCAATTTTAGGGGTGGGCCTTGCCAATAGGAAAACTTTTTTATTATGCATTTTATGGAAAAAAGTCATTCTTCATTTAAAAAATGACATTCCCATAAAAAAATTCAGAATCAAATTTATCAAAAGGGTACCTATATTTGTTATCTCATTAAAAGAGAAGTCGATGAGAATTTAAATTAAAGTCCGAATAAGAATTAAAAAAAAATTATCTTAAAATTGTATTTTATTTATGTAAAAAAATATGGTCAAATATTAAAATAAAAATATTTCATACATTTTTAGACTTAAATTTGATTTAATTTAATTGAATTTAATGTCTAATAAGTTATTTTATAAATTTAAATAAATTTTTTTTAAAGATGGGAAAATTCCCATTTAACAAAAATTCCCGGAAACTTTCCATAAAAAATTCCCGAAACTTTCCGAAAGTTAAAAAAAAAATGTTTTGCGGAAATGAGTTTTTGTGCCAGGAGGATTGCAAAAATATATAACACATTACCCAGACAGCACAAAATATCCATTAGATATCCATTGGATATACTTTTTGGATATCCAAGATATCCACTGGATATTCATGGATAACCATTAGATATCCTATAGATATCCAAATGTCCGCCTATATCCAGGATATAGCAAATATCCAATGGATATCCACATAGATATCTAGCTGATATCCAATGGATATCCATTGGATATATTCTAATTTTAAATTTTTGTTGGATGTAGTGAGAAAAATATCTGAGCCTTGTTAAGTTTGTTATGTATGCTGCAGTACCAACATGTTGATACTATATTTTTTCAAAATATTTATACCCTGTAAAAAATGGCGATTTTAAAAGTTTTTTTTAATGAAACATCTATTTATATTTTTTGAATGTTATACTTATGTTGTACTTATTTTTAGTTAATTAAAAAAAACATTGCATTACTTACTAAAAATATAATATATGATGTCCAATTGAATAAAAAAAATAATTTTCAAATACTTAATCATTTTCCAGGGGCCCCCTGACAGGGGGTATAACCCTGTATATTTTGAAAAAATATAGCAGGCAATAAGAGCAAATATACAAAATAAAAAAACTTAAAAATGTTCAATTATTTTTCTCATTAAATACATCCAAACTTCGAAATTGGAAGAAATTGCTACTGTCTTTAATAATTTGGCAATCCACTGTACACATGTGTAGTACACATTGTGTACATATGTAAATATTTTATATAGATATATATTTGACATGAATTAATTGTATTTTGATTGAAAGGTATAGAAAAACATCAATGAATATGTTTATAATATTTTATTTATAATTATAAACAAAATTATTATTTAGTAACTTATTAATTAAATTATAATTTATTCTGGTAGAGGCATTATATCATTGTTTTTCTTTCTGTAAAAGAAAAAAAATTACCTAATTTACAATAATAATTATTGTAATAGTTTACTGCATGTCTAATAAATTAGTAGTTTTACCTAGGTAGGTATTAGCTAAAGCAATAAAAAACATCCCGCCATAGTTAACAGAAGCCGGTAAATAAACAAGGCCTCAATTAAAAACAAAAATCCCAATGTAATGTGTGTGTGCAATATGAAAGACACCTATAATATATACACCCCAATACCACACAACCAAACAAGAAATACAGGCACTTAGTACCTACCGTAAAAACAATAAATATGATGCGAAAACTGACACTTAGGTTAAAAACACAATCTTAAAACGGCAGACATAAAAATAAACGTTTCACGGTGTTTGTTGTTTGCGCAGAGACATGGGAGCACAATACGCAAGCGCGTCGGCCTGGCCAATGATTCTCGAGAGTCTCATGTGACGTAGTCTAAAATAGTGGATATCCATTAGATATACATTAGATATCCATGAAAACTTACATTAAATTATACTTCTAATTTCATAGGTTGTATCTCATAAACATAATGCTTAAAAAACGTTTATTCTAGACGTTTTTTAACTAAAACAATCCTTTTTTATCTTTGGCTCTAGATATGTAGTTATAATATCTATGTGGACATCCACTGGATATCCATTAGATATCCATTAAAGTTTTATTTATTTCAAAGTAAATTATTAGAAATATCAAGGCATGTGTCAATAATGTATTAATATATTTGTCTCTAATATTTATTAGTCAATTTTGACGCAAATTGTCCTTATGCTAATATCCCTAAAGTATATCCATTGGATGTCCACTGGATATCCGTTCATGGACTGGACATTCAGTGGATATAGGTATATCCAATGGATATCCAATGGATATTGTGTGCTGTCTGGGTAGCTTTTTGTAAAATAATATTAAAAAAAAAATAAAAAAAATTGTTTATATAAATTTATATGTAATGCATTGTATGCTAAAACTTAGAAAATAAAGTGTTAACTATCAGAAATTTACTACTGGGTAATCTTTAGATATTACATAAACAATTCAGAATTTATATAAACAATTTTTTTAATTTTTTTCTTAATAAAATTTGACAAAAAGGTATACATTATAATGTGTTATATATACATTGTAATGTGTTATATATTTTGCAATCCTCCTGGCACAAAAACTCATTTCCCCAATACAAATTTTTGTTGTTGAAACTTTCGGAAAGTTTCCGGGAATTTTTGTTAAATGCATTTACATTTTTCAAAAAAAACTTATAAGAGAAAGTCGATGACAATTTAAAGTCCGAATAGGAAAATATCTTAAAATTTTGTTTTATTTTTGTAAAAAAAATTACATACCATATGGTAAAATTTCAAAATAAAAAAAATATTTCATACCTATTTAGACTTAAGGTAGTTGTCGTGCTGTAAGCATACCATCAGAAAATTTTAAATTTTTGTATACATATTAAGGACATGACAATACAAATCCTTAAAATTTGAAGTCGATTGACTGTCTATAACCCGAGATAAATTCAATTAAAAATTGGATAATTAACATGGATTGTATAGGCTTTCTGTAGATCTGTACCAGTTTCTTAGTTATAAAAAAAAAACTAACTGTCAGAAGCTTTCAAAAAACTAACAGTCTTTTAATGTATTTTTGCTGAGTTTAAAAAAAAAATAATTGAAAATTTTTGACCGTCCAATTGTTTATAAATAACCGTTTAAAGTTCAACAATTTGTAAAAAGTATACATCACTAGTGTCAGATAAAAACAACTTGGCAACGCTGTACGCGAGTATAGATATTATTTCCGCAGTAAATTCAAACACTGATTCAGTCTCCAATCTATTGGTTGAGTATAAGCGACGTTGCCGGATTAAAACTTATGAAAATATTTGAAACTATTACGTAAAGGTATCGTCTCCAGGGTACAGTCTTGCGAATAAATTATGATTCACTTAGCTACAAGCTCGTATACTTTTACGGTGCGTATAATCTAAAAATTTTTGACAATATTGTACCACGACAACTACCTTAAATTTTATTGAATTTAAATTGTCATCAACTTTCTCTTATACGTTTTTTTTTTTAATTAAATACATTTTTTAAAGATGGGAATATTCCTATTTAACAAAAATTCCCGGAAACTTTCCATCAAAAATTACCAAAACTTTCCGAAAGTTCCAAAAACAAAAATTTGTATTGCGGAAATGAGTCTTTGTGCCACGTGTTATATATTTTTGCAAGTTTGACAAAAAGGTAATGTACATTACCTTTTTGTCAAATTATAAAAAAATTGTGTATATAAATGTACCAATATATAAATGCATAGGCAATACCTATTAGGTATGTAATATATGTAATGCATTGTATGCTGAAAATAAACTGTTAACTATCGTAAATTTACCAATAGGTAATCACTAGATATTACATAAAAAACAAAGTAACTATATAGGAACATTGAAAAGTAAAATATAGCAGTTCTGACCAATAAAATATAAAAAGAACACAGGCAAAATTAAATTCACATTTTTACTACCATTACCCATAAAAACCCAAGCAAACGATTTATGAATTTCTTATTTAAATTGACACAAATTAACTTCTTATTCAGTTTCTTGGCCTTAACATCGCCAATCATCTGTTAAACAATTGGCATTAACATAAAAAAACAGGGAAAGTTTCCATGAAAATAAATTTTCTTAAATGGAAACTTTCCGATTCCCATCTCTACATTTTTTTATAAAAATAAAATAAAATTTTTACTTAAATAAAAAAATATATTTTGTTTTTAGACTTTAATTTGAATTTCCAGCCACTTTCTCCTATACAATTTTTCAATAAAACAACTTATAAAGGTACTTCTCTTATAAAGAATTTTCATGTTTTAATTTCTGACCACCCTGTACATTTGATTTAGCATTTTTTAAATAAGCAAGAGTTTTTACAAAGAATGATTTTTTTACTTTTTTTATTAAAGATAATATCTAAATACTTACAAGAACAGATATGTCTTATACTTAAAATAATAAAAATGTTTCCTATTGGCAACCCCATCCGGGGACACACTGTATAAATCTCAAGTTTTAAGTAAACGATTTTTTATACTTGGTAAATATTCACAGTTTACAACGTGTTCATTTTTATAAAACATAATAAATATACAAAACAAGTTGATTTTTTTTTATAGATTAAAGCGAAACAAAGACAAGGGGAGCGAATGCGCCTCATGCGGCCTAAAATGCTGTATTTGCTGTTTCTACTGCCTGGAAAAATTCTTAAGATATCTCAACCACAACGCCTACACAGTCATCGCTATAGACGGTTCGAATTTCTGCAAAGCCGCTGGAACAGTGAGTACCACCACCACCACCACAAAACAAAAGAAAAACACCCCTAACATTTTTTAGGCTTTCGAAGTGTTGACGTCGCACGCCATTCAAGTGGCCACCATTAACGGTTTGGGCGATTTTATTCTGTTTTTGGGGAAATGTTTTGTGACGGCCGTCACAGGGTGCGCTGGCTTGGCTTGGTTCAGAAGAAACGCAGAGTTGCACTTTTATGCCGCTCCGACGTTGTTGGTCTGCGTTTTTGCGTTCTTTGTCGCTCATTGCGTCCTCTCACTCTACGAGGTAAGCACGATTGTTGTTTTTTATGTTGGTATCATGTTTTACGCTATTTTTGCGTTTAGTCTAGTGTGCGTGGCAGAATACTACGTTATCATTGGTTGGTGTTTAAAAATGCTCAGAAAATGACCCCTTAAATCTTTGAATAAAATAATAGTATATTAAAGAACTAATGTCATAAGACGTCATTTTGTCGCACGCGGACAATTTATAAAACGAGCGACGAAGGAGCGAGTTTTATAATGGACAAGTGCGACAAAAGGTCTTATGACATGAGTTCTTTATGCTATTTTATCTATTTTGCAAACATTTCATAAAACAAATTAATTTTATACCTTATATTTAATTTGGTGGAATTTTACTTTACATAGTTGGTATCACAGTTTGAAGTTTGAAAGGTCATTAACCTTTCAAACATTATCACATTCTTTCGCTATGGAGTCGTTAATTTACAATAAGTATTTACAATAAGCGGCTGTTAAAGAAGAAAAAAGGATTTTCTTTGGTGTTAAACAAAATTTATTGCACGAAAAGTCTCGTAAGTACTAGAAAACAAATCATAAAAATATTATAACCTATAGGTATTCAAAATTGTATTTTACCAGTAGCCAACCTATAAAATCAAAATTTTGGGTGGAATAAAGTACCTCATTAAAGAACCAAAAGCGGTGTTATAATGAAGTCATTATGAAACCAAAATAGATAAAAGGTTTTTTATTCAAAGCCTTGAATAATATGATATGTCATAATGCTACAGCCATTAGAGATGTAATGTGAAAAAAAAACATCCAATTTTTACATTTTATGTTTTTATTTTATTTTATTAAGTACCTAATCAAGCATAGTTTTAGCCTTTAGGACAATTTTTCGCAAAATAAAAATCTCATTTAGTTTGGCATTAAAATTTAATTTAAAATGTTAGCAAAAACTTGTAAACTAACTAACTAAACTAAACTTTAGAAAAAAAAAGAAAATACATTTTTACTAAGCAATTTAGTTTTCCACAAAATAGGTCGAATCTCTAAAATTAAGATTTTAAGAGGTCATCAAAATTTAAAATTTTACCAAAATTAATGGTTTCATAATATTTATATTAATACTCTTCCCAGCAAACCAAATCATGTCACAGTGATATAACATTTACATAAAAATTGTTCCTTACTATGCAACAGCTATGTCACCTATATGTAATGGCAATGCTCCTATGTCCGCCTCAAGACGCCTTCCTGGGTATGTAACTGTGATGTAACAGTGTTTTATCATAGTTATGTAACTGTAATGTTACAGCGCCATATCAGTTATGTAACAGTGATATAACATTTACATAAAAATTGTTCCTTACTATGCAACAGCTATGTCACCTATATGTAATGGCGATGCTCCTATGTCCGCCTCAAGACGCCTTCCTGGGTATGTAACTGTGATGTAACAGTGTTTTATCATAGATATGTAACTGTAATGTTACAGCGCCATATCATGTAAACGTGATAAAACAATTATGAAATATTTATAAATATAATTTCATGTAATATATTATCTTACTGGTATTAAAAATTGCTTAGCCCTAACTTGGTATTATGGCAAATTTTTTGAAAAAAAATCAACAAAATTTTAAAATTGCCATAATACCAAATTAGAACTAAGAAATTGTTAATGCCAGTTAGATAATATATTAAATAAATTATAAATAAATATTACATAAATAATAAGTAAACATTACAAAAATAAATGATTCTGAAAGAGATTAAAAAAAAAACAAATTGGTTTAAATGTTTATTAAAAATTATTTTAATTAAAAAAAAAACAAATCATTTCTTCTTTCGAACTTCTTAAAACAAACGAAAAGTTTTTCCAAACAAAAAAAAATCCCAAATACATTAATACTTCAAAGCTAAAAAATATATGGTAAAAAAGATAAAGCAATCCCATGAATTTAATATTAATATACCTTCTTTTCATGGGTTTTTTGCTTCCCTATAGGGTACACCAAATCTTTGTTTGGCCTGCCGGAACCATTCGGAAACTATGCCTTCAAAATTTTTGTCTGTCGAAGTGCACACAGCAGCTTAAAAAAATTTATTTAATAAAAAATCCCATAAAACTTACATTTTTACCCTTCAATATTTCAACAGATTTTAAATTTTGAATTTTATTGTTGTTTCTTAGCCCCAGCCAAGAGCAATCTTTTGCCAAATTATTTGAGAAGATTTTCTTTAAAACTCTTACTGTGGCATCTTTCTCTGAGACGCCTCCAATTTTTGTTATATACTGAAACTGAAAAAAAATACAATTTAATATTATTTTTGTTTATTGATTTGTTTTCAAAACAAAGACCAACTATTCTTTATGTAGTTATGTAAATGATATTTGGTACAAATAATAATTTGTTTGATTTTATTTATTCAAGTCAAATGCACCCTGCAACCTTAAGAGATCTTGGTTATTTAGCAAAATTATTGTATCTTTTAAGTACCAGTTGAAAAAACAGTATAAAGTTAAAAAAAATATAGAAATTAAACTCTTATTTTGGCTACCAAATATCATTAAATTATAATTTGTCGCTTGTTTTTTAGCACCCTGTTTTAAAAACAAATTAACATTATTAAACAGGTTTAAAATCGCCCTTTATATACTTACAAATTCAGCCCCTACTTCTTTTTGCAATAATGTTTTCTCAAAACTTTTAACAGATCATTAATAAAAAGTTGACTAGGTAAGTATCTATTACACAAATCTTGCAAATCTTCCACAAAAGTATGGGAATTTTTCCTATGACCTCCTGAATATTCTCCCAAATTTTCTGTAAAAATATTTTTATTATATGTTTATTTATTGGCTGGTTAGGGAAAGATAATACTTCGGTTTTAGCCTCAGTATATTCCACATTGTCTTGGGTATTTTCTATACAATTTCTTACCTCCACGCCCATTATTTTGAGATCTGCATTAATTCTCCTCCGCTTTTGCTTCCGGGATAGGGAAATATATTTTTTTCTATTTTTGTCTTCCATTTTATTATAAAAAAATGGAATCAAACTTAACTTAACTTAAAACACAATAGAGAGCACTCGACACAACCGTTTAAACGAGTTCGTTAGTAAGATAAAAAGGCTATATAAATACTATAAAACATTAATATATAACATTTATATATCATTGTTACAATGTAGGTATAAAACATTGTTATATAGCCATGACATAATAGGGATGTACATATAACAAGAAGGGATCATTTTGATATAACTATTATATTAAAATTTTTTATTATAATTATGTAACAAAATAAAGAAAAACTATGTAAATACCATATAATAAGGTTATATGGATACTATAAAACATTGCCATATATAAATGATGTATCATTGTTCCATTGTAGATATATAACATTGTTATATGGCTGATACATAAGGGGGATGTAAATATAACAAGAGGGGAACATATTTATATAAATGTTATATTACTATATTTTATCATAATTATGTAACAAAATAAATAACTAATATGTAAATGTTATGTAAACAATTTTATATGGCAATGTTCTTTGTTAGTTATATAATGGTTATGTAAATGGAACAGCCTGGTTTGCTGGGTTTTTACACTCATTTTGTTTTTAGGTGACAAAAATATTTAAAATATGAATAATAGTATATTATGTATCAAGTTTGACAAACGTCATTTTAGTCACGAATTTTAACTTGGCACGAGCGAGCTTGCGAGCGAGTTTTTAATCAAATGAGTGTCTAGAAAAGTTTATAAACATACTATACTTTTTCTACGAAAAATACTTATTATCTAAAAATTTAAATTAAATATTTGTATAGAGCGACATCTATAAAACAATAGAGTAACCATTCTTGGGAATCTGTATTACCAGCGCGACAGCGAAAATGTCAAATTTGTATGGGTAAATCGAAATGTATCCCTTAAAAATTAAATAACAACAGTTTTTCACAGTGAAAGTGCAGTGTCTATCCAAAATTAAATTAAAATTTAAACAGTCAGTCCAATGTTTATATAAACTTTTCAAATATTGACCTTAAGAAACTATTTAATACTTTTGTATTAGGATTAAAAAATATTTTTTTCATTTAGTATTATTTTACAAGGACACTTTATTTTAACGATTGTATGACATTTGACAACTGTCAACTTACTTAAAACTAACTTCAGCCCGTGACTAAAAACCTGTTGCTCACTTCAGCCCGTGACTAAAACGCCATGAAGCCACAACTTCTCAATGTGTATTTAAAACGTCACTTATCATGTAAACCTGTACAATGCGTTTTAAAGGTGGGAGTACAAAAATATTTAAAGATTTACTTATTTAAAATAATTGTTGCCAAAATCTTAAATTTTGATGACTTACATTTCACTTAAAATATAAATTTTAGAGTTGTTTTTGAAGAAGACTAAATTTCCCAAAAAAAATGTATTTACTTTTTTCTCCCAATTCAACTGTTTACAAGTTAACAGCAAAAAACCTGGAAATCAAACTTTACATCAATAAGATACTTATGTACACGCTTCTGTGTTATAACATCAATAAATTATTATTATTATTAAATATGGGGTTGAGTTTTATTCAAGCAAACAAACAAAAAAGCAACATGCTTTTTTAATGGAAAAGCTTTGAGTAGACAATAATAAAAAAACCGTTTTTTACATCTCTACCTGCTATAATACAATAAAGTGTTTCATTACAGCTATATAATTATTAACAATTTCAGATGGTGCTTGATACAGTATATTTATGCATGTGTCAATCAGGGGAAGCCCCTGATGGCATTCAAATGCAAAATTTGGGTGTTACCAACAATGGCAACACAAATAATACCAATGAATTGGAGCCGATGAATTAAAATATATGTACCTATGCTATACAATTATTCCAAACTTTACTCTTTGCACAATCTCTGAATTTACAAATATTTTATGAAATAAGAGTTTCACCTATTTTGCTCATTTTTTTTATACTACGCGGATCTCGTCTGCTCTACAGCAGAAATACTGCGTTCTCATTGGCGGCTTTAAAAGTTAAAAACTCCTGTAATTTTGGGAATTCAATAAAACCTTTACCATTAGGGCCGTCAATTGTGGTACACCCTGGATATATAATGCATTAGTACAGAGAAAATGACATAAGTTGGTGAAACTTCTTGTATGGGTGTATTTTTCCATTACTTATGTATTTAATTTAAGGATACCTCATTATTAGATATTTTATAATTGTTAATTTTAAGCTATAATTAGTGTTTTAAAAATAATATTTTTTATACATGTCCATATAGGTTTATTTTTGACAATACAAGATATTAAAATAGGAACAATTCTTAAAACTTTTTATACCACTTTATAGATTTTAGGATTTGTGCAAAAATATAAAAAAATGAAATCTTTACATTTTATGTATTATATTTATTGATATTTTTTAACAAATACTAATTATGTTGTTAAATTTAATTAAAATATATGTTTTTATATTATATTATTATAGAGAGCACAAATATTCATGTTTCAAGTATTTACTAATACTTTTTTCACTTTTGTGATGTTCATATTATAACTTTTGTTAATATTAACTAAAACTGCCACTTAAATGTAAAATGCAATTTATTGTAACAATAAAATTATAAAACACATTGTTTATGTTGGAGTTATAAACATTAGATAAGTTTAAGAATAATTATGTTGCTTTAACCTTTTTCTTTTTTATTGTGGTAAGTTTCTTATTTATTTTTTTATTTGTTGGAGAACCATTTACCTTTTTCTTTAAACCATTACTTTTAACTCCCAACTTCTTTTTCTTTATTTTTTTTGGGGATTTTTCTTTAACTTCCTCCTCCACCTCCTCTTCTTCAATTTTATTATTTTCCTTCTTCTCTATTTCTTTAGCTTTCTTCAAAATATCCCCCTCGAATATGTCTTGCAAAGGAGTCAAATTATAGGCATCCTTAGGCCTTGTAGCTTCAGCATGCGCCTTCTGCTGCATTCTATTCAAATATTTATTCTTTGCCACAATCCTCACTTGTTGACGATATCTGGCAGGACTAACGTAAGTGGGGTTCTCCCACAAAGCAACCCCTCCAAAACTGCCTGAAAATATCTTAACTGGGTTCATAACAAATCTGGGGCCCACTTCCGCCAACGCGCCATCTTCAGAAAGAATCTGGAAGTTTCTGAACCATATTCTGTTGTCTAGTATCGAGAAAGTGTAGACATGGTCAAAGAATGGTTGGCTTTTGGGGTGTTGTCTCGGAACGCCGAAAACTTGAGTGAAAATTTCTTTTAAAAGGGCTAAGTGGGGTTTTTCTGTGAATATGGGGTCAAAACTTAGCAAAGGGCGAGAGCCTCTAAGACAGTTACCAGTTAATTTTAGTTCTTCCATGGTGTAAACTAAAATTAAAATGTGAGAAAAAACAAAAAAATTGCAAAAAAATAATTGTCAATTATTATAATTATCATCTAAAATGATGGTTTAAATCCTAATTTTTACCTTCAAATTCTCCTGGCAATTAAGCAGGTAAATTTTAATTAATTAATTTAAAAACAATAGTTACAAATTCCCTAGTGAAACAAAAACATTTATCTGACAGATTCTGTTTGAATCATTCCACTGGTAAAATTTGTTTATAAATAATTTTGGTTCCTAAATGTGTAAAACTACATTTAAAAGTTAATTTATAAAGCTTTGGATATAATTCAGTACATATATTGTCCAATAAATGTTAAAATGTTATATTTAGCTAGATTTTATGGGTAATACTTAATTCTCAATTTTTAAGTAAATTATACAAATCTTACATAAATAATTACTTACTATTTTCAACTAAAAACTTTATACTGGGGCCATTGGGTACATTGCTTAGCCACATATATAAATCCTTCTTCTTTCTTCCCTCAAACATCATTGCTTTTGTGCAATTCTTCATTTCACATATTTCGTTGATCACCGACAAAGTTTTGCTTCTTTCCATTTTGGCTTCAGGTTTGTGATGGGGCATTAGTTTCTTTAAATCCTCCATTAAATGTCTGTCCCTGTGGCTTATTCCTCTCGAGGCAAACACCAATACCCTCTGTTTGTTTATCCATTTTGACTAAAACACGTTTATAAAAATGTGTTTTTTTGAATTACTTTTTATGCTTACCCTTTTAGGGACAGGTTCGTCTGATTGCCTTACGGCAGGAAGAGGTGTTTCTTCTTTTTCCACCTTAGGTTCCGGTTCCTGGCGTTTTCTCTTAACCGATTTTTTCGTCATGTTTTCTGAGGTAGGCACGTGAGACAAATCAAAATAAACCTAACCTTAAATTACCGTAACCTAACTTTCTCATTATATAAAAATGCTGTCCACTATTTTCATTGGAGAAAAAAAGAACGTGCATATTAAATTTTAACAAAAAATATTTTGCGTATTGTTGCGTAAATTTCGTTTATTTTTTAATTTATTTCAGTTTAAATAGTTATTTTCAATATTTAGGGTTGTTCCTAAGAAGCACAGCCTTAAGCCTGATTTATAGATTGCCTTCCTTCCTTCCTCCAGTAGAAGATGAACAATATAAAAACCGTTGTGCTGTTTAAAGATTCCCGTACGGGAAACTATAAATAGCAATACGATTTTCGTATTGTTCATCTACTGGAGGAAGGAAGGAAGGCAATCTATAAATCAGGCTTAACGACTGTGATATCCAGAGATATCTCTGGTGCTAACGAGCATTTGGACCATGGAGCCTAAACATGATTTGTTATCTATGATTTGGACTGTCAAATGGACTTCATTTTAAAGCCATGCATATATATTATAATAGCAGAGATATCTCTGACCATATTTGACATCCATTTGACAGTCCAAATGCTCGATAGGAACAAACCACAGACTATATACTCTTTGTGGAACAAACCTAGTGTTAATAAAGAAAACATTTTACACAAAATTAGTGGAAAATTAAAGGATAAAAACGTCCATAAAATTTAATGAAATAGGTATATTTAAGAAATTTAATTATTAACTATTTACATTTTCTTTACTAATTTCACTTAATTCAATTGATCATTCTTTAATTTCAGTTATTTCAGTTAATTCATCCTTTTCAATATCCCTTTTTTCTTTTCTTTTGGGAAGAATCATTTCAAATGCTTCTTTCCAATTTTTTCCTTCCGTTATTCTCAAAATAATTTCAAAAACTTGATTAATTGTGAGAACTTTTCTTGTTTTCATCCAAAAATATTCACTTATGGGCAATTGAGCATGTGCAATACCTTGTTCATTTGCTTTTTTTAAACAAATACCCTAAAAATTTTAATATATATAAACAACTATTCACTAATGCGGAAAAGTGCTTATTTCTGCACTAGTGTGGAAAGGGTCACTTTGCAGTGTGATTAAAGTAAAAAAGTACCTACTTTATGAAAATTGTGATCAACAAGCCCTCCAATAATATAAATTTTGTCATCATCAAAATTTTGAATAACATTGTCACTTTCACTGCTAAGGTAAACAAGTTTTTCTTTTGGGAAAATGTCAAGATAATCCTTTTCATGAATGTTTATATCCCAATTTTCATAACCATTATGCCTAGCCATTTCTTCTTTACTTTTCCCATTAAAACTTGTCAAATGTAACTGCATGGGGGCCTTTGCTCTTCTATTTTCAGTGTATACTCTTAATATTTGTTTAATTGTTTTAGCCATATCCTAAATAAATAAAATATATTTAAAAAAAGTAGGTAGGTAAATAAACAAAATATGGGCAATTTTTTTTATTTATATACAGGGTGTTAGGATATTGAGGTTAGGCATCTGTCACTTTTAGTAGAATTGAGTGTTTTTTAAAAACCCTGTATAGTTTATTACCTTGTTTATCATTAAGTCACTAAAGCTTAAATCAATACAAATCCCAACCTTACAAGAGCTATTTTCCATCTTATTCTTGTTTAATTCTTTGCGACTTGGACCAATTTCAATATTGTTCAATTTGGCATGTATTTTCTTTTCCTTACACTTTTTTCTTTCTTGCGCACGCTTTATTTTCTTTACATTCTCCCAATTCAAAAATTTTTTGTACTTTTTCATTTGCCTTTTGGTAAGCTGTGAAATTTCTACTCCATTGAAATATTTCAAATCGGTTGAGTCTTCTGATTGAAGTGAATCGTTTGAGATGTTGAGGCTTTCAGTTTCATCATGTTTGGAGTTATTGTTGATATTTGTTTCTTCTACTTCCATATTGCTCATGTTTTTGAAGCTAAAACGAATAAAAAAATAATAATTTATTAGTTATTGTCGTAATTTCCAGGTTACACTCACTTAATCACCTTTTATTTTTTCTAAAAATACTGTTATATGATGAAAATAACCCAAAAAATTATAATAATGGGTTTTCTAACCAAACATTTTATCTTAAAATCTGTCTATTCCTTTTTACGTCTATGGTTTGACTGTCAAATTTTAAGTTGGCTAACCTGGGAAACTGTCACACACGGTGAGATTGTGGTTTTCTTTGGATTCGCTGTTTCGTATTTTTAAATACAGAAATTATAAGAAAATATAGTGAATATGACTGTAATAAATAAGGTAAGTGATGGAAAATGAATTTATATTTTGTTAAAATATAATTTGAGTGTTATATTCCTTATATTGTCAGTAATATTTTCGTTTTGTCATTGTCAAAATTTGCGTTGTATTTACAATGGGGCACGCTTATTCGGTTAATAACTCAGAAAATACAGCCAAAAAGCTGTATAAACCTTTTAAATTGTTTAAAATTGTGCATGCTAAAAAATCGAAACCTATAATTGTAGAATCCGTTACTAAAGTGTGAGTGAAATATTTCATAGCAAATAAATTGATGTGTTTATTATAGATGGATATTGATGGGCCTCCCAAAGGGGAGGGTTTCCGGTCCTACTATATCACCAAAATTGAAGAATTGCAACTCATTGTGGCTGAGAAAAGTCAAAATTTGAGGCGTCTGCAAGCTCAAAGAAATGAGTTAAATGCTAAGGGTAATAAGGAATGTATTAGACATATACAGGTTTTAAGTGTTGTGTATTTTAGTTCGTATGTTGAGGGAGGAGCTGATGTTGTTGCAAGAACAAGGTAGTTATGTGGGTGAAGTGGTAAAACCCATGGACAAGAAAAAAGTTCTTGTTAAAGTTCATCCCGAAGGAAAATTCGTCGTTGATATTGATAAAAATATTGATATTAACGATGTTACACCCAACTGCAGAGTTGCTTTGAGGAATGAGAGCTACACTTTGCATAAAATTTTACCCAATAAAGTATATATTTGTTGTTTTTGTGATTTTTTTTGGTTTATAATGATTTTTACAGGTTGATCCCTTAGTTTCACTTATGATGGTTGAAAAAGTTCCTGATTCCACTTATGAAATGGTGGGAGGTCTGGACAAACAAATTAAGGAAATCAAAGAGGTTATTGAGTTGCCTGTGAAACATCCCGAATTGTTTGATGCTCTTGGAATTGCACAACCTAAAGGTGTTTTACTTTTTTTAATTTTGAAGGTTTTTTAGGTCACTTTTTTATAGTTATTAATGTGTTAATTAAAAAGGTGGTAATTTTATAATTTCTTAATAATAAAAATGCTTCTTGTGTTTTTCTTGGATGTACATAAATATCACAACATTCTTTTTTAGGTGTACTATTGTATGGCCCACCTGGTACTGGTAAAACTCTGTTGGCTCGTGCGGTGGCCCATCACACCGAGTGCACCTTTATTCGCGTCTCCGGTTCCGAGTTGGTGCAGAAATTCATTGGCGAAGGTTCGCGAATGGTGCGCGAACTGTTCGTCATGGCTCGCGAGCACGCACCATCCATCATTTTCATGGACGAAATCGATTCCATCGGTTCTTCTCGCATTGGTAAGAAAAAATTCTTTTAGGGTCTTTCCATCTCAAAACGACCAGGCAAAAAGGGGTGGATTGTTATTTTTCTACGAATTTTTTTTACAGTTTTTCTACCGAAATCGATGGGGCCCGTATTTTTTCTTTTTGAAAAATGGACAGAAACATAGACTTTGCCAAAACTGTTTTGATCGTTACAATTTTTTTAAAGTTGTACCTAAATGTTTACTGCATACAAAAAAATTATGTGAATTTACTCAATTTTTTTTGTTGTTTCAAAAAAATTGAGGTCAAAATTTTGACCATTGCCACATTTTTTTTCACTTTATTTTTTTTGTTTGAAGTTAATAATATGAAAAACTTTCACCAAAACTCCCGAGTTGGCTAAATTTGTCGTTTCAGAATTATTATTTTTTTAATGAAAATGCCACTTTCTAGTAAATTCCTGGTTCATCGCAAAAATTTGGTATTTTATCTAGGGTCATGAAACTGGGGTGACCTTTATAATAATTTAGAACTTTTTGATATTTGTAATTTCTGGTTTCACCGGAAATGCTCCTATTAAGTAAGTAAATTAAATTATTAAAGATTTTAGAGTAAAATGTAAATTCTTAATATTTTTGCATGTGTTATAACACAGTATACTGTTAAAAGTTGTAAAAATTATATGTAAGTTCATTTTGGTTAAAGAATAAAAAGTTAGTATTACATGCCTAAAAGTAAGGAATCGAATTCACGAGAAACTTATAAAAACGCGATTTCAAAGAAATGTAGAACACAAACAGTTCCGAAAAATTTTGGTCGGTTGACGGATATTCATTTGAGGAAGGAAAATAAGTACCTATTATGTAAATGTTAATATTAACTTACCAGCAAAACAAACTAATGATCTGTCAAATCTAAAAGTTTAAAAGCAATATTATTAAAAAAGTGGATTTTTTAATGGCTAAAAAATAGTATGGTTTTTCAATTTTTCCTAAAGTTGTATTTATTTCAGACTACTTGGCCCAACATGAAGCAATTCAAGGCACTCTAGATATAGAAATAAAATTAATTCAAAAAATTATTTGACCTGTCAAAAATTAACAAATGACATATGTATATATTCATAATTTTATTTTGAATCGAAATATGTAAAAATGCATAGGGTGTTCGGCCATTTCATGCGCTTTTGCGTCAAAATTGTCAAAAATATTCTTCTTTTATTAGGTTATACATTAAATAAAAAAACGCAAGAAATATTTTACAAAAGTAGAGATAATTTTAATAATTGAAAGGTGTGGACAGGACAAAAAAAAGATTTATCTTGTCCAGTCCACACCTGTCAAATATTGAAATTATCTTTACTTTTATCCGAAATCGTAAAGTAGTCAACAATCGGCAGTAGAACTTTACTGCCGATTTAATACGAGTATTGTATGCAACCCATTATACATTTTAAGATGTGTCTACTGCTCCTCAGCAGCAACTAAATAATATTTTTTTAAAAGCACCGTCGCGGAGGTCGATTGGACCCTTTCATAAAATCGTCGCGGCGGGCAAATATATAATAACCGTCGCAACAAACAGTATACATTCAAATGGCATTTGATTTGATCATCAAATGACATTTGATTTAATCATCAATATTAATTATTAGTATTATTAAATGTGATTTTGGGTAAAATTTAATATGCACCTCGGCATTAAAGTAATAAATACGACTTTACTGCCTTGATACATAAATAACTATTATAAACTATTTGTTGCGATTTGTTTTAGTTAATGTACCTATAGCCTAATAAAAAAATATATTTGACTATTTTGATGCAAAAATAATATTAAAATTAAAAAGTTTAGACCATTTCCGGTGAAACCGGAAGTAACAAAAATATGTTAAATATGGCAAAAAGTTCTAAATTACACTTTATAAAGTTCACCCCAGTTTCATGACCCTAGATAAAATACAAAATTTTTGCGATTAACCACGAATTTAATAGCATTTTCAATAAAAAAATAATTCAGAAACGATGAATTTCGCCCGAGGGGTCAACCACTGTCGGCAATACGTGCACAAATTTTATGCAGTACAAAGGCAGTGACGGCAATACTTCGACAGTATCGGCAGTATGCAGCTGTAAATAGGCAATATAGGCAGTACGGGAGCAGTACTTCGGCAGTACTTCGGCAGTACTTGGGCAGTATCGGCAGTAATTCGGTAATATTCAGCATTTAAGTCTCACCTTACGTACTCTCTTAAAATGAATTAGTCAAAAATAACTAATTATAAGTTATATTTGACAAATTTTCATAGCGAAAAAGCAGTCACTAATAATTAGTCAAATTCTACTGAATAAAATAGTCAAATTAGTAGATTTAAATTTAAAAAAGTTTTGACCCAGCCGGGTATTGAACTCAGGTCTGTCACTTGTCAAGCTTGTCAAGTTGTTGTCATAACCAATGTGGCTATTAGCCGCTCTTATAAAAATTATGTAATATTTTAAAGTTAAATATATTATTTGTGTTGCTGTTTTGAGCTAAACTTTTTGCATCTTTGTTTGATTTTATGGGCCATTTAACCATGGAGCCTATAGGTATGCATTTAATTAAAATAATACTTTGTTGTTGGCCGCAAACGATTAAAGAAATTAGTTACTTTTAACTCTCAGAAATAGTCAAAGATGGTGACTAATCTTAAATTAGTCAAACTTTAACTATTTACGTAGTAAAAAATAACTATTTAAAAGTGAAAACGACTATTTTATTAGTAAAAATGCTGGTACTAATTCAAATAGTAGAATTTTGGCTATTTAATTGTAAGAGACTACGTTCTGGTATCTTGCGATGCTCGTTTCGAGGTATCTTAGTTTTAATTTTGCAAACTTATCTTTGTGTTTGTGCTTATTAGTTTAACTGTGTGTGGTTGTTTGGTAAGTATTGTAAACAATTAGAATATATAATAACATTAAATATTGTAAGGTTTTAAAGTGTAAAAAAGGAACAATAAATTAAATTCTTAAAATTCAGATGTTTTTTTTTTGATAAACATACATTCATAATTCACAAGTAAAGACATAATATACATATATGTAAAACTATGAAAAGTGTGTGGGCAGTAAAGGCAATGTTGAAAGTAACTAGGCAGTAAGTAGGCAGTATAGGCAGTAAGAGCAATAAGTAGGCAGTATAAGCAGTAAGTAGGCAGTAAAGGCAGTAATTGGCAGTATAGGCAGTTCGGCAATACGTGTACAAATATCTGGCTAGCAGTGGCGGCTGGTGGATTTTAAGTATACCAATATCTCAGTTATTAGACATGGGACCCACACCAAATTTATAATAGTTTATATTGACATTAAATAAACAAGTTCGGCGCAAACAGAATTTAAATTGAAGTTTGCGAAAAAAAGTTAGTTTTTCCTGTCGCCTACCCTGCCTCCAGGCCCCCCTATTTGAGATAATTCAAATTAAAGTGGTGCAATTTATTATCTACTATAATTTATCGACAAATTTAAAATTTTATTCAAAAAATCCAAATATTACAGATTTTATTCGATTTTAAATTTTTATTATTTATTTTATTAAAATAAAAAAATATTTAAAATGGTATAAAAACTGTAATATTTGGATTTTTTAAATAAAATTTTAAATTTGTCGATAAATTATAGTAGATAATAAATTGCACCACTTTAATTTGAATTATCTCAAATAGGGGGGCCTGGAGGCAGGGTAGGCGACAGGAAAAACTAACTTTTTTTCGCAAACTTCAATTTAAATTCTGTTTGCGCCGAACTTGTTTATTTAATGTCAATATAAACTATTATAAATTTGGTGTGGGTCCCATGTCTAATAACTGAGATATTGGTATACTTAAAATCCACCAGCCGCCACTGCTGGCTAGTGGTTGACCCCTCGATTTCGCCAACTCGAGACTTTTGGTGAAATTTGTTTATATTATCAACTTCAAACAAAAATTGAGTAAATTCACTTAATTTTTTATATTTTTTTGTATGTAGTAAACATTTTGTCACAATTTCAAAAAAATAATCGAAACAGTTTTGGCCAAGTTATCGCATTTTTAAAAATGTCACTCGTAAAAAGGGAAAAATCGATGTTTCTGTTAATTTTTCAAAAATTTCCTGCAGGTAAACAAAATAAATTTAAGCAAAAAGAAAAAACTGTAAAACAAATTTTGTTAAAAAATAACGACCTACCCCTTTTTGCTTGGTCGATTTGAGATGGAAAGGCCCTTTATGATTTTATTTTAGGTGTTAACATCACGTAGGTTATGATTGTATTCATTAAAAATGTTAAATTTATTATGAATGCTGTTTTCCAACATTTTATTTTTTTAGAGTCTGGTTCAGGTGGGGACTCAGAAGTTCAAAGAACCATGCTGGAACTTTTGAACCAGTTGGACGGTTTTGAGGCAACCAAAAATATCAAGGTGATCATGGCCACCAACAGAATAGATATTTTGGACCCTGCTCTCTTAAGACCCGGCAGGATTGACCGTAAAATCGAATTCCCACCACCAAATGAAGAAGCCAGATTGGACATCCTGAAAATTCACTCGAGAAAAATGAACTTAACCAGAGGAATCAATCTTAGGAAAATCGCCGAGCTAATGCCTGGAGCTAGCGGAGCTGAAGTCAAGGTAAGATTATTTAAAAAAAAAAAATTAATTAAAAAAATATATTTTTAATTTTTTTTAGGGTGTATGCACTGAAGCAGGTATGTATGCTTTAAGGGAAAGAAGAGTTCATGTTACCCAGGAAGATTTTGAAATGGCTGTCGCAAAAGTCATGCAAAAAGATTCAGAGAAAAATATGTCCATCAAAAAGTTATGGAAATAAATTATATATTCTTAAAAACATTACTTATAAGTACTTTCTTTTTTAATTTAATAAACAATAAAAATTAAAATTTTGTTTTTATCCATATGCCCTACCAATTAAAAAGTTTTTTATTAAAAGTCCAATGTGAGTGTTTTGTGAACTCCAAATTTATGCCTTGATAGCAAATTGTTTTGTTTTTTTAGCTCCTACTAAAGAGATTTTAAATAAAAATTATCAAAAAGTCAGTGGTGTACGTATATTTTTTTTTAAATTACTCTAATTCACATATTATAATTTATAGACAAGATTTTTTGAGCGATTTGGCACCACCGCAGTCATTAATAAGGCACCTAATTCAAGACGGCTCAGAAACAGGTCCTTGCGCAACCCCTACTTATTTATTTATTGACAAACTGTCAGCGAACACTTAACCTCAAACATTGTTGTCACTTCAAAATGTAGCTTTAAAAATGCATTTATACTTTAAATTGTTTTTATTTTCTGTGGGTTTTGTTGCGGGAGCGTTTTTGGCTGTTGTGTACGTGGATTTATCATCTGACAAGGATGTTTTGATTGTAAAAAATCAGAGACCTTTTGTTCAGTATCAATATGAAGATTGGTTTAAAAAACAAGGTTTAAGGAGAGAGAATCGTTTATGGGATGAATTGCGGTATGAAAATAAGTCTCAGTATTTAGAATCTAATTATTTATTTGGTAAAATATCCGTCCTTTGTGTGATACTAGTTAAATTTGAAAGAAATGTTAAAGCTGCTAATGAAACATGGGCAAAAGGTTGCAATGGAATAGATTTATTATATTTACAAGAAAAAAATCGAAAACTGCCTGGAAAGCGTACAAAAGAGAAAGCCCCACCTGTATTACTATGCAATAATTTATTAACAGTACCTGATAAGTATGACTGGGTTTTGGTCGTTTATGATGACACTTTTGTTATAATGGAGAATTTGCGTTACTTTTTGGCACCGCTAAACGCAAAGCAAGATTATTATTTGGGCCACACTGTGACTTTTTGGAGTAGAGACTATAATTTAGGACAGGCTGGTTATGTAATAAGTAAAGGGGCTTTAGATAAGCTTAAATCTAATTTAAGCGAGCCTGATGCATGTTTTAAGGATTTAATTTATTATAATAAAGAGGATTTTTATATTGGTAAGCAGTTGGGAAAATTAAATATATCCCCTTCTGATACCAGGGATTTAAATGGCTTGTCAACGTTTTTTCCCTATAATTGGTATCATGTGTTTTTCCCTGGGGAAACATATTTTCAGTTAAGCAAATATCCTGTTAAATGTTGCAGTGAAAGGGCTATATCATTTAATGTAAGTAAATTTAAAATTTATTAAATGTATATAGGTATCTAGACTTTTAAGACAGCTATACCTAGATACAAATAAATCCATAATTTTTGTAGCTATAGTAATTGGGATAATTTTGTTTCAGGCCATTGAGGGCCATAAAATGTACACATACTACTATTTATTTTACACTCTTCAACAATTCATTGATGGAAAAAATGGAAACATTCCTTTAATTAACAAAGATCCAGAGGATAAGGTAAAGTTACAAAAAAAATGTATTAACTATTTACTAAAACTAACTTTCTTTTAGGTTTGGAAAAGTTTTCTTAAAGAGAGAAATATACCAAGTGATCACATAACAAGCTATGAGTACTATAAAGTGTGGGAAGATCTGGTGGAAGACCCTAATTCATTTGCTAAGAATTTAAAACGAGAAGAACACTCTGACTTGTGATGATAGAAAATTATAATTTTAGGTCTTTTTATATGTTTTTAATAAAATAATAATCTTACTTTGTTCGTCCATTTTATTAGTAAATAATCCACACAATCAAGAAAATCTAGTAAACGCCTGTAAGACAGGCCAATAAAATACATTACAGTATGCTGGGTTGCCTACATAGCTGATTGTCAAAACAACATAACCTCAACTACCTTATTGTTATTATTGATGTTTCAGCGTTTTTATTATAGTGTAATTTCCTAAAATATGGCAAATAATTTAACATACGTTCAATTATCCTCCTGTGTAAATCCGAGTTTTTGGAATAAACTAACAGAATTAAAATTAAATGTGGATAAATTGGATGAAGCAAGTCGAAATATATGGGGTTATTTTACAAATTTAAATAAGGATTGTGTTAATTCTATTTTGGAAGTAGACAGCACATCGTATAATGAGTAAGAATAATTAATATTATATGGTGTGGTTGGTTAATGTTTTTTTTTAGAAATTTTAACGATCAAAAGCTTTACATACCTTTTCATGGGAAAATATTGAACAAAAACACCATAGAGCAGTTTAAAGAATGTAATAAGACAGATTTGATAAATTTGGAAGGTAAAACATTGCTGGAAAGTATTAAAAATGGTGAAGTTATTAAAGACCCTTCGCTTTTAAATGTGTTTAGTATTTTGTGTTTTGCTGTAAGTTGGATAAGGTATAATATCTTAAATGTGTATCGTGTACACTTACAAAAGTTGAAAAAACAGAGAAGAGATTCGTAAATCCTATAATTATTTTTTTTGCAGTTTTCTCTTTTAAGGCAAATCTTTTATTTCCATTAGACTGGACCAAAAAAATCAACTATTATTTTTTTTGAAAAGTATATCGAAAATATGGTTTGGGGTGACAAAAAAAAATTATTGTGAAAGTTTGAGTCCATAATATTAATATTAAGAGGTCTATCATCCCAATTTTAATTTTTTTTTTCTCAGCAAGTTTTTGTCTCAGAACTCCCAAACCATTGAGTTTAACAAAATTGACTCGAACATATTTTTTTAAGAAAATTAAATGCTCTACAAAAAAAGTTTAAAGTAAAATTTTCCGTCAGATGAACCGTTTCCTTAAAATCATGCCTTAAAAATTGGTATAGTTTTACATTTTGATCTTTTAAATTGGAATTTTGTAATTCATGTAAAAATCAGTACACACAAAAAACCGATAAACAAAAAACCGATAAATATTCTTATGGGAAATCAAATGCTTTACAAAAAAAGCCTCAACATTTTTGCCTAAATTCACTCAATCAAAAGTTATTCAAGGTTAAAATTTCGTTTTGACAAATTTAACCTTGAATAACTTTTGATGGAGTGAATTTAGCCAAAAATGATAAAAGACTTTATTGTAGAGCATTTGATTTCCCATAAGAATATTTATCGTTTTTTTCAGGGTACTGATTTTTACATGAATTAGAAAATTCCAAAGTTAAAAGATCAAATTGTAAAACAATACCAATTTTTAAGGCATGATTGTAAGAAAACGGTTCATCTGACGGGAAATTCCAATCAAACCTTTTTTGTAAAGCATTCAATTTTCTTCAAAAAATATTCCCAAGTCAATTTTGTTAAACTCAATGATTTGGGAGTTCTGAGACAAAAACTCGCTCAGGAAAAAAAAATCTAAAATTGCGATGATAGACCTCTTAATAATAATATTAAGGACTCAAACTTTCACCAAAAATTTTTTTTGTCACCCCAAACAATATTTTCGATATACTTTACAAAAAAAAAATAGTCGATTTTTTTGGCCCAGTCTAATTTCCATATATTTACATTATTACTGAAATTTAGTTATAGGGACATTAAATAAAGCACATTTCAGACATTTAACCATCACATATTTTTAAGTTACCTATGAACACTTTGTCCCATTGTTTTTAAAACTGAAATGTTTTTGATCAAATTTGTATACCATTGTATAACATTGTATACCTACACAAAAGATTTTTTAGAATTTTATTCGTTTCTGTTAAAAATGGATAAGAAATTCTAAAGAATATGTTGTTGGCATGAGGTTTAATAAAAGATATTTCTGTTTTAAAAAGTATGCGTTAATTTTGCGGCGATATTAAATAGTTAGATTTTTTTAGGATCTTAAGAAATATCATTATTATTATTGGTTTTCTTTCCCAGTGTTAAAAGATGTTATTATTGAAAAAGGAGAGGAAATTTTTTTAAGTAATAAGTTTACAACTGAAAATGTTAGTATACATATCAATATAATAAAAAGGTTTAAAATGTAATAAAAATTTAATTTTAGATATATAAGTTATACAATGATTTTTCTGCTTTAACTGCAAACCAAAAATCATATTTTATTGTAGAATATGCTAGTGATGAATTAAAGTTACATAAATTAGAAGACAAATTAAATTATATTACTTTTGAGAATCATACACAATATTATTTTGCATTTTATAATATTTCCAGCAATAACATTCCTGGTTCACAATTAAGAAACTATGTGGCATTAATATTGCATTATTGGTAAATATTTTTTGAACACTGTATGGTTTTTAGAAATTTTATTTGTAGCCCTTTTCTTGAGGAAGAAACACAAAATTTTATAGCATTTATATTGAGTAGAGAGGGAAGTAAAGTGACTTGCAAAGATAGTACAGTGTTTGAGTTAAAATTACCTAAAGCTGACCATGGTCAGAATTGGGTTGGTTGGGAAAAAAATGAAAGGGATAAAATGGGGCCAAAATTGGCCAACATGAAGAATACTTTGGACCCCAACAAGTAAATAAGTTAACAGTTTAAAAAAAAGTATGAATTATTGTAATTTTAGATTGGCAGATGATGCAGTAGATTTAAATTTAAAACTAATGAAGTGGAGAATAATGCCTAATATTGATTTAGAAATTGTAAAAAATTCAAAATGTTTGTTACTCGGATCAGGGACATTGGGTTGTTCAGTAGCAAGAACTTTGTTGGTAATTATTTTGCTTTGAAACCATATTATGTGATGTAAAATAAAAAAATTGAGAAAATTGATTTAAAGGGTTGGAAATCAGGTAGAAAGAAACCTTCTGACCACCACATTTTTTTAGCTATAATCTGTGCTTTGATATGGAGCTAAATTACACATCACATTTAAGTGATAAAATTAAGTAATTTTTTTAGGCTTGGGGTGTGAGAATAATAACATTTGTGGACAATTCCACAGTATCTTTTTCCAACCCTGTTAGACAAAGTTTATTTACATTTCAAGATTCGGTAGATATGAAGCCAAAATCCAAAGCAGCAGCAGACAATTTGAAGAAAATATTTCCTGGAGTGGTAAGTTATATTGTTGACGTTAGTTAGTTTTCACAAAAAATCTTTAGAAAGGATTTATTTACATAAATATACTTTTTATAATAATAATATTATTATTATTATAATATTATAAAATATGAACTAAAAATAAATCCTATAAATCGCCTCTGAATATTTTCCAGTTATTTAACAAATTTGTTTAATAAGTGCAAAAATACGAGTTAAAAGAATCCACGGAAAAATATAAACAAATTTTAAATAAAAACACATTACGAAAATTGTCAATTTTAAATAACCCAGCTAACACAACTGTAAAGGTTCTACATATAATGGCCCTTTATAAACGTGGTTTATATTCTATAGTGGTTATTTAAATAATTTTTAATAGATAAGTGAAGTATCTATTATGGTGGTAGGTAAATATTTATTAGATAAGGATATTCCACAATAATCAAAAATTGTTATCCCTACCATCACAATACAATTTCTGACGGTCGGGATAAAAATTTCCGATTATCGTGGAATATCCGTCTCAATAAATATAAACAAACCACATTTAATCCACCATAATAAATCAGTGGCAGCTGGTGGATTTTATGTATACCAATATCTCAGTTATTAGACATGGGACCCACACCAAATTTATAGTAGTTTATAATGACATTAAATAGACAAGTTCGGCGCAAACAGAATTTAAATTGAAGTTTGCGAAAAAAAGTTAGTTTTTCCTGTCGCCTCACCCGCCTCCAGGCCCCCTATTTGAGACAATTCAAATTAAAGTGGTGCAATTTATTATCTACTATAATTTATCGACAAACTTAAAATTTTATTTAAAAAATATTACAGATTTTATTCGATTTTAAATTTTTATTATTTATTTTATTAAAATAAAAAAATATTTAAAATGGTATAAAACCTGTAATATTTGGATTTTTTAAATAAAATTTTAAATTTTTCGATAAATTATAGTAGATATTAAATTGCACCACTTTAATTTTAATTATCTCAAATAGGGGGCCTGGAGGCGGGTGAGGCGACAGGAAAAACTAACTTTTTTTCGCAAACTTCAATTTAAATTCTGTTTGCGCCGAACTTGTCTATTTAATGTCATTATTTATAAACTATTATAAATTTGGTGTGGGTCCCATGTCTAATAACTGAAATATTGATATACCCAAAATCCACCAGCCGCCACTGCTTTACTTATCCATTACATTATTTAATATAATATCGTGAAATGTAATACTAGAACATTCATAAATTTACAAGAAAAAATACAAAGCAATGTGTTGTAATAAAGAAAAAATATAAGTAAAACATACATTTTTTATTTTAAAAACTGTTTACAGGTAATAAATGGAATCCATAATATTTAAATAAATAAAAGAATCCTTAAACTAAATAGAAAATATATATTTACAAATAAGTTCACTTTTTTGGTGGATTGTCCTCTATAACAAAGAAAACCAGGTTTTTTGCCATTATTAATTTCTTTTATTTGCAATTGCCCCAATTTTGACCTTATCAATTAAACCTTTCTACTAAATTCATGGAGGTATTTTGTTTGTAATAAGGGTTCTAAAATTTGTAAAATTAGGTAGGTAATATTTTTATTTTTTATGTGGGATAACACTATTAAAACTATAGAAATTACACTGGGCGTTATGGCGTTAACCAAAGGATAATTAAAGGTTCATGTAAGTTTTATATACAGAAAAGGTTCCCGTTCTCGTTACGTTTTCAGTTTTTTTAATTATTTGAGAACCGCTAATTTTTTTCCAGTTTTTAAATGCCATTTTAATTCGCAACTTTTGCCTAATTTAACCGACCTTGTAGCTTTTCAAATAAAAAACATACCCATAAATAGAAAGATACTTGGTGCACCCTGTACATATATTATGTTATTAGTTTATCATTTTTTTTTTAATTATTGTGATAATCACAACTTATTTATTTTATTTATTTAGATTGCAACAGGACACCAACTAAATATCCCAATGCCAGGTCACAGCGTAGGTGAAAGTATGTTAGAACAAGTGAGGGAAAACGTGAAGAAATTGGACAATTTAATTGAAGAAAACGACATCATTTTCTTGCTAATGGACTCGAGGGAGAGCAGATGGTTGCCTACTCTATTAGGATCACACCACAATAAAGTATTATTTGATTAGGTAGGTACTAGGTAAATAATTCGTTATTGTATTAATTTCTAGATTGTTATTAATGCTGCCCTGGGTTTCGATACCTACTTGGTAATGAGACATGGAACATTTAATGAAAATCTAACTGAAACTCATTCAACATGCCCTGAAGGTTTCAGGACTATTTCCGGAAATCGTCTGGGATGTTATTTTTGTAATGATATTACTGCACCTGGAAATGTACGCAATATAATAAGTAATATTTTATGATTAATTTTTTCGCGATATTTTTTAGTCAATGAAAGATAGAACTTTAGATCAACAATGCACTGTTACACGACCTGGAGTTTCGCAAATTGCTGGCGCCCTAGCTGTAGAATTGGCTGTTTCAGTATTGCAACATTCTCAAAGGTAAATAAATAAATATACATTTTTTTTTACTTTATGTTTAAGCTTAAATATTCTTTTCTATTATTCTTTTTAATTTAATATTTTAGAAATAGTGCGCCCGCATTTTACCAGATAACCAACAAAGCGGCCGAATTGGGTTGCGAAATTGAAAACCAGTGCGTATTAGGGCTGATTCCGCACACAGTGCGAGGATTTTTATCATCGTTCAACCAAGTTTTACCAGCCACCGAAAAGTTCAAACAATGCGTAGCCTGTTCTACCACTGTCGTGGAGGAATATCGAAAAAATGGTTTCGAATTTTTGCTTCAAGTTTTTAACAGTTCCAAGTTTTTAGAGGATCTCACTGGGCTTTCGGAGATGTTCAAGGAAACTGAGTGTGTTGATGTAAGAATATTTTTTTTTTAAATAAAATGCATTAAAAACTTCTATATTTTAAATTAAATGCAGTACCTACTGTAGGTAACATAGGAACTAATTCTCTAAAAAAACGATGTTAAGAAATATGGGTGGGATAGGGTTTCAAAATTTCCGGAAAAATTCAGCCGGCGGAAAAAAATGTTTTTTTCGAAAATTACCGGAAAATTTTCAGAAAAATTCACTTTTGCATTTTTTCATTTTCATTTATTTTATAAGGATAATACAAAAAATATGCATTCTGTTTTGGAAAATTAACAATTTTTTACGTATAATATCCGTACAGTGATATCTAGAAAAAAGTGCTGATTAAAATCATATATTTTATGATTATAATAATTATTCCTTATAGTTTAATTCAAAAAAATATACTACCGGGTCGCAAAAAAAATAATTCGGTGCTATATTATCATTAACACATCGATTTATAAAATTATAATTTTGTAATTTAACTTAATCATTAATTATTTTTTAATTTGATGTTTTCAATGGACTCCCACTTGTAAAAAGGATCCAACAGACAGCTGTATATATACTAGTATATTTAACGTTTACGTTTATTTTATTAAACCAATTAAATTCAATTCAATGTTTAAAATATTCAATTTTTTCCAAAAAACCCTAGTTATGGTAAATTAACCTTAAAATTGACATTTGACAGTTCAATAGAGGATTAAAATGGTTGTCCTTGGCACTTTAAGGTCTCATTTGAGGCTTACAAGTGCCTCTGAAACACAACGTTTAAAACGATTTTTAATATGTATAAACAGCACGACACCAAAGCACAAGAATTGTAAACAACATAAAAATGGGCCCCGTTAGAGTCTGTGCAGTGGGTTGCCTATCTTCGTGATTTTTAGTATTCCCGGTGAATTGTGGTTTTATGCAACAAATTTCGATTTATATTTCTGACATATTTAAAAATTAATAATTTTTGATTTTACAGGCTGGTCCGAATTATGTATGTCCCTTTCCGACCAAAAAATTAATAACAAGATAAAATAAAACTTTGAATATTTTATACAAAGTTTTATTTTATATATCTTTTTATCACTTTACCACGACTAACCCGATGATTTTAAAAATAAAAATAATAAAAAATTCTCGTGTCCTGCCTAAATGATAAAACTTTTAATTTTTTTTAATAAGAACAGCTTTATAACTTGCTAATTAATACACATTATTGGATTATATAAAATACATAATTTGTAGGAAATTTTACGCTCTACGAAAAAGGTCCTATAGGTTATTTCGTAAATCATCATATTAATATGATAATTATCATGTTAATATTAAAATTTTAAATTTAAACAAACGTCATTATAAAATTGTTTTTAAATAAATAAATATTCTCAAAACATTAAAATGAAAAATAAAAATATAGTACTTTACTTATAAGTATAAAGTTCATTTTTTTTATCTGGACTGCGGCAACGTTGCAAATTTAGGGTTTTGGTTGGTAAATACAGTTGTCAAGTTGGTCGCATTGATTAAAATTAACTAAGCTAGTTATAAATCTAATTGTGGTTATGTATAAATTATTGCAGGTTACATTGTGCACTTGTCAAGTTGAGTTGTCGAAATTCGTAGTTAAAAAAAATGCAATTAATTTGGCTTTGGTGGTGATTGGATGAGTAAAATCATATAAAAAAGTAGTTAAATATAGGTTGCTTTACGGCCCAGAAGAAAAAGTATTCCTAGCGGATCTGCGCTTTGAAAAGAATTTATATAAAAGAAATTAAAATTTGTTGGGAACGTAAATGTTGTCCAATGGTGAATAATGTGAAAATAACGTGTAATGTAATATTTATAAAACCAAATTCGTTTTTTACTCCAAAAATGTCCATAAGGCGATGTACTTTTTCTTCCATTATGGCATTTGGCATAATTTCATCAAAATGAAGTTTTGCCCTCAAAAGGGCTTTTACATTCGAATTCGTTGCTATTATTTTTGGCATAATTATATTTTTATTTATAATTGACAAGTAAATTATCAATAATAAATATTATTGTCAATTTGACAGTGTCAAAGTATTTAATTAAATTCTTTAGCAGAAGTACCATTTTTAAATACTTAAAATACTAAGTCAAACTGGCATAAGCCACCAACCTAACAAAAAAACACGAGTCCAGATAAAAAAAAATGAACTGTACTTATAAAAATATATTATAATATAATTTTTATTTTGTATATTAGGTTCACTTTTTAAAAAACATTACAAATTTTTTGTCTATATTATTTCACTATTTCCAATGGTAAATAGGATTAAGTGCAGGTCTACTTAGTTTTTTGACATTTGTTTTTATTTTTAGGTTTGGGACTTAAGTGATGATGAAGACGAATAATTTGAAATATTTGTACAATATTATACGCTTTATATTATATTAAAAAATACACCTATTTATTAATATTTTAAATTGTTGTTTCATTTTAAAATCACCTCATATCTTTATGCCTAAGGTTGTTTTGGCGGGAATTTTAGATCTCGATTAGACTACCAGGTAAACAATATAAAAAATGCGCATAACTAAAACCAGAAAAACAAAAACAAATTGTGTCTTGCAGAAAAAAAAATAATTTTGTTATATGCTTTTTGGCCACATGCGCAATGTTCTCAGAGGACTTAAGTATTGGCAGCGCATTCTTTTACTCGTGAAAACCAAGCTAAACAAACGAGGACTTACCCCACATGTAGTTTCTGCGCTATCAAAACTTATTTCCGCGGTTTAAGTCATGATGCGATGTGAAAAATCCGACCAATGAGTACGAAGCCACGTGCACACCGCACAAATCGCAATACCTAATATTTTTCATAGTCTACTTGTTTTAGGTGATATAAAGCATAAACGGCACTTATAGTGACGTTAATTTGATATCTGTCAATTGGTATTGTCTATGGTAACATCGTTTGGGAGATTTTGTGGTGTTTTTAAAGGTATTTTCTCCATGTTGTTGCAAGCTTTATGCTTCGAAAGTTTGGTAATAGATGGCCAGTGTAAATATTTGAGATTCCATTCATTCCAGAGTCGCAGGTTTGACCGAAATGTCAAATTCTTTTAACAGTTTTGCTTGTAGTGTGTTATAAGGTGTAAAAAGAACAATTGAAGCGATTTATAAACAATTGAACGTTTAGGAATACGTAAATTCATTGAGGTGAGTGTTTTTATGTGAAGGGTTAATATAACACGTGATTAATTTATTGATTTTCGGGGTGGAATTTTCTCTTGAACTGGTTTAAGATTAAAATATATTTTTGTACGTTTAATTAGTTAATTGTTTAATATCCATTGTCCACCTTGACTAGATGTTTTTTTATTTTTATTTTAATTACTTTTTAAGTTAATAAATAACAAAAAATAAAAACAAATGTACACAAATTAATTACCAAAAACAAACGAATAAATTTTTAATTAACGTTCGAATGTTTCTACGAGTTTTAATCGACCTAGAATTTTTTTGTTGACAATTGTTTAAAGGAATTTAAAATATTTTTATTATTGGGGTCACAGTTTTCCAAAGTTTTTACACGAAGTGTAGGTACCCATTAAAATTAATATTGGCAAACTATTTAATGCTCGAATTTAAAATTTTGAAATTTGTGCCGCGGTATTTTTTAAATTATTTTTAGCGCTTATAAACAAAGTTTTGTGTTTTAATTGTATTTACAAACTGGTATAAATATACTTGAAATATTCGCCAATATTAAGTTGAAGGTAAACTTATAAAGTATTAAAATACCTATCTGGCGGTCTTTAAAACGAAAAAAATTGAGATTGTTTCTTACTTCAGAAACAATGACATTGTAGACTTTACTTACCTTAAAAAAAATGTTTTTTTATTAAATATTACCAAAAAATAGTTTAGGGGTGATACCTACCTACTTATATTCTTTTGGGATGTTTTAAAAGGTTCCTTCATATTTAAAACATGTGGCCAATTCTTAATGCTTATCAAAATACAGCTGTTTGAAAAGTTACCAAATGCTTCTAGTAAATATTCAGGAAAACACATGTTTAATAATAAAAATAATAATTATTTTAAAACAATAAAAATTCCAAGATGACTAGCTAAGTTGTTTTAATAAAATAATAATATAAATCATTTTGTCTTAAATTGAAATTAAATTACTTTAATACATTTTATGTTTTTTTATTTTAATGTTTGTTGACAATTTATTACTAAGTACTTTATAAAAATGTAGGAAAGAAATTGACGCTTAAATTTAATTAAATATCAAATCAAAAAGCGTTACAAAATATATTTTTTTGTAGAAATATAAATTAAGTAAGGTTGACAGTTCAGTGTTATATTTAATTTCAACTCTTTATTAACAAATTTGAATTTTTTTTCAATAATTTTTAATGAACAAACTAAAAAAAATCTAGTAGTCTAAAAATAATTAAAAAAAAAATTCCGATGTCGTTTAATCCAAGGTTTTATCATGCCTAAATGACGAAAAAATGTACAACTTAAGTTGTATGCCTTGTATATGGTTGCATGTATATTTATTAGCAATTGCATATTTTCATAGGAAATTTAACGCTCTACAAAAAAGGTATTTTATGTTTTTTATTGTAAAACCATCCATTTATCGGAGGTAATGGTTTAAAATGTTTGTTGTTGGAAAAAAACAGCGATTTTCATGCAAAGTTCAAAAATTGTTATTCCCGGAAATTTTGAAAAAAAGTTTTACCATCTCTTGTTTTTGAAAACTTAGTAGTAAATTTGATACATAAGTAGTTGGATTCCTTAATTTTTTATATTAAAATATAAAATTCTTATATGACGGCCATAGGAGAAACAAAAGATGGCGGTGGTTACTGAAAAAATTACAAATTGGATGAAAATGTGGATAAATGTGTATGTTTACATGTGAAACATAAGTTTTTTCAAAATTCCCAGGATTTCAGGTTATTCAAATGATTTGAGAACCGCTGTTTTTTTGACAATTCTCAGATGCAATTTTAATAAACTAAATCACGTTTACTTTAGCTAGCTCCAGATGCTTTGTTTATTTCGTTTCTATAACAACTGTATACATGTGTGATATTTTGGCTTAGAAAATGCCAACTTTAACTCATTAATTTTACATAAAGAAAAATTGTTCATGAACAATTTTTTAAATCAAAATGTATAACATTGTTTTATACTCCCGTAAAAAACGTTTATAATAATAAGTAATAATAATTGTAGTCTGTGGCAGCATTCTTCGTTTGAGCGGTCTCAAGGCACCGTGACGTTGCCCGTATGGCATGGCACGGCATCGTATGGTATTGTGCACCTCGCTGCCTACTAGGCAGTGCCTAGCCGGTATTGTCCTTAACCCTGTTCTTGTCTTCTTCTTCGTCTTCAATTACCTAAAATAGTATACTACTACTTAAGCCTGACCGCAGCCCTTAGAAATTACCCATTCATTATTGTACAAGTACAATAATAACTTTATATTTCTAGTACAATACATGAGCGTAGACAATAAATCGATAAAAAAATAATTTTTTTAACCCTATTTAATTCATATTGTCTCCGCCTATGCCTTCGGCATTCATATGTACCTAATGTTTTTTTAGTTTTTGTTAAAAGATAAAATAGTAATGTTTTTTCGGAGTAGAAGGTCTTTTTGTGCTCATCACAAAAAGACTCGCTTCTGTTCAGAAAAAAAATGCCCTAAATATTTTTTACAGCTTGTTAGTTTGCTTCAAGGTAAATTCAACCATATGTATATAACATCTATGTATATATTTACTCCATAAATAACAATTATATTGGACATAATACCTATGTAAGTGCAAAAAAGTACGCTCACGATTCGACCGATGTACACTTTATATTATACAGGGTGTCTAAGATTTTAATAGGGAAAATTTAGTGGTCGACAGAAAATTTTATACAAACTTGTATGTTTTAAAGCTTTGTTTTCAAGATACAGGGTGGTAAAGAAACTAGATATTAAAAAATAAAATTTGGATACGCTACAGCTTTTTTGTAAGTTTAATTTTATTTATGTATTACATTAAATTAAAAATACAACTTTTTTGTCTTCTGACTTTTTTCACTATATTGTTTAATTTTCAAGAAAAATAAATAAAATTCGTTTATTCGCTCAAGTCTGGAAAAATTATGCTCACAATTGTGAGCTTAAGCTGATAAACAAATTTAAAAAATGCAAATGACGAAAAAGTTGTATTTTTAATTGCTTAATATACCTAATTAAAATATCAAATTCAGTAACAAGCAGTAACGATACTTTTTTATTAACTTATAACCCTGTATCTCAAAAACTATTTTATTTTCCCGATTAAAATCTGAGACACCCTGTACATTAGTCGAACCCTGTTGTAAATTAATAATGATATAATTAATATATTATTATCTACATCTGATTTTTTTATTATTTAACATTTATTTATTAAATATACCTATCTATTATAAAATTTTAAATAATTTGCCCATAACATGGTGAAAATATTTTTTTTTAACTTATACCTAATTTTATCAATAGACATATAAAATAAATCTCCCTGTTGCAAGCGAAAACAATTTGTTAAATTGTTGAATTGACTTCAAATTATTCTAATGATTAGGTGGCATGTGGAAATAAATTTCACTCAGAAGTCACTTATTCTTGATTGAGACAAAAAGATTTGCATCAATTAATTAACAAATTTAAATCTGAATAATGGTAATTTTTATATAAGTAAAACATTTTACATAGTATATAGGTACCTTAGTAGGTAATCATTTAAATGTGCGCTAAATTAATACATAATATCAATGTTCCAATACTTTAGATAATAGTTATCAGAGTTTTTAATACGAAAATAAACACATTTCCTACACTGCATGCAGTATGTCATTACAAAGATAAACAAGAAATATGCGAAATATTTTTGTTATCGCCACCCAGAAGCTGTGTATCTTTGATAACCTTGCATTACTGGCTTAACATGCGTTAATTTTATGTTAAATTGTAAAAAAATAATTTTAAAGGTCTATTACAAGAAGCAATTTGTAAAGTTTATCAGTTTTGTTACATATTATGTAATCTATAAACGCTATTTTAATTATGTATGTAAGCTAGTGAGCAAGTGTTTAATAAAATGAGTGGCTAGATCAGGGGCGTGCTGGCTTTATCAGACCGGCCCGGGAAATTCAGAAAAATCGGCCAACTACACACGAAAAATGGGGGGTGAACAAAACCAAGTTAAAAAATGTCAAACATTTATTAATATATTAATAATTAATAACAGTATAAATTAAATTCTTGAAAAAAAAACAGGCAACAAACACAACCAGACAATATTTTACACAATACTAAAACATATAGCATAGCACTTAAAATAAAAACTAATACAAATTATTATCGCTCAGGAAGCTTATAAACAATATACAATCT